TTACTTAAATGTTGTAACTAACAATAAAAGTGTACTATCGTAATTATACTGTGATTACATTTTAATAAAGTTATTTTAAATATTCACATGAAGCAATTTGCTCATACTTGTGTTATTATGCTGTTTTATTAAGAGCGCTTTCTTCTGGCGCGGCCCGGCTTTTGCCTACAATGGCAAATGCTGGTTGCATACTTACTGGCATCACTTTATTCGGCGAACACGCAGTCCAGTGTTGTTAACCATGTCACTGTAAACTATGCTGTAAACAAGCAATTCGCTACCGCAACCCACCATACACAAGCCTAAACAAGCAATTCGCAACCGCAACCCGCTATACAACCCTAAACAAGCAATTCGCAACCGGAATGCGCAATACAAAACCCTGAACAATCTTCATAATCACATAACGAAACAATAATAAAGAAAAACTTCATAAAAGATTAATGCAACGGTTTTATTTGCGAATTTTTATACACACAATAATGATGAAGCAAAATTAAATTGAATCATTAACAAACAAAAATTTATTTAAAAATAGGTACTTTTTTGGCACATTGTGCTCAAACTACAAGTTCCTTTAAGAAATACCTATCATGAAATCTATAGTAAATCAGCTTATATAGAAAATACAAACACATTAAAAAAAATATTAATTTTATCATCATAATTACAAAATATGTGGTATGTTTAAATGTTTTTTAACCTAATTGTTTTATACTTGGACAAGAAACACTAAAATAAAAATTAGAGAACAAAAATGTTTTAACTTAGTATCTTCCACTCCGTCCTGAACGATGTCTTGGTGACCTGGAACGTCGCTCCCGCGAACGTGATCTCCTTCTTGGAGACCTAGATCGTGATCTCCTTCTGCTCGCCTTCCTCCGTGAGTACAAATAACGCCTTAATTCCCATGATATTGGCTTTAAATGCATAAAATTACAAAAACCCGATCTTGTACACTCTCCCATTTCATATTGGCGACAACAAGCCAATATGAGTAAAAAAATAAAGTAGGTGGCGACTTCCGGTATGTATTTTCATCACAATTTAAATTTACATCCACCAATCTAACTCCAGAGAGAATTTATTTCGAATCTTGTTTAACGAGAGTAACATTTTTAATTTTGTGCGTATGAGTTATTAAGGTTGTGTTTACTAAACTAAAAGGACTAAAAGTTGCCTCCCATTTCCCCATCACTATTTAAAACAAGTGCGAGGGTGTGACCGGTGTGACGAGGGCAGTAAGTATTGGTATCAAGTGCTAGGTAAAGTAGTTTCTAACGGACCGGCTTTCTTGATCGCATTGTATGTAAACTTTTACAATTTTCACCTACAAAATTGGTTAGAATAAAAGGAATTGTTTTGTATGTGTTATTAGAAAGAATTTTAATTATTTCTAGTACAGTTAAGTACTGTTTGTTATCATTTTTCATGTAAAAAAACGCAATAAAAAAAAATGAAAAGATGAGTCATCGTAATTGTTTAAATACTAGACCGTAAACTAAAAAGTATAAAGTAATAATAAGTGTGTTTTGTGATTAAAATGTATCGTCTATTTCTATTTTTTTCTTTTAATTTCGTTGATTCAATCCCACAAGAACGCATAATAGGTGGAGAAAAAGCCGAAACGATAACAAAATTTCCTTACCAAGTGATGGTTCAATGTGAGATCGAAGAAAAATATTTAACAATTTGCGGTGGTGCTTTAATTGGCAAAAATAAAATTTTAACTGCAGCTCATTGTGTTTTAAAATGTTCCGACCCGAAACGATTAAGAGTGATCGCCGGAGTTTATAATCCCGATATTAAACATGCTCACCAAGTAAAATGTTCAATACCACATCCAGATTATGATGAAAATAAAGCTAGTAATGATATAGCCGTTTTATGTTTGATGAACACTCTACAAGAAAGCGATAGAATAAAAACGATTAAAATCGCGCAAAAACTGGTTAAACCGAATACGAAAGCAATCGTTTCAGGTTGGGGCCAAACCAAAACAAGCATTGTATCCAAAGAGTTAAAATACGCGATTGTTAATGTTATCGATTCGGAAGAATGTGAAGATGAGAACCCGTTTTATGATGAAACGCAAATTTGTGCTGAAAGTACGGATGGCAGTGGACCTTGTAAGGTAAAAATACCGTAGAAAATTTAGTTTTTTATTTTTATAAGTACCAAAAAAAAATTGTATGAATGTCAAAATTATGTCACATTGAGAACTTATTATGATTTACATACAAAATTCTGATTCAATTAAATCGATAAAAAATGTCTTGTTCAGTTGGAATGGTAATTTTCCTTGCTTTAATTTCATCGTTTATGGGATTAGGAATAATTTTTGTGTCGATTTCAACCCCCTATTGGTACCAAGTGGATGTTAACGTAGGAAAAATCAACTCGACCGAACAACAATATTTTAGTAGAAAGGTTGGAATTTTTTATTTGTGTTTTATAAAAGAACAACCGCCGAGTTTAAAAGAAACCTGCCATTACATCAATTATGACCTCAAAAACATACCGGAAAGTGAATTGACAATCGAACAATTAGGAAAATTACATTGCACTCGAACGACGATGGCTTTTTTCATTATCGGGTGGTCCTTAATTCTTCTACTTTTAACGGTGATTTATATCACTTGTTGTTGCCAATGGACCTCAAAATTTCTAAGTTGTAACTCAATTATGAGTTTAATAGGATTTTTTAGTTTTATAATTGCAATGGGGGCATTCCACGGAGGAATTGTATACGAAAAGATGGCTTGGAATGACATCGTCGATAGAAATTCAACATTTACTTACAATTGGAGTTATTTTATCGCTTGGATTGGAATTGCGATGATTCTTTTCGGTTCGTGCTTCTTTAATTGTGCCGCCACCTGTCGATTTGAAAAAGAAGAACAACTTAATGAGTTTATCCAACATTCTATTAATTGGGAACGAATTAAAAATAATATTGGACGAAAAGAATAAAAATTATTAATATATTAATTTTTTCTCTTGTTAGGGCGATTCCGGTGGACCTTTGGTTGCCAATAAAGAATTAATCGGAATTGTTTCTTATGGAATCGCTGATTGCATAACGAACGCGCCCAGGATGTACACAAACGTTTATTATTATCGATCGTTCATCGAAAAACATAAATGTTAAATAAAATTATAAATTAATTAAAATATATCGAAGCTAAATTCACGTTTATTTTGTATAACCTGTCAATTTTCTTTTTAGGTTACCTCTAATAACGTAATAAAAATAAATAATAAGAATATTAAAAAAATCATTTAAAACGAAACTAAAATGGCAAAAAATCATCTTAAAATACTTTTAAGACCCTCAAATGTGATTTTAATACACTCATTAAGATTATTGTCGAACACACATAACCTCAAAACGGAAAAAAACACGACTCATTTTGGGTTTCAAACGGTTAAAGAAAACGAAAAAGTCCATAAAGGTAATCAAAACATCCCAAGCAAACCAAAATTACTTTTTTTAATTTTAGTACATAAGGTTTTTGAAGATGTTGCTGATAATTATGATATAATGAACGATGTAATGTCCATTGGCATTCACCGTATTTGGAAAGACATTTTTATGAAAAAATTGAACCCAACGAAGAATACAAAGCTATTAGATGTAGCTGGTGGCACAGGTGATATTGCATTTCGGTTTTTGGATTACGTAAAATCGACCGAAAACGCGAAAGGATGTCATGTTAAAGTTTGCGATATTAATTCGCACATGCTCGATGTAGGAAAAATTCGTTCGAAGCGACTTAATCATGATTCATCGTTAATTACTTGGCAAAAAGGCGATGCGGAAAACCTACCATTTGAAAACGACAGTTTTAACGCGTACACCATAGCTTTTGGAATACGAAATGTGACGCATATCGATAAAGTTTTGAAGGAAGCGTATCGGGTTTTACAACCGGGAGGAAGATTTTTGTGTCTCGAATTTACGCAATTAGAGTATCCTTTAGCACAATGGTTTTACGATTTATATAGTTTTCAAGTTATCCCGGTTATGGGGCATTTAATCGCAGGTCAATGGCAACCTTATCAGTATTTAGTTGAGAGTATAAGAAAATTTCCTAATCAAGAAAATTTTAAAAATTTGATTGAGAAGGCTGGTTTCAGAGAAGTTTCTTATGAAAATCTTACGATGGGGATTGTTGCTATCCATTCAGGATTTAAATTATAATAAATTGTTGATTTATTGTTAGTAGTTTGTTCAAAACTTTGTTAAAATATATATAACCTCCGTCTATATTGCGCCTCCATCCAAGCTGATATCTCCCATTTCTTTCCTAAAACAACTCTACACAGATTAAATTAAAGAAATAAAACATATTTTTTCTTTATAAATCAATAATATATTCTCTCACAATTCAATAATAATAATAGTAATAATTTAACAAATTGTTTTGTAATAAAATACCGCGACAAGTTTCCTAAGTACACGACTCTATCACGTTTCGTTTAATTTTTAATTCTTTTTCATTATTTATATCATCATTTATCAGTCACAATATTATAAAACTTAGTTTTCTCTGAAAAACATTTTTTTAGGTTAAGATTAAAAGGGGAATTGGACAAAAAGGAAATAAGACAAGAAGAGTCAAAAATAGAACCTTAACGAACTCATAAACACAAAAAGAATACTTTAAACTCAATATTTCATTTGTTAAGTACATCCGGTTTCGGATTCAGGGACTAAACATAACGGGAGTAAAAAAAGGGGGGAGGGGGAGAGGTAATTAAGATAAGATGGAATAAGTTTGTTTCAAAAAATGGCACTTTGTGCTAAAAAAGTTTTTAAAAATCTAATTTAAATCGTTTTAAGTTTGCTTTTGGTTATAAACCGGGCGCCCAGCAAGCTCTAATAAATACCTATCCGGATGATCCAGCCAATCAGCAGCGCTCAATTTGACAGTTTGTTGCCTTTCAGCTTCTTTAAACTGCCATTTTTTAATATCCAACTGCGTTTCACGGCTACTTTGATCGCCACAACCCCACACCTCAATACAACTTATCGAAAGTGGAATTTTACGAAACTCAAACTAAAATATTCATTGCAAATTTGTAAATGTTCATAAATAAAATAAACTAACCTTTTCAAATCCACCGTCAACGGAAATTATTGGATTTCTGGGATCTTTCCCTGCCCGCAATCCTTGCGGGTAACCCCGAACCGTTGTGTTTAAGTAGAGCATCTTCGAACCTTTTTCGAGGAGTAAAAATCTAAAAACAAACAATTTAACAAATAAAAATAACTTTAAAATAATTTGTTACTTCGGTAATAATTGAAATGCGGCGCAATCTTCTCCTCCCCAATACAAATGGGACTCTTTCCACTCACAAGACGAAGCGATGCAAAAAAGTGACCCATCACCAGCTTTTATTAAAATTAACGTCGGTCCTTTATAAGCCAAAACGTGGTGGAGGAACCGATTAGCTCCCAAACCTTGTTCATTAGAATCATAGAGGATTAACCAATGAGACGGCACCGCGAACAAAAGTTTAGTTAAGAAATTTACACTTGCTAAACCTAAAAATTAAATTAATAAAAAATTATAATTAAAATAATTAATTAATTTACCTGTTCCGCTATTACTGGGTGAATTAGCCCGCCTCGGTCTCGAATAATTCGGACTTAAAGCACCCGCTAGCAACCAAGACATACTCATTTGAAGTAAATGAGGGTGCGGGGGTTTATCCCCGAAAATCGGCGGTTGATCCAACACCGGCGTCGCTAATTCTAACCCTAAACAATTTACCACAAAGAATTAATTTAAAACAATACTTAACTAAAATTCAAAAAAAAAAACCACAACAAACAACCCAACAACAAAAATACCTTCACCACTTTTATTATCCACAAGGAACTTTTCCATTTTCGCTAAACAAATATTAAAAAAGATAAATTAACCTTACAATCAAGGTTAAATGTCATTTGGGATACGTTCGGAAAAATTAATTTGAGTACGTTCACAAATTAAATTGTTTTACCTGCCGCTAGAGGAGGTCCATCAATTTCCAAAGTACGATAAGAAGTTGCTAAACAATGCACGCAATACCGATGAATTGGCAGCAATAATCTAGGGGTATTCGCCGCCAACCAATGTGACACAAACTGCATTGAAAGTTGCGTTTTCGAATGAAAACAACTATCAACGACTGCTTTTAACGTCTTATTTATTAAGAGGCACATTTGTGGACCTTCACTGTAATGGTCCATTGCTATATGATAAGAGCACATCAGAAGACTTCGTAACGATTCGGGTGTAACAAACGCGTTTTCTTTCGTTGCATCATAAACAGAATACATTCGGACGATTATATCAATTGCTGAAGCGTCATCCAGTATCTAATTAAAAAAAATTATAATAAATTTTTTTTGGAACCGATTTAATACTTACAGCGAGAAATTTTTCCGTTTGCATTTTAAAATCACTGGTTGTAATATAAGATCGTAAACTGTTTGATTGCCGATGAAAATGATTGAAGAGCTTCTCAGCCAAAAGTTGATATCGAGGAAACAAATAAAGCTGTTTTATTCGATTGTTGAAAAGAAGGCGAAAAGCCAGATTTTTGAAAGAAAAATTTTTTTAGGTTCAATAAATTAAAAATTAAATTAAAAATTTACGGTAAATGTTGATAGGCTCACACCGTTCACACCTTCATCTTCTTTTGATTTCTCAGTCAAGATCTAAAAATAAAAAAATTAATTAACCTAAAAATTAAAAAAACATTCATTTTGGTTTTATATTGAGGTTATGTTGAAATCAAATTGTAATATTAATAAAAATTTAATCACGCGTATCAAGTCATGATGAATAAGCAACGATTTTTCTTTACAAAAAATTAAATCTAAAAAAGGTTTAAAATCCCTTTTTTATGAGATCACGCGAAATATTTTATTTAGATAAGATTAAAAAACTTTTCCTAACTTCACACTAAACCTAACATTCTATTGTTTTCATTTTGTTTAAATTCGCAACATATTTATTTGATTGCTTTTAACGTAATTATAAAAATACCTTTGCGAGTTTTTCAACCGGAGACATAATCGTTGGAACCGATTCTATTTCATCTCCGCTAGTTGTACCACCTCCACCCGTACTATTTTCCGATTTAGCCAAACTTTTTTTTCGTTCCCTTTGAGTACTTGAACCGATCGTGAACGCACCGCCCCGTTTCAAACTAGCCCCATTCGACGACGCGTGGTTCCCCATCTTATTCGATCCTCTTATTCTCCAAATGGGCGATGATGGTGGTCTTATTTGCTAAAGGGGTCGCATTTTTTTAAGAAAATACGGAAGAATCCGTGTGGTCTTAAAAACTAAAAAGAAAAAAAATTACGTTTGAAACACTGACGAGGTGAAGGGTCAGCGAGCGACTGATGACAGATTTTTTTTGACACATGACACTTTTTCAGTTTACGCCACCTGTTGCGCGAAAGGAATATTCAAAATTAATGATAATTTGTGCTAATTAGAATTTAACCAAATAAACATTTGTACTAATTTAATCATATCTTGCTAACTTAAAGCAGATAATTATTAAAATAATTTCCATAAATAAAAAAACGATTAATGTAACAATAACAATAAAAATTGAATATAAAATTTAAAAATTAAATTGATAAAAAAATAAAAATAAATGACATAACCTCAATTACAATCATATTACAATAACAAAGTACAAAGTTCATAAATATCAAAGGGTAACAATATAATTAAAATAATTAATAATAATGGCTTTATTAAGAAATTTTAGACCGTTTTTAGGTAACAAAAGATCTCAAAAAAAAAATTTCTAATTATAAAAATGATATTTTTAGGTTCAAATTTAATTAAACGAACAATTGCTTCATTAAATTCCCTTCCGGAAACCCACCAAATGCTACAAAAATCATGCAGGGATTTCGCAGAGGGCGAATTAAAACCGATAGCTTCAAAAATCGATAAGGAACATTTATACCCAAAAGAACAAATTAAAACAATGGGTGAACTCGGATTGATGGCAGTTGAAGTTCCTGAAAGTTACGGAGGAACCGGTTTAGATTATTTAGCATACGCTATAGCCATGGAAGAAATTTCAAGGGGGTAACCAACAATAAATAAATTAATTAATTTTTTAATTAATTAAATTTTAGATGTGCAAGTTGCGGTGTTATAATGTCAGTAAATAATTCCCTTTATCTTGGTCCTATTTTACATTTCGGAAACGATTCACAAAAACAAAAATACATAACCCCATTTACTACGGGTGAAAAGGTTGGTTGTTTTGCTTTATCAGAACCTGGAAATGGTTCCGATGCGGGTGCAGCATCAACAACAGCAACGTTAAAAGGAGACTCATACATTTTGAATGGAACGAAAGCCTGGATAACCAATGGATATGAGAGTGAAGCGTCAGTTGTATTTGCAACAACTGATAAATCAATGAAACATAAAGGTATTTCCGCTATAATAACCTCGAAGCCGACTTCGGGATTAGATTTGGGTAAAAAAGAAGATAAATTGGGAATAAGAGGTTCAAGTACTTGCTCGTTAATTTTCGAAGATTGTTCGATCCCGAAAGAAAATTTATTAGGCCAACCCGGAATGGGTTTTAAAATTGCAATGATGACGTTAGATTCGGGTCGAATTGGAATTGCCTCGCAGGCTTTAGGTATTGCGCAAGCCTCGTTAGAAGTTGCCATCGAATACGCAAATAAAAGGTTAGCATTTGGAAAGCCCTTAACTAAATTACAAACGATTCAAAATAAATTAGCGGAAATGGCTCTACAATTGGACTCAGCTCGATTATTAACATGGAGAGCCGCTTGGTTAAAAGATAACAAAAAACCGTACACAAAAGAAGCAGCTATGGCTAAATTAGCTGCGAGCGAAGCAGCAACATTTTTAAGCCATCAATGTATACAGATTTTAGGTGGAATGGGATATGTTTCCGAGATGCCTGCTGAACGGTTTTATAGGGATGCTAGAATCACGGAAATTTATGAAGGAACATCAGAAATACAGAAATTAGTTATCGCAGGAAATTTACTCAAAGAATATTCATAAATATATTGAAAAAAATCTATTTTTATATGTAATAAATAATTTGACATCTGTCAAAATTTTTTAACATAACCTCAATTTTATTGTTAATATTTAATTAACATTGCTCTAGCAACTTCGCTTGCTTTTTCTTTTCCAACTAATTTCTCAACAATTGCCAAAGCAAAATCATAAGCGGTACCAGGTCCTCTACTTGTTATAACATTCGAATCAACTACCACTTTATCTTCTAAATAAGAATACAAACCACCTTCGATCAGTTGCTCTTTAACTGTCGGATAAGACGTGATTCTTTTTCCTAATGCGATGCTGTGTGCTTTTAAAGCTGTTGGGGCTAAAATGCTTGGCATAATTATTTTTTTGTATTACTATAAATCAAATTTAACCTGCGCAAATCGCAGCGATAACATCTCCTCTTTCTTCTTGCTTTTTAAGCATTTTTCCAACTTCCAAAGAACAAGAAAGCGCTTTGGATCCACCTAATCCCCCAGGTAAAACCAACGCATCATAGTCCTTTTTTAAAGCTTCAGCTATCCCAATATCGGGTTTAATCACAATGTCACGACTACAGAGTATTGGGCAGTTATCGGGAATGCCGGCTACTGTTACTCCAATCTTTTTAATAATGACCGTTTTATTTTCAGTTGAATAAAGGAATTAAAAGGTATTACCCCGGCTCTACGAAGAACGTCAGCAGCGATAACAAATTCCATTTCTTCGGCTCCTTCAGCCAAAAAAACTAAGGCTGTTTTCGGAGGAATGGGACACTTGGACATTTCTAATACCCGATTTAATAAACTGGTGGATGTTTTCAATTTAAATTGGTCGAAAAGGCGATTATTTGTAAGTTTTAAAGCGATTGAAAACATTCAAAACGTAATAACCTTAAATGTCACTTTTAGTGATGACCAACTTTCAAAAAATTAAAATCACCACAAAAATACTGTTATTCTTAATTGTTATACCTATATTTATAATTGTGTAAATAAATTGATAAAAAAATTAATTTTATAAGATTATTTTAAAAAAAGTTTAATTAATTTAATTAAATAATTTTTTTTAATTTTTGGAAAAATAAAAATCCCCAAATCCACATAACCTCAAAACAACAACCACATGCGTTCATAATAGACTATATTCAAAAAATACCGCTATTGCTTAATTTTAGAAATAAATCGATCATGAAAAGAAAAGTAAATCCACCCAAACCTCCAGAAATTAAAGAAAGCGTAAGTTTTATTATAAATAACGAGAAATGTAATTAGTTTGATTTTAACTCTAAATAGGACAATGATTTACTCAACGAAATGAATGAATTGGATAGTAATGATTCTGAAAGTTATGAAGAAGATGAAGAAGATTTTGAAACCGATGAGGAGGCAACATCCGCAGAAGAATCAGATGATTTCAATGAAGAAGAAGAGAGTGATTATGATGAAAATGATGGCAGTGAGGATGAAGATGATGGAGATAACGAAAATGATGAGGAAATCAAAGAAAATCAAGAATCAACAAAAGAATTCACTGAAAATAAATTAAAACCGACAAAAATTAAATCAAAAAAAAATGAATACGAAGATTATGATACTTCCGATGAAGAAGATATCCGTAATACAATCGGAAATGTTCCAAAAAATTGGTACAATGATTATAAACATTTCGGTTATGATTGGGATGGAAAACAAATTATAAAACCGGAAACGGGGGATAACATTGATAATTTTTTAAAGCGAATTGAAGATCCCAATTTTTGGCGAACAGTCAAAGACCCACAAACGGGTCAAGATGTTGTTTTAACCGACCAAGATATTAATTTAATAAAGAGAATACACGGCGGGAAGATTCCCGATGAAAATTTCGAAGAATATGCCCCTTGGATCGAATGGTTCACTTCCGAAGTAATGGAAATGCCCGTTAGAAAATTCCCCGAACACAAACGATCCTTTTTGCCAAGTAAAAATGAAGCAAGAAAAGTTGCAAAATTGGTTCACGCATTAAAAATGGGATGGATTAAAACTAGGGAAGAGGAGGAAAAGTTACGGGCGAAGAAAGAACCACACTTTTATATGTTGTGGGGTACTGATGATCAACCGGAAGAGATGCGGCGTATTCATAAACATATTAAAGCCCCAAAACGGTTACTTCCAGGTCATGCTGAAAGTTATAACCCACCTTCAGAGTATTTGTTTGACGAGAGAGAATTGAAGAAATGGAATAAACAAAAAAGTAATCCAATTGAAAGGAAATTACACTTTTTACCACAAAAATATGAATCTTTACGCAAAGTTCCCGCGTACTCTAGGTATATAAAAGAACGTTTCTTACGTTGTTTAGATTTATATTTATGCCCTCGAGCTATAAAAATGAAATTAACAATTGAACCGGAAGCTTTAGTACCCAAACTCCCATCGCCAAGAGATTTACAACCATTCCCAACAGTTCTCTCAATAGAGTACAAAGGTCACAGTGATATGGTTCGTTGTATAACTTTAGATAAAACTGGACAATATTTAGCTTCTGGTTCTGACGATGAAACAGTAAAAATTTGGGAAGTAAACACCGGAAGATGTTTGAAAACGTTTAACACAAAAGGAATCATCCGTTCAATTGAATGGTGCCCAAATCAATCAATATCTCTACTTTTAGTGGCCTCAAATAATCGGGTTTTATTGATAAACCCAAATGTAGGAGATTTTTTAATCTCATCGAAAACCGACTCTATTTTAAAAGAATTTAATCAAGAAACAACGATTCAAAGTGAACGAATCACAACATCCGTTCAATGGATTAATGAAATCGATGAAAGCGATTACTTAAACGGATTTAGAATTATATTAAATCATTTTAAAGAGATAACGCAAGTAAGTTGGCATGGAAAAGGTGATTATTTCGCTTCCGTTATGCCTGATGGACAAAATCGTTCTGTTTTAATCTCGCAATTATCGAAAAGACGGTCGCAATTACCATTTTCAAAGTCGAAAGGGCTCATTCAATCAGTTTTATTCCACCCCATTAAACCACTTTTATTTGTTGCCACACAAAAACATGTGCGAGTTTATGATTTACTTAAACAACAATTAATCAAAAAACTGTTAACAAATTCGAGGTGGGTTTCCACGATGGATATCCACCCAGGTGGTGATAACCTATTAGTTGCGACGTACGACAGGAAAATATTGTGGTTCGATTTGGATTTAAGTACAAAGCCTTATCAGACATTACGTTTACATGGAACTGCTGTCCGAGGAGTTGCTTTCCACAAACGATATCCATTATTCGCGTCAGGATCGGACGATAGGAGTTTAATCGTATCACACGGAATGGTTTATAACGATTTATTGAAGAATCCTTTAATTGTTCCGTTAAAGAGGTTTCAAGATCACGATCCTTTTAATGATTTTGGAATTTTTTCTGTTAAATTTCATCCGTTACAACCATGGGTTTTCAGTTCTGGGGCTGACGGCACAATTAAATTGTATACTAATTAAATAAATTGATTTAGATTAAATAATTCTACAAAATAAATTTTTTTAAAATTTAATTAAGTTTTATTTAAAAGTCAATTTCCAATAACTGTTTGACATTTGAGGTTATTTTGTTGAGTTCCTTTGAATTCTTAAAGTGAATTTTCATAAAATAGGTAAGTTTTTTACTTATTTTCGTATTAAACAACAATTATACTTGTATTCAATATTTAATATAATGGCCATAAAGATTTTAGCCCAAAAAAACTTAAATTGAGAAATATAATTTAAAAAAGTAAAATCACTAAATGTCAATGTCAAATTGTTAAAATTATTTTTATTTGAATTGAAAAACAGTTAATAAAATCATTAAGTATTTCCTTCATGTGAATCCAACAATAATTTTCCATTTTTGTCCTTAATTCGAATCCTTCCGTTACTATATCTCGTCTCTTGAATTCCATCTGGGTATATAATCTTAACAGTTCCATCTAAATATTCTCTCCTCTAAAACCAAATAAGTTAAGTTAGCTGATTATTGATTAAAATTTATAAATACCATGTGATCCTTGGTATGAATTTCTTTTTGTCCGTTTGCAAACATAATTTCTTTATCACCATCGCAACTAATATTCACTCTCATTCCGTCGGGGTAACTTAAGTCTTCCGACTTATCCGGTCGGGTTACTTTCACGATTCCATCGGGATGTTTTATTTCGTAACTTCCATCGGATCTTTTCGTTTCAATTTGACCACTAAATTATATTGATAAAAAAATAATTATTAAAATTAATAATTAAAAGTGAATTTAATTAAAATTAAACTTCTTCAGGGCTTAAATTTAAATTGTAGTAGAAACAGCGAAAAATCTTAAATATTGGCCATAACACACATCTTAATACCATGTGAGAACCACAAAGGTCGAACATCGGTCAACAAATAAATTAATAATAAAAATAATGAAAATTATGATTCTTACTCTTTAAATTCGATAATTTCAGTTCCATCTGGAAAAGTTGTATGCATACTCTCATTTTCCGCATAAAAATATTTTACAGTTCCATTTATGTTATTAATTTCTTTTTGATCGCCATTAAAATAATTCATTGTTACTAAATTTCCGTCGGCTGAGATGGTTTTGATGTTTCCGTTGGAGTATTTTGTTTCTTTTGAACCATCGTCAAGAATTCTTTCAGTTTTTGTTGATTTTAGCGAATCATTTTTTGATACGTTTTTTGATTCATCTTTAATTGAGTTATTTTTTGATTCATTTAATTCGTTATGGTTACCGAAAACTTCCTCATAAGTTTTCAATAAATTCTCATCGACTAATTCTCTCGCTTTTCTATCTAAATCCTCAGGAGTTTCAACAATAATCCTCTCGGAACAAATTTCCTTATTATTTTGATTATTATTTTCTTCTTTTTCTTGAATAACTACTTTATTTTCTTTTGCCAATTTCGATAAATTTTTATTGATTTCTTGTAAAACTTTACTTTCAGTTTTTTTCCTCAAGGTAGTGCCCATTCTTTGTTCGTTAATAATTTTCGCATTTTGCTTTCTTAACGTATCAATTTCATCTTTTAATCTTCCAATATCTTTTTCATAGTTCTTTAATTGATTCCGTAATCGAGCTTGAGACGTTGCATTTCGACGATCCTTTAATTTAGCTGCTTCTTTTACTGTGGCCAATTCATCCTTTAATTGAATAATTTCCTCTCGTTCTTTTCGATTCGTCCGAGATTGAACATCTTTTACATAACTAAGAAATAAAGAAAAAATATTAAAATATTTTTTGACATTCACATTTAGGTTATAACTTTGTTGATGTTGGTCAAGGTCTATAGAACGTAAGGTTACCCAATGCCGATTCTCCTGCTCTGAGAGGCAAGGTGGGTCAGTGACGTAGCTGATGCTATGAACAACACAACACCATGCGAGGTTTAAATATTTTATATAGACTGTACCACAGTATAGGCTATCTTTTACTCAACTCTTTACTCTGACTGTATCGAACCAGTGACGTCAATCTATGGGGTAATAATCGATACTACAGAGGCATAGGGAATTAGGTAACCTTATGTTCTATAGACCTTGGATGTTGGTTTCTGATATTTGACAGTTTCTACATAACATTTTTTACCGTTCAAACATCAATTTTTCTTTAGCAAAGGCTTTTTTCTCCTCTTCCAAATAAAACTCAACCTTAACTTTCTCTTCTAAAACATATTTTTCAAACATCCTCTTATCCTTTCCTAATTTCCCCAATTCTCGATCAATTTCAAATCGTTTCTGTTGCAAAGTAGCGTTTTCCCGGCGAAACTTTTCGATTTCCTCGTCCAATATCTTCAATTTTTTCATCAAAATCTCATCATTATTACTATTGCTTCCCTCAGTTTTATTTTCGGATAATGTTATTTCATTCCACGACGTCTCATCTTCAAGCGTTGATTCCTCACCCTTTGAATCTGAAGTCGAAATAGTTCTGGATTCATCTTCACAACAAACACTTTTTGTTTCATTTTCAGTTTCCAATTCACTTTTTTGTGATGTTTCAGAGCTTAAACTCGAACAAAAGGATGATTCCTCAATAATTTCTTTCTCAAATTGATCGATTTTATCATCTCTTTCATTTTTTAAACTTTTTAATTTATTTGGAGTACTCGACAAAATTTTTAAGATGCTCGAATTTGTCGAACTAAAACTAGAATTCAATATCTTTTCTTCTAAAGCTTCAAAAATCAATAATTCTCGTTCATTTAAAAGAGTTTCATCACTAACTTCACACTGATTGTGATTATTTCTCAATGGATTAATATCGTCTTCATTTGTATTGATCATTTTAACACCAGCGATTTCATTTATATTCAAAATAGTTTGTTTTATTAATATATCTTGGGCTATTTTTAATGAATTCATTTCGTCATCTAATTTAATCTCATAATCGGAAGGTAATTTTAAAGGAGAAGCTATATTTTTATCACATTTTACGACCTCCTCAATGTTTTGATGATGAATATCTATATTTATCTCCAATTCCATATCATCGTCATTCTTAATTTCACATTTTTTATTTTTTTGAATACTAATTTTTTTACCATAAGGTTTTTTTGAGTCTTCTTGAGTCATTTTATACCTAACCAAACCAGAACCGCGTTTTAAAAACTCCCGTTTAGGTTTTCTTTTATCATGTTGTTCATCAATTATAATCGGAGAATCCATGGATTCATTACAGTTTCGATGTTGATTCGATTCAATTGATTTTTGAGTACTTTTTTGCAACCTCGTCCCAATTGGGGTCTCTTGTATCGAAATCGACTCAATTTCTTTCAAGTCATCTTCGAATTGAGAAACTTTTCGTGAAGTTTGCAGTCGTTCCTGTTGTTTAGATTGCCATTTTTTTAATTCTTCTAATCTCGCCAATATATTCGAGTTCATTTCTACATTTAAAGTATACAATTAATTAAAACTTAAAATTAATTGTTTAAACTAAAAAAATATAAGAAATTTTTAGGTTATGTTTATAGACGCCTTGACGTTTTTTAAAAATGACGTCCTCTAAAAATGTTTAGTAAAATTAAATTAATTTCATAAAAAAATAGTTTAAAATTACATTTTTATTAAAATTATTATTTTATGATTATTTATTCAATAAAATGAAATTATTTTTTAATATTTTATAGGTGAACAAACTTGCGCCATCTCACGGAGAATTACTCAATAAACACGGTTTTTTTTTTTTACACATTGACGTTTTTTAAAAATTTTTATTCAATTTCATTAAGTTTAAATTACGACATAATTTGCGATTACAATAAAATAATAAATTACAGATCAACCCCTTTTAAATTAGACGACGACAATATCGGCAATTTCTCATTTTCATTGGGAACGAAAACTCCGATTGGTTTAATTGCGTCCCTTTTCGTCTTCAATTTTCTCAATTCTAACTTTAATTTATCTAAAATTGCAAAGTTCGGTGAATTAACGGCAGCTTTGCTTTGTAACAAAGTAATTTCTTGTTCCTCCAATTTTTTTTCTTTAAAACTTTTTACCGAACGATTTCCGTACAGCCTCAAAAGCGAACCCCACGAGGTTATATGTGGGTGTAGAGCTTGTAAGATTGCTTGAGATGCCCTTTGCTTGCCATCGCGCTTGTTTTTGCAGATTACGGTTGCGGTGTGTTTTCCGACTGTCATCATAAATTCGTTTTTTTGGTGTTTTAATGTATGCCCTTCGTAACTTATTTTCATTTCACCCAATCCAAAATTTCTTTGTAAACATGTTAGTAGAATATCGTGCGGTGAAGGTTCCGTGGTTTTGGCACAAAACTCAGCTACTCTCGGATCTTCGATTTTTATCGTATCAAAGAACTAAAAATTAATACATTAATTAAATTTGATTAGTTAAGTTTTATTAATCATTTATTTACTGATAAATCTTGATCTTGAGATTTACTCGTACTTGATCCGCCAGTTTTCGTATCGGCTGTTATTTTTGATCTCATCTCAGGAATTAAAATTTCTAAAGTAACTCGAGCCGCCTCTGATTTAGCTTGTTTTTTACTTGTTCCATAACCTACTCCATATTGCATATCATTTATGGAAACAGTAGCTGCATAAGGTGTAGCTGCGTTCTCTAAGAATCATCAAAATAATTATTGTTACACCTCCGGTTACAACTTAACCTATTCTCTACAATTTTTTATACCTAATTCTGTAAACTTATAAGTAGGTTGTTTTTTTAAAGCATGTTGAACATATTCGTGTAAAATACAAACGTACGATTTGCCATTCGGATTCATAATCCATTCTTTTTTTGAATTTTGACCGTTTGTTTCTCCGTCTTCTTGAATTGGAAAAGTAATCAACTTAGTCCCTGCAATAAATTAATTAAACACAAATTTTAATTTTGGTAATAAACATTTAACCATCGGGCAAAGTAGGCCGTTGCAAATGCTTCTCTTGTTTCTTTTTTTTACTATATTGCCGCCTTTCGCTCCATGATTTAAACCTCATCACATTAATCGCTTTAAATTGAAACAATTTCTCGCAATACTGCCTTAATTGTTCAGGACTTAAATTTTGCGTTTTAATATTTTCTAGAATCGTTTCGATTTTAGCGTTGGGTAAATCATTTTGCGATTTCTTTTTTTGTTGTTCCGCCTCCTCATCTAAGGCCCGTTTATAATTAAGGCATGGAATCGCGTTTAACGGTACTTGATGTTTCTAAAAAGATAACCTCAAAAAAAACTTAACAATTCTTAATTTTCTCTTTACCCGAGCACTGCCAGGTCCTAAAAAATATGGCCTTGACAATGTACAAACCCTCGACGATTTGTGTAAATATAAATGCATCCCACTATTATGTGTCACTTGAATCCAACCTTCAGGAAGTACCTCAAAATGGTTATGACCTTTCTCAATTAATATAATTTTTTCTTTTTGCTCAAACGGCTTGATGTCACCATCTAAATGACCGGCTTTTCGTTTCTTCCCTCTAAGTGCTTCATCTAACATTTGCTCAATTTCTTCTTCAGGAACATCCGTGTCAGTATCTTCCGATTCTCTATCATCCGATTCATTCTCGATTTCATCCAAAACATGAAATTTTCTAACCTCAATATTATCGTCATTAAATTCATCGTTGACTTCTTTATTTGATATGGGGCATTTTGAAGATTCCCCGTTTGAAGTGGACGGATTTTCCATTTTAATCCTTTTTAGTTATTTTGAGGTTATGTTGGTTGACCTCGGGATGTTTTCGAGCGGTTACGAATTAAAAGAGCATTTCAACTTGTTTAATTTGAAAAATTGGAATGCTTTTTAGCTAGAACCGCACAAAAACCGGGCTAAAATTAAATATTTTTTGTATTTATTCGATTTTGAGTTGATACGAAGTGATCTGAAGCTTCAAAAGCGGTCGATTTTGACAGGTTTAGGTTAAAAAATTGTAATCTGTTTTTTTTATTAATTACGTTTGAAATTTACTAAAATTCATTTATTCGATTTATTTTATACAGTGGTAAACTTAACTTTTAAGAATTTATAAAATTAAAATCAAATATCTAATAAAGTTCTAAACAAAGTTTTTTTTGTGATGTTGGTAATAATCTTTTAAAAAGTTTTCTTTATTATCGCCAAAACAATTTTAAATATTAGTTGGTGATTCATTTGTTATAATAGTATATTGTTTTATATGGAAGAGAAGCAGCAAGAAGCAGTGTTTTTTATGGTGTGGTCTGTCGTTTAGCGACGAACGCAGTGAGTCGCTAATGACTAATGACAGATGAGCCGTTAAAATTGTAGCGTGTTCGACAGTTTGCCGGATGAACGAAGTAAGTCCGGCAATGACGGACCAGCCACAAACGAAACTGCTTCTCTTCCGAATAAAACATAGTAATTTTTCTTCAAACGTTGCAAATAATACGGCGCTAAAGTGAAATGTTCTTTAACGTTATGGCGCTAAAGTTAAATTTACTTTAACTTATTTACTAAAAAATTTTTATTTATTTATTGTGTTTAAGGTCTAATTTATAGTTAAATAAGAATTTTAGGCTTGCGAAAACGTTATCATCAATAAGGTTAGTATATAATAAGTTATTGTAATTATTTTTTAATTTTTATTCATCGAAACTGATTTAAGCGGTGTAATTTAATAGGTTAGGTTTTTTTTTATTTCAATGTTGGTGATAATTTTATTACCAACATTACAAAACAGTTTTAAAACTTAGTGCTGTTTTGTTTCATATAAAAGTCAATTTTTTTGTGTGTTTCAGGTTTAATTTCGAGTTGTAACGAGTAATTTGGATTTAATACAATGTCCCGAAGACGTTACCCACAGGTTAGTGATAATTATTTTTTTTTACTTTGAAGTTTTAAATTTAGACGGTGTAACCTAACCTTACTTTTACATAAAAAAATATATATTTATAGAATAACCTTGAAAGTTTTAGGTGATTTTTCGATATTTAACGGTGATTTCGTTTTATTTGGTATACATTAATTAAGTAATTAAAGACATTTTTGCTTATAATGTGGGTTAAAAAAAGTGAGGTTAGGTTGTATCAAAACAATATCTTTAAAAGATACAAATATATTATTGTTTTTAATTAAAAACAAGTTATTTTATTAATAATAATTATTCTTGAATTCCATTACTCTCAATCGGAGGTACAAATGGATCAAATTGTTCGGGTTTTTTAATAATCCCCCATTTTTCGGCGCCTCGTAATGCTTCTTCAGCCGTTTTCTTAATCATTTCCATTCCATTTTCATCAATTTTCATTAATGCCATCAATATTTCTAAAATATCCGTTTCAATGAGTTTCTCGGCGACTTCTCTACTCGACGATATCATATTATTAATAACAACAACCCCTCGGTATTGCACATCTTTATTTGTATTTCCTAATAAACAGTGGATTCCGTCCAACCAGGATTTTAAATCGTAGATTTTCGAACAGCACTTTTCGCTTGACGACGTTAAAATGGCTAAAGCTCCGGAAGCTGCTAAAGTTGTGTCGGTGTCGTGATCCCCGCAAAGCGCAACTAATAATTTGATTTTGTCGTTGTCGCCTTCGTAGATTTTAACGACGTCGGGCGATAAAGTGAGATTTGTAATGCATTGAGTCGCAGCTCGGCACAGCATTAAATGATCCTCATATATGTAGTGTTCGATTTTCGAGAAACCCCCTTCTTTTAGAATTCTTTTCCGCGCTGATTCATCAATTTGCGCAATGTTACATAACCCCATTAAAGCCTCAAAATTTTCTAAAGCCGTACAATCGGGGTGTAACAAATTTAATAAAGGCCGGATAACCTCTAACGATCTTTGACCGGGAAACGCAACTTCCGGGTTATTTGTGATCGCAATCCTCGCTAAAGATTGACTCGCATGCTTTTTCCCCCTCTCAGTTCCGTTTAAACTCAACTTAAGAAGGACTTTAACCCCACCTTGTTGGATTATCCCACCGCGAAGCGATTCCTCGCTACATAAAGCATTAAAAACTCGCGATATTAATTCTTTTGAGTTATCACTTTCCGTTTTTGAGAGTGCCACGAGGGCCGTTGTGACTCCAATTTCACCGAGAGTTTGAATTCTTTTCGATATAAAATCGGGATCATCGAATTCGTGTTCTTCGGGAATGTGTTGCTTTGCAAATTTAGCGAGTTCAAGCATTTCCGGGAGAATTTCCTGTTTTTCGTAAGCGTTACAAAGGTTTACAAGGGTTGTTATTACACCGTAAAGGACTGATTGGTCGCCGGTTTTTGCTAATTCAATGAGGCTTAATAAAGCTTGGCGGTCCTCGGAAAGCTGTTCTTTCACCTAAAACAAAAAATAAATTAATTTAAGGTTATCTCTCATTGGCTAAGGCCCTCTTTTACCACCTTTTACCAGCCAATGAGAGCGCTTAAAACGGCTCTAACCATAGTAACTGTATTACTATAGATAGTTTATCGGGAGGAAAATATATTTACCTCTGCATCCAACGTTAAATATGATAGCCCCTCGGCAGCCCATTTCCTTAAATCGTTGTCCTTTCCGGGATGCATCAAAAATTTCCTGCAAGCTTGCGCTAATTTTAAATTGGAGCCTTCATCAAAAGGTCGTTTCGAAGCGTCCGTTCCCCCGGAACTCCCCAGTTTGCATAACCCAACTAAAGCTCGGATTCTAACCGCATCATTTCCCGTTTTATACAATTTTTTTAATATTCCGATTCCTTGAGTGATGATTGCTTTCGCTTTATCGGCTTTACTAGCCGCTGCTACGATACATTCGCAAGCTACTTTTTGTTGTAAAGGATCCTCGGTGTTTGCCATAACCAGCACCATCTCGATAATTCCGTCTCTTCCAATGACGGCATTTCCGACATCAATTGGACCTCTTAAAAGTGTTGTTATAGCGACCGTTGCGCGCACTTTTGACTCAATATCGGGTGCTAATAACTTTTCGCGTATAAATTCGTCGATTTTATTCATAAATCGTTCCTTTAACTCGTCGTAATACATATTTTCGTAGATTCTTGATAAACAAACTGCGGTTATCGTTTGGGTTGATGGGGTTATGTTCATCGCGCTTTCGTATTTGTATTCGGCTAACTCACTTGCGCACTCCAACAGTCGTTGCACCCCTCCGATATCCACCAATTGTTCGGCCCAGTTTAATTGGTTATAGTGAATATTTTTCATCAACAACTCAATAATTGCATCTCGAGCTATCCCGGATATCGATACGTTATTGACCGAATAAACCAAACATGACAGTAAAGTGTGGATTTCAAGTTTGTGTTTTTTGCAAAGTTCCGGGTCCGGTTTCGTATCCGGTTTAGTTTCCATTCCGGAATAAGTATTTAGAATGACTTGCATGCAATATTGTGCCGAGTTAACTTGTTGTTCGCAATTTGAATCGATTAATTCTAGAAACCACGGGATCCCGACGATTTTTAAAACTTTTTTGGTCCTTTCCGGGGATGATTTGCAAAGTTCTCCGATTATTCGAATAACAGCGACCGAAATTTCTTTATTTTTTTCGACTTTTAATAATTTTTTAAGTTCGACTACAATCTCTGAACTCAAAATAAACTCGGCCCCTGCATTCTCGCGGGCTAAAACTAAAAGGTTATTTACCGCAACCTCCCTTTTTTCTTTATCTCCCGATACGTCGAATAAAATATTTTTCATTGCATCGATTTTTGTTGAAATTTGAGCGTTTAATTGCATCCTTTCTTGAACTATACGGTGTAAACGCTCCAAAACGGGTTGGATAAATTTATTTCCTGGTTCTATGACTAATATTTGCCGAGCATCTTTATAAGCTTCTTCAAAACGTTGTAAATTTTCTAAAGCTTGGACTTTCCGGAATAAAGCTTTCGGATCGTTCGGAGTTATTTCTAAACTTTTATTACACGATTCCAAAGCATTTTCGTTTTCATTTAGCTTCAAATAGGCAGCTGCAGCGTTTTTATGATAAACTGCAGTGTTTTTTGGGTCATCGGAAAGTTCGATCGCTTCCAAATAATAATTTAGAGCTTCCGGGTAATTTTCTAATTTAAAAGCCGAGTTTCCTTTTTCTTTTAAACTATTTGAATCCTTCGACATGGTTCGAAATGGTTTCTTACCTTTTTGTTAAAGAGATTTTGTAACTATCTTTGAGGTTATGTTGTCGGTGGGTGGGCACCAACCAATCATTAATAAATGAGGTTAAGTATACAAATTGGGTGCGTTTTATACCCTGAAAATAAATACTACGGCGTGGAGTTCGAGAACGTTCTAAAACCGGGAGATTTATTTATAAATTTCTAAATCGGGTTTTTATTTACGTTTAGAGGTGTTAAATAAAAAATTTCCTGTAAGATGGCGCAATTTTTTTTAAAAATACCTTATTTATCGACATTGATAATAAAATAGAAACGTCACTGTCAAAGAAAAACATTTTGAGGTTATTTTTTTATGGAAACTTATTTAATTATTTTTTTATAATAAAAGAAAATGGTGAAGGTAAAAAGTTTAAAAGTAGCATTTTTCCACCCTGATTTGGGAATTGGTGGTGCAGAAAGATTGGTTTTGGATTTAGCAATAGCTCTGTCTGATCAAGGAATGGAAGTGAGCTTCATAACGAATCATTTCAATAAAAACCACGCTTTTGAAGAATTAAAAGCTGATAAATATCCTGTTACGGTAATTGGGGATTGGATTCCAAGGAGTATTTTTGGTTATTTCCAAGCACTTTGTGCTTACATTAGAATGATGTATCTTGCATTAATTTATGTAATCTTCTTTAAGTATGTGGATGAATCAGATGCCTTTATTGTTGATCAAATCCCAATGGCAGTTCCATTTTTAAAGAAATTCACTAATAAGAGGGTTATTTATTATTGCCATCACCCCGATTTACTTGGAAGTACTCCTGGAGGAGTTTTGAAGCGTTTGTATCGAAAACCCATAGATTTTATTGAACGAAAAGGGACGGAAATGTCTGATGTTATTTTAGTCAACAGTAACTATACAAGTGAAGTGTTTCACAGGACTTTTTCTGGGGTTAAAAAGGATTTAAAGATTGTTTATCCCACTATATCAAACTTGTTTCTAAATAATTTAAAAAAAATTAAAAAGAAATCAATCCAAGAACTTAACGATTTATTAAAAACAAATATGGTAGATAATTCCACTTTGTTTTTATCAATAAATCGATTTCATCCAGCGAAAAAACTCGAATTATCAATAGAAGGTTTATATAACCTCAAAAAAAACACCCAAAAACAATTCCATTTAATCATCGCTGGAGGTTATGATCCAAATTCGACAATAAATAAAATTTATTTCAACAAATTAATGGAATTAACTCAAAAATTGAGGTTAGAATCTAATATAACCTTTTTAAAGTCACCTTCGGATGATTTAAAATCTAAATTATTAGTTTCTTGTGATTGTTTACTTTACACACCGATTAACGAGCATTTCGGAATTGTTCCATTGGAAGCAATGGCTGCTGGGAAAGTTGTGATAGCATGTAATAGTGGGGGGCCGAAGGAAACTGTCGAAAATAATGTTACTGGGTATTTATGTGAAGCTACAGATGAAGGTTTTTCTGGAGCTATGTTAAAAGTTTTGGGGGATGATGCGAAAAGGACCAAAATGGGGAGAGAAGGTTTAAACCGGCTACAAAAAATGTTTGGGTGGGAAAAGTTTTGTTCTGATGTAATGGGTGTTGTTATGGATGTGGTTTGTGGTGATAATAATAAAAAGAATTTATAAGAATTTGTTATTTTTTTATTAAATTAAAAATAAATAATTTTTTTTCATTGTGTCAGTCGAAACTTTCTTTTGTAACCAACTTCACGCGTAATAATATGTCGAATGTCAAAATAATTATCTGTCAAGAAAGGTGATACTAACAATTTTATTTATATTGATGAAAAATTTTGCGTTATAACATAAAATTAAATAGAAAATGGTAATTATTATAAATAAGATAAAATATTTTCAGTATAATTTTTTTTTTTTAGTTTCAATTTGGATTTAATATGTTCCCCGAGGTTCCGCGGCCGTTTCATACAACTTATAAGTGTTATTCAGTGGCAATGCTACCGGGTAATGAACGGCAAGATGTTGAACGAGGAGGGAAAAGTAAGTGTTTAATTGAATTATATTCAAAATCTTAATGTTTATATATTAAGTTATAATGCCTCCATCCGCATTGGAACAACTAACACGATTAAACATTAATTATCCAATGTTATTTAAAATAACCAATAAGCGGACGAATTGTAAGACTCATTGTGGTGTCTTGGAGTTTGTAGCCGATGAAGGGAATGTTTATTTACCGTTATGGGTGAGTTCTTTAAGCTTAGCGAGATTTTTAATGTCGCTATTTCTCATTTAAGATGATGCATAACTTGGTGTTAGAGGAAGGAGATTTTATCACAATCGAAAGCGTTTCCTTACCCGTTGGAACATTTTCAAAATTCCAGCCACTTTCTGCAGATTTCCTTGACATAACCAATCCTAAAGCTGTCTTAGAAAATTGCCTAAGAACCTTTGCATGTTTAACAACGGGTGATGTAATTGCAGTTAAATATAACCAAAAAGTTTACGAACTAAGAGTCCTGGAAACGAAACCTTTAGAAGCAATAAGTATCATAGAATGTGATATGAATGTAAGTTTTGTATGATCAAAAGTGTACTTTAAAAAATAATAATTTTTAAGGTGGAATTTGCCCCGCCCGTTGGTTATAAAGAGCAAGAACATACAAAAAAAGTTGAGGAAGAGGAGATGGCTGTGGATCCAGCTGATTTAATGCCGGAACCTTCAGGTTTTGTAGCTTTCCGTGGTCAAGGTAATCGGTTAGATGGAAAGAAGCGAAAAGATTCTACTTCGAATGATGTTCCAACGGCTAAACCAACTTACATTAGAGGAATTCCTGATTACGATTACCAAGTGGGGTCTTTGAGGTTCATTAGGAGGATTAATGAACGACCTTCATCCAGTAAAGAGACGGATGCTGGGGAGGAATTTAGGGCTTTCAGTGGAACTGGGTTTACTTTAAAAAAAAGTCGAGATTAAAATAATTAAATGTATGTGAATAATGATTATGAATTTGTATTGAATGATAAGATTAGTAATAAAATAATTGTTTCGGCGACATCTATTAACTTAAAAAAAGACTAAATCAATTTAATTTAGCTTTTTGGCACCAGATGGATACCATATTGCCACAAATTGACATAACCTAACAAATAACCGCAAAATTATAGGGATGATTATCGACTTTTAAGATTACAAAATGTTAAAATCAATCCAATTAATTAATTTATTTAAATTGACCTTAAAGTCTACCAATTCAACCCAATCAGGTGAGAATTCAACTTTCCAATTAAAATAGATAAATTATGACCTCACTGTTTTTGTCAATATTAATTATTTTTATATATGAATTCAAGCCCAATCTCGTGAAATAAAACGTTGGGTTGCCCCAACGCTACGAGAATTGCAAAGGCGTAAAGATAAATGTGGCCCAGAAAAACCTGAACCTCGTTCAAACCACTTGGAATGGAATTATGAAGCGGAATTATTCGCCTTTGGGAAACGATTGGGGGAGGATTTTCACCAAAACCTCCTCAAAAAAGCTTTAATCCAAAAGGAGTACGCTCGAGATAAAAACGAAAATGAAAATCTCCAATTAGAGGATAATTCCGAGATGATTCTAAACGGAAAAGATATTATCAACAACTTTTTATTCAAAGAGTTTAATAAAAGTTATCCTGATGTTATTGTGAAAGTTTTGAAAGATTATTTAACAAGGGAAAAAATATTGGCAGAAGTTGCCGTCGCAATTGGATTGAAGGATATTGTTTTAACTAAAGTGAGGTTATGATTTTTATTTATTGAAAAATATTAATTTTTGTATTTCAGGAATTTCCGATTGAAGTTAAAACTCTTTCAAACACTTTTTGCGCTATTATCGCCGCTTTGGAAAAATCATCCGGCTTGGATACAACACAAAAATTTCTTAATGACTTCTTAATTGCCCAATTAAGGGGAAAAGAATTATTCGATATATGGAATTTAGAAAATCCATACTTATTTTTAAAAGATCTCCTTAAAAACGAACAAATCGAACCGAGATTATGCAATCAATCAGGAATTAACACAATTTTAGCAAATTATCAGGTTGGGTTATTTTCCGAAAAAAAATTATTGGGTATTGGGTTTGGAGAGAATGTTGAAGTTGCGAAGAATACCGCAGCTTTGGATGTTTTAAATAAGATTTATATGAAAAAAAAGTTTTCGTTTGTATAGGTTTAAAATAATTTTTGTAGGTAATGTTTAATAAATATTAATTAAATCAAACTTACCTTTTTTTGATTTGAGTTAGGTGAATTGAATTGAATTAATTTTAACATTACTCGTTGTTAAGAAATTAATTAAATGGAAGTTAGCAACTCAATCATAGATGGCGCTCTAACCTCAATTAAAATCCATCAAAACTAATCTAACCAAATCTAACTTAGAAATAAGAAAATATAGAAATGTCGCTAAAAAGCGATTTAATCCAAGTTTTACGCCCATATTATTTAATTAACATCGCTTTAAGCCTTTCTTATTTGATCTCAAAAAAGATTCCGGTGTTATGCGAGTATTTATTTCAAGCGGAGGAGTGCGAATTGGATGGGGTGAGGTTATGTTACCCTTTATGACTTCTATTCATACAAATCATTTTTAGAGAGAAACCGAAATATTATTCTTCCTTTTGATTGTAATTACATTAAGGACTCGTAAATCAGGTCGAGTTAACATGATAAGTTACTTATCGGCAAGTTTTATTTACACAAAAATCGCTAATTTAATTTTGTGGTTTTACGCCGATTTCGTTATGGGGATTATTTATGGAGTTGTTTTTATTTGTAAGTTTAAAAAATAACATCACTGAAAATATTGACATATTAATTGTAGTTACCGCGTTGATATTACCTGAACCAACGTATTCCGGACCAAACCGAGTCATTTATTTTCGCGATCTAAAATCGTTGGAAGACGAATTAAAAGATAAAAACACCATTTGGTTGATTGAATTTTACACGGTTTGGAGCCCGAGTTGTATTGATTTTGCACCGATTTATTCTGAATTAAGTTACAAGTTTAGTTTGGATAATCTTAAATTTGGAAAATTGGATGTTGGGAGGTTCCCGGAGGCTGCAAGGAAGTATCGCATTAATGATGGAAGTCTTAGTAAGCAACTTCCCACGTTGATTTTGTTTCGGGATGGGGAAGAAAGTGAACGGAGGCCTTTGATTGATGCTAAAAATAAAGTGGTCAAGTTTAATTTTAGTGAAGAGACCGTTCGGGGAGCTTTCGATATTAAAAATTTGTTTGATTCTTGTAAAGTTGGGTTGAAATCGAAGAAACATTTAAAATCGGACTAATTTTGGGACAAAATTGAGATAATGTATGTTATGATGATGACGTGAATAGAGAGGTGTTTAAAAAAAAATGTTTGATTTCTATATAATTGTATATATTTATACGACAGAATACTGTATACAATATCTACGTACAAGTCACGTTTAAGCGGTCTGTATTATTATTTTTTTTCTATGTACTAGAAAAATATAGTAGAATGGCACTTTACATTAATTTTTTTCTTACTTATTTCTTTCTTTTTTAATTCATTTTATATCATTTTCTTTACATTATTGTTGCTGTTGTGGTGTGAGTTTTGCTGGTTTACAACGAAAAAGTTTCTTTTAATACAAAAAAATAATACTAATTAATAATTAAAAGAAAAACAACCTAATTCGCTTATTATCTACTCTCGATTCCAATGATATTGCAATGAAAAAAACATTTTGATGTGTGGGGTAATAAATAATCGTGATGATGTACGTGTGATGATCATTCGCACTTAAATAATGATTATGATTAGGTTAGATTGATTTTTTTTGCCTTTTTGTAAGTATATTTTTAAAAAAATGGGTGGCGAGGGAGCACACAATGAACACATTTAATTAAAAACCTAAATCGCCTCAATATCTAAATCGCTAAACTTAAAAAAGAAAAAAATTCTAATTCATACTTTTTTCTTTCGAAATTAACCTAAGTTTTTTTTCTTTTTTACTTTCTAATGATACTGATATACACAAAAATGTTTTTATTTTATTTTTATTTTTTCATCCTCAAAAGTTTCTTTCATTATCATCTAAATTCTAAACGCAACATCCGACCTTAATTGCTACAAGACCCTTTCTTTATGTTATTTTATTTTATTCACTGGTTACTGACTTATTTTTTTAATTGTATATAGAATATAATCCGCATAATTTTCTTGGATTAATTTATTTATTAATTTTTTTTGTCTTAGAGATTGTTCGTTTTCTGGCACCGAATTTCTATATCTCGTGGTGTTTTACGTCTTGTTAATTCAATATTTTTAAAAAGCATTCAAAAAAATCGCTTATTTGAGATCTATTCCACTTAAAACCTATCGATTCTTTAAAATTATTAAAAAGAAAAAAATCGTTTTTTTTTCTACAAATCAAAATAAATCGAAATAAAAAAGAATAATCAAAAAATCAGTCTGCTTTAAAACTTAAAAAAAAAATAAAAAAAAAGTTCCTTTTTCTTGTGATTCTTAAGTTACTTGAGTTTTGGGCTTACGCCCAAAGGAGGTAACTTATAGTGTACTATGTGAAATGGGGGTCCGATCGGGCTGGTATTACCGGAGTTTCCGTAATTGGGGGCGATCGCGATCGGGGGTCCACTTCCGCTTCCGCCGATCGTTGGACCCGCGCAAGATCTGCCCCGTTTGCGGCGCGGCAAAATGCCTTTCCGAGCCATGTAAAATCGAATCGTCGATATTGGGATGTTGAATTGATCGCTGACCGTTTGGAAAGTTTGTCCGCGCGTTATACACTCAGCCGCCCTTCGTAGTTCTTCATCCGATCGTCTTACACGTCTACTTGCTGAACCTAAATAAACAAAAAAAAAAACAAATTTAAGTTAAGCACCTTACGATGAACCACCTATTTGTATTGGTTAAGGACTACTTTAACCTATACATTATATATTTTCTTTGGTTATCAACTTTAGGTTATTAATTAAGATTCATTTACCTGGAGTTCCATCGTATTGGCAAGAAACGTTAGCTATCGCAAATTCCGTTTTATCCGCATCCTCAACACCCGTTGCATTAATACTGCCGCTTTCCTCCTCTAAAAACGTATCCATAATCTCCGTTTCGCCCTCGTAGAAAGGATCGATTTCCTCTTTAACATATTCGTGGTCCTTTTGAACCGGCAACTCGTTGGAATCGCAATCCGAAGACGACGGATTCCCTTCTTGATTATCTTGTTGTTGTTGTAGCTGAAGTTGTTGTTGTTCCATCAACTCTTTTTTAACATTTATTTTCCCCAATTGTTGCTGCGATTGTTGCTGTTGTTGCGTGTCCGATTTTATTTGAATTGGAGTCGACGTTTTTTGTGGGGCTGAATCTTTTCCGTTTAATATTTCAGATTTTGGCGTCGTAGGTGTTGATGGTAACTTTAAACACGGAAAATTAGCCGAATTAATTAATTGATCGGATCCGCACAATCCACGAATTTGTAGGGCTTCCGCAGATTTTAATAACGAAGGTAAATCATCTTGGGTCACGTTCACTTCGCCTTTATACATAAAATCGACCAATGATTGCATTTCGTGGAATCTATAATAATTAAAAATGAATTAATACAAACCAAAAAAAAAAAAAAATTGTTGTACTTATTACTTCATATCTTTCATGAAAATTATTGGGTGTTGACACGGATTATCCAGTAAAAGCTTTTCAAAGTATGTCGAACAAGCTGATAATACAACTTTGTGGCACTTGAGCATATCATTTTCACAAGCTAACGTAACATCGACGAAATGCTCCGATACTAATAACTTTGGGAAGGCATTTTGTAGATTTGTTTGATAGCTGTTCCATCGGACGCAAAATTGTTGCGGCGGTGTGGTTACCATTATTACGAAAAATTTGTTATCCCTAAAAATAAAATTAATTCAATTACAATAAATTTAAAAAATAATTTAAATTTCGCGCGATTATTTTGTTTTTGTTTTGGTATCTTGATAAAAAAAATTTTATCACAACAACATAACCTCAATATTATATTTGGGAAAATCGAGAAATTATGAATTAAAACAGCGTTAATTCGGGTTGATTATTTAAATTTTTCGACGATTAATTTATTTTATTATTAATTAATTTAAAAAAAATTGAGTCGGAGATGATAAATAAGAAAATTATTTATAAAAATAAAATTGAACGAGCTAAGCTTTGATAAAATTAAACAAAAAACGGGACGCAAACATCGGCCATGTTGTTAACCCCTAATTTTAACGTGAACGCGAATGAAAAATATCATAAATAATATATTTATAGACGCACGCTTTATCGTTTAATAACAAACTAACCTCGAAATGAATCCGTTAACGTTCGTTTAGGTCATCCTTTTTCCCTCACGCTTTTTTTGATACCTTAAAACGTTCAGTTTTCACGCGCCGTAAAAATCAATAGCAACTTTTGCACAATGTAAAGCTTTGGTTAAATAATTATACGGCAATTTTAGGTTATAATCTAAGACCTAAGTCTTCAAATAAGTCTCCGTATAAGAATGCGCAACAGACGTACCTAAGATTGTGTAACGTATGTCGTGGTTTAGTTCGAAACGGAACGATTTAACCGACTCGAATGTAGGGGGTGATTCTCTTCTATCCTAAAATTCCCTTTTAGTTTTATTATTTTTGCTTTATTCCTTCGCTTTCGTGGGTTAAAATTAACACAAAAACGACACTTTCACTAAATTAAGTTTCTGCAACTTTTATTTTAACTCTTTTTTTTTGTTATAAACCGGTGTGTTTAAGCAAAAACGGTTAAAAAAACGCCGGAAAACGCGGTACACGATCTAAATATAATAATATTTATATTTAGTATACGCCATTTGCAAGTTGATCTTTATATTCTGTGTAAGCCCCTCTATTTTTTTCTTTCTTTTTTACTTCTTTGCAATTTATCTATCGATTTTATTCGGGGCTATGATTTTTTTCTTCTCGTTTTGTTATTGTTGATGGCGATAACATAACCTCAAAAAAAATTTTTTTTCTCGATTTATTTTTAAAATCGATTAAAAATGTTTTAAAACATGAGCGGTTTTCTCGAAGTCTCGTTCTAATTTCTAAATTATTTATAATTTTCTTCGACGTCACAAAGACCCCACGAAATCTCGTTAAAAATAGATCATGAAAAATAACAAACTTTGTAATAATATTTAAGTGGGAAAAAATATTTAAATTGATATCTAAAAATAATCATTTCACTTTTTATCTCCTTAAAAACGCAAACTATTTATTTAAATAATAATAAAAACATTTATTGTTTAAATTTTTTGAGAGGTTATAAACAATGTCGGTATAGAAGCTTTCTATAAATTAATTTATGTTATTCATTAAAAATTAAATCATGTATATAAAATTAACATTTCCTAATATAAACATTATTATTTTTAATTTAATTATTATTAATGAAAAATAATTTATTTTTTAATTGACCTTGAAAAATATTTCCCTTACAATCTGTCAAATTTTTTTACCGTATGAAAATGTCAAATGAAGCAGGAACCCCCAATAAAATCGTTTGGAATTGTAGTCAAATCGCCGAAAATGCCCCAAATTGGAGCTTAGAATCCGATATAAACCTATTAACACATCTACAAGCATTTTCCGAGGTATCCCAAATCAAAAATCACAACAACAAAAAAACATAACCTGAAAAAAAATTTTTAGATAATCTTCGAATCAACCCAAAAGATCGACGAAAATCTCAAGAAATTATCGAAAAATCTCGACGAAACATCAATAAATTTACATTTATCTCGAAATGAATTTTCGAGTTTAAGTAATACCCAATTTATTGAAAGTCGGGTTTATGAAGAAGATGAAACTATCTTAGACGAGAATCAAAACAAACCTTTAATTGAAGACAAAAATGTCGAACAAACAAATAATAATGAAGATCTTAAAGTCGCTGCAAAAAAAGGATTAGAAATCATCTCGAAATACTACGACCGAATTAATGTCCCAATTGAAAGTGATTCCGATGAGGACGACGATGAAATTCCCGGATTTATTTTACAAGCTAAAGATCCTTACATTAATCGACCATTACCCTATGTAATAGGCACCCAAGAATGGTACAAAACCCCTCACGTTGGTATTTTAGATTCCGATAGCGAATCAGACGAAGAACAAATTTCCGAGAGGTATTCGAATGACTCGGAAAGTGATAATGAAGATAAAATTAATAGTGGTAATAATAGCGAAAGTAAAACCGATGATGAAGCAATAGTCCCAAAAGAAATTAACATTACCGAGGTTAGTTTTGCAGAACAATTAGCAGAAAAATTAGGAAATGTTATATCTAATGGGGATAAAAATGAAAATAATAAAAATTGGGTTATCGAAAATCAAAATGAATTTTGTAATAGTGAAGTTAATAAAAGGCCCATTCAAAAAGTAACGAGGGATTATGGTGGGTTAAAAATTAATTTTGTTCTTTACTCGTATTATTAATAAATCAATCTTTTTTAAGGAAAATTATTTTCAAATGAACCACCTCCAATGGATGATGATAAATTCTTTCCGGAAAAATCCCCAAAGGGGATATTTTCAAGCGGAAACGATTTGTTTGATGATTTAGAGGATGACGTGGGTTTTTGGGGAGAAAATTCGATTAAAAAATTATCTAATAATGATGATACTCCCAAGAAATCAACACAAATTGTTGACTCAACTAAAAACGAAGAGTATAATAAAAAAATTATTGAGAATAAAAAAGAGGATTTATTCAATGATGATGATGATGATAAATTATTTGTTCCAAAGAAATCACTACAAGTTAAAAAAGATCACTACAAGAAACAAAGCTTATTTGATGATTTAACTGATGATGAAGATATTTTTGAGACTAAAATTGAGCCAAAAAAGAGTTTAAAGGATGATTTATTCGATAATGAAGAAGATTTTAATATTTTTAATGAAAATATTGAATCGGAACGAAACGATTTGTTTGGTTCGAAAGAAAAAGACGTCCTTTTTGAGTCGAGAGATAACGACTTATTTAATTCGAAAGAAGATTTTTTGAATAATAACAAAAATATTGAGAATAAGAAAGAAGATAAGAATGCAGTATCAAATTTATTTTCCGATTCGGATTCCGATGATTTATTTTATACAAAACCAAAAATTTTTACAAAAAAATTAATTCATGAAGAGAAACTTGATAAAAAAGAAATCGAACTTGATAGAAATGAAGTGGTTAATAAACAAAAAGAGAAAGTTAAGGGCCTTTTTGACGATGATTCAGATGAGGAAGACAAAAATGATTTATTTTCAGGTTCGGTTGCAAATAATAATGACTTAAAGAAAGTAGTAATGAAAACTGAGAATGAATCCGAAGAGTTTTCAAAAGATATAGTAAAAGAAAATTTAATGGAGGTCATGGAATCTGAATCTAAAGAAGTAAATGAAGAAAAAAATGAATTAGAAGATGAAAATTCTAAAAAAGATGATGAAATAAAGGTTAATTTAATCATTTGTGCCAAATAAAATAAGTTCAAATTTTTTTTTTAAGGTTATACAATCTAATTCTGTTGAAATTAATGAGACACCATCATTTTTCGATGAGCCACCATCAATTTTTAATGAACCAGAATCAATATTTAATGATACACCATCAACATTCAACAATATCCCCTCAATAACAAACATTTTCGATGATATTCCCACAACGAAAAATATTTTTGATGAACCGTTTGATGAAACAAGCGATGAAACTTATTCATATTTCGTTAATAATGATGAGGAGTCCTCAAAGAATCGTTTTGAAACACACCAATCCAGCATTTTCGATGATGAACCTCCGTCTCTTTTCATCGATACCAATATTACCTTGAAAAACCAATGTTTCGATGTCATCCCAAAAGTAGACAACGAGAACTACGATAACAAAAAATCGGTTCGGTTTGAGGAAAATTTGGAGGAGTTTGAGGGTGAAAGGGTTGGTGGTGTTTTGGGGGTGTCAAAAGGGAGTTTAGATGAAAATTTAATTAATACTAAAGAAGAAAGTATTAAAGATGCGGAAATAAGTAAGTTTTTAATGGTTAGGTGTCAATTTTTGACGTTTAAGTGTCAAGTGGTGTCAAGTTGACATTTAATGGTTTGGGAGTTAGGTTAAGTTTTTCAAAATTTTTTTTAAAATTTTAATAATAAATAATTTCATAACTACAAATAAAACTTTATCTAATCAAACTTTCTCTTTTATCAAACGCAGATAAATTATCTTTGATAACAAATCATTTTATTTTTTATTGATGTATTCAACACATTTCATTTTAAGTTATTTAAAAAAATGACGGAAAATGAAATAATTAAATCATCAACATCGAGTTATAAAGGTATTTTTTTAATCTAAAATTAATTTGAAATTAAGCTCTTAAAATGAAATGATTCGGAACGTTTAAAAACATTTTTAGCATCACCTGGTAAATTAAAACATAACCTCAACATAAACGTCAAAGCTTTGCTCCCGGGCGCTACCCCAGCTTTTAAATCGAACTTATCATCGCAAAAATCGAAAAGTTCTTTCGACGTGTCATCAATAAACAATTTAAAAGATGAAAATAAAGAAAAACCGGTTGTTTTACCAAGATTTGGATTAAAAAGTGAAGGAGATAACTCTAAAATCATCAAAAATGATGAAGAATTTTCATCGAATATTGAAGAGGAACAAATTCAAGTATTACAAAGCATAACGAAAGTAAGATTTTAATTAATTAATTTTAAAAATTATTTTTAATTAAATTAATTAGTCGAGAGTTAGAATTCCTGTTCGTCGAAGACCATCAACTAAGAAAGGCCGAGAAGCAATCCGTAAATCTTGTATAGAATTTTCCACACCGAATAACAGCGAAATTGAAGAAGAGGATGCACAAAAAAACGATTTATTTAATACGAAAACCACAACAACCGAATTTGAGTCGGATCTTTTTCTTGAACAAAAATTTAAATTACCAAAAATTAATCCCAACACGTCTAAATCCAGTCTTTTTGATGATGACGATGACGAGGTGTTTTTCACAAATATAAATCAATCAAAGAAGGATGAAAGTAAAGTTTATAAATCAATGGGTGAGTCATCAATGATAAGGAAAGCTGTGATTTCAAGTGTAAAAAAGTTGGAAAACGTTCGGGTTACTCAAGATGATCCGTTAAATGCCTTTGAAAGGTGAATTTAAATATTTTGTTAATTTCATAACCTATAATAAGTCGAAAATGTGTTAAATTAAATTGATCGGAGAAAAAATATTTTTTATAAGAATATTCTATTATTTATATTGCATGATTAATCCGTTTATTTACTATTTGTTTATATATAAATTTAAATACGAAAAATAAAGTATTGTTATTATAATTATTGAAAGTTTTTTTAACCTACTTTTGTTGTTTAATCTCAACTAAAATAAAACTCAATATATTGATGTTAAATAATATCAAGTTGTATCAAATCAAATGTTTTCTAAACGATTATTATGATTAAGAAATTAAGATAAGCACAATAATGATGAGTACAAGTAACTAGAAAGAAACGAAGCCACCCATTTGAATAATATCAAGATTATTTGGGTTAAAGAAAAATAAAAAATTATTATTAAAGTTAGATTGAGGTTAATAATATTTCTTTATTTGTTCCTATTTAAATTCAATTCTTCAGACGCTGCTGACTTGGTACATAAATAATTATTATTGAAGTATATTTTTTTTTATAATTTGTAATTCATCTATTGACATCTACAGACATCTATTGCAGAATAATATAACGAATCGTTAAAACGTAAAAGCAATTTCCCTTTCTACAAGATCGTCGTCAAATCTTGAAACAACTTGACGTTGAATTTTTCGCATTTTGTATTAGGATCACATAATACTGAGGAGGTAAATTTCTGCTTACAATTTGTGCCGAGTAATCCTATTGGATAATAGATGTCGCTTTATAATTTTTTTAATTTATTTATTTGTAACTTTCATCAAACTAAAGCAATACTAAAAAAGTTTTTGTATGTAGTCATTTTTGTGTATTAAATTTAAGTGAGTTTACTTTGACGGAATTCTTTGGGGGTGAAGTTAAAGCGATACAAACGTAAGCTATTTTTTGAAGTAAAAGTTACTAATATTGGGGATTAATTCGTTTTTTTTATTTAATTAATCTAATATTACTACAAAACATTTTTTTTCTATATTTCTAACCAACTATAATAACCTATAAATATCCATCAATTGCCAGCACCTCCTCCCCCACCCCCGCTTCCTCCAGCTAATTTAGGTTTTCTCCGCGTTTCTTGCACAGCGGCCACTAAGCTTTTAACAGCTTCTTCGTGCCCTTCAAAACTGTCCGTTTTTCTTAACGGCCCCCCGCCACTTAAACCTCCCCCTGAGCATAATCCCCCACTACTCATTCCAGCACTAGTCGTTCCGCCACCTCCTGGAGCTGATAATTTATGGCAAACATGGTGGTGTTTACGTTTTGGCGGGAAAGTTTCCCAACTTCTCTGTTTTTGAGCTAAAGTTAAATTTTTATTTCTTCTATTTATCACAACGACCAATGTCTTATCTGGCGTTTCCAACGAAGATCTTCGACTAGACGTTGACATCGAATCGGCGGAGTCGTTTAATGAGTAAAAAACGTTGTCTTCACCATCGGAATACGGATAAATTTTCGGTTTTCTCGGCGATTTCGATGGGGTTTTTTGTTGTTGAAGGTTTTTTTGGGTACTTTTAAGGTTAGATTCGGTTGTTTTGGTGTGAATACTTTTTAGGTTAGGCTGTGACATTTGAATATTCTTTTGAGTGTCGCGATTTTCGCCGTGAATCAACGCTTTCGTATCGATTTTAAGGTTAGGTTGTGTTAAATTAATTCGATCGCAACTCTTATTAATTTTTTTGTATAAAATTTTTTTGTTTTGTATCAACTTGTGCTCGGTTTCTGTATCGGATTTCGAGGCTAATTGTTTTTGGCAGATAAAATCTTGTAGTTTCTCCTTAATTTGTGTTTCTAAGCGTTCCATGTTAACTTGTTGGGGTTTTTTTATTTTCCCAATTTTGTCGGTTTGCCCCGCCGATTTACTCCGCTCCCTTTCGTGGCATCCAACGCTGGAATTCGGTCGAACTTTATCGAAGAATTGCCCCAAAACGCGACTCCTCGAGCGAGGGATTTTCCCCAAATTTTGTTCCGATTGGTGTTGATTCAAACTTTGATGAATCCTACCGAAATGATCCAAAAAACTTTGTAGATTTAAATCGATTTCGTCGTTTATGACCGATTTTCTAACATCAAATTGACCGAAACTTTTAACGAAAACCTCCATTTCATTTTTAACCTCGCTTAATCGTTTCAATTCGTTCCTTAACATCATCACATCAGCTTTTTGGCACGAAAAGACTTCTTGTTCAACCCGAATTCTCCAAAGTTGTTCTTCCCACGCCGCTTCAAACACCATCCCCATCTTCTCCAAATCTTCTTGTTGCCTCTCTAAGCTTGTCTCTAAAATATTACATTCTCTACTTAACAATTCATAACGATTTATCAACGGCGGTGTTTGAGCTTTACGAATCGCCGTGATATCTTTGTGAAGTTCGGTAACTTTATCTTTAACCGTATTAAATTGTTGATTTAAATCGCGAATTTGCGACTCAAACGATCTACAATGAGTTGCAAACGACGTTTCGGCTTCCAAAACTTTTGTTTTTAACAAGTTTTGTTGCTTTTTTGTTGTTGGTGGTGGCTCAGGAAAAGATCTTGAGGTGGCTAAAAAAAAAAATTTAACCGAAATTTCTAAAAATAAATTAATAATCACCAGCTATTTCGGCAACATGTTGGGACACAGCTTGAGGCCCAATCCATGGCTCCAAACTTTGAGCAAATTCGCTACGATAATTGGTTTTGATTGAGGAACTTTGCAAAGATCTAAAAAGATAATGTAATAAATAAAATAATGAGTAACAAATTAGAAAAAAATTTATTACATTTTTTCTTCTGAAAGTTTTCATTGATTTATTTTATTTCTTAGGGCTGGTAATAAATATTAAAATATGTATATTCAATTGGTCAAATTTAAAGATGTAAATATGTACATTATAATCTGAATCAAGACCTTTTTAAATAACTGTGTAATAAATTAACCGGCAAACACTTTGGCAAAATTGACAAATAACTTAATAAGTATTTTTAATAATTTTCTAGCGACGGAAAATGTTACTAAAAAATCAGAAAATGACACTAAAAAGTTGACAATTATATTTGAGGTTAATTTGTACTAAATTTTTTGAGATAACCTTATCGTGTTTCTTAAATTACCTTACAGGTTGGCTAAGTTGTCCCACTTGACCTAATCGCTCAATTAACGCCGGGCATAACTCCAAAAATTGATATTTGTTCGCAGCGGCTGTAAAAGTCGCACACAACACTAGGTGGAGCTGCAAAACGGGCATAACCGATCCTAAAAGTAGTAATTGCCCCCGATACACTCGATCTTTACTCTCAAATTGTCGCTGAACCTCCATGATCATAGCGGCGTGAGTTTTGGCCATAGCCTCTTGCATACCCTGACAAAATGTGTTAATCGTGTGTTTTTCCGAGTCCATATTCCTCCGTAACTCATCCATTAACGATTTTAGGGCTAAAATTGAGTCGCGAACTGACGTTTGGAGGTCGGTTATTGCGTTTTGGGCGCGTGATAAATGCTTGGTTGATTGGAGATGGGCTGTGTCGATGTCAAGGCATTGAGATCGGACTTCGGGAGGGGTGTCTCGGAAGCAGTTCACACAAAGCATTGTGTTTTGAAGGGGGGAGTACATTATGTAGGGTTCGGTGTGTTGGGGGCACTAAAAATGATTCTTTTTTAATTAAATATTTAATTTTTTAGAGTAGTCTCACCCTTTTTGGTTCTTTGGTGCATTTTGACATATGAACAACTTCGTGCGCAGAAAACATTTTAGCCCGATGGGTATTGTCGCGGCAATTTGAGCAAAGAGCTTGCCCTATATTACAAAGTACTCAATTATAACTTCAATTTTTAATTTTAATCAATTTCTTATTCTCACCACAAGTATTACAATGATACATGCTTGCTCGATCGCGTTTATCGCAATTGGAACAAGGAGGGTTCTCACTATTAGCAATATCGATGAGTTGACGCATAAGGGTGTCTGGGGGTGGTAACATTAAGCCATCCTTTATCAATGTTGGTTGCCTTAATCCACAACATAGGTATCAAGCAAGATTAAGTAATAAATAAAATTAATTTAATCACCTGCAATAAGGACAAATCAATTTCCTATCTTGTTCTCTCCCGCGTAAACACCTCGAGCAAAACGTGTGGTAACAATTTAAAATGCAAGGCTCTGTGAAATAATCGTGGCAAATCGGGCACAATAACGGGTTGTTATTGGGAAAATCGAACATTTCTGGCCCAGGGGGATCCATAACTTTACGTATTTTTCTATTTATTAAAAAAAAAATAAAATTAAAATGTTGTTTTAAAATTTGAATCAGCTCACCCTAAGAAATAGATAATTTCTAATTAAAAATTTGTAATTTCGCACCTCTTCTTCTTTAAATGCGGTGATAATGCGGTGTGGGTGTTGTTTATGGAGAAAGGAAAACCGCCCTTTATCGGTGCGCATGTCTTGAATCACCTTTGACCTAGATTTTCTGCACAGAGCGAGGGTGTGGGGTCAATAAGGTCAATAAACTTTGATTTTCATTTCAGAAATGGTACGATTTAAATAATTGTACTATGATCGTACTGCCTCGGCCGCAAGCGACCTTGACTTAGCTCGAAAAGAAATGGATCAAGCTTGATAAATAATTCAAGTTTAAGCGGAGGAGGAGATGGTAGTAATTAATGGGTATTTACAGGTTATTATAGCTGATTAGAAATATAGAAAGAAAATGTTTTGTAGTATATCTAATTAATCTAAATTAATTAAATGAGTAATTAATCCAAAATTTTAGTAACATTTACTTCAAAAAATAATTTAAGTTGGTATCGCTGCAACTTCACTCCCAACCCCAACAGTTCCGTTAAAATCTGTGTTCAAAATTAACGTAACCTCACTTAAATTGAATACACAAAAATGACTACAAATAATCCTATAAAGATAGGAGATCATTCCACTAAAAACACTATAGTTCAACCGTTATTGACCGATTTGTACCAGATAACGATGGCTTACGCTTATTGGAAATCGGGAAAACACCGAGACGTCGCTGTCTTCGACCTCTATTTTCGCAAGAATCCGTTTCACGGCGAATTTACAATTTTCGCCGGTCTCGGAGACGCGATATCTTTCGTCAAAGACTTCCGATATTCCCAGAGCGATTTGAAATATTTAAAAAGCGCCCTTCCCGAAACGATCGAAAAGGAGTTCTTTGAATATCTCTCGGGGATAAATGCGAATGATGTTGTTATTTATGGATTAGAAGAGGGGAGTGTATGTTTTCCAAGGGTCCCTTTATTAATTGTTGAAGGCTAATATCAAAATATTTATTGATATTAATTAAAATTTATTAATTATGTTTTAGGTCCCTTAATTGTCGTCCAATTACTTGAAACAACTTTATTAACACTAATTAACTTTGCTTCTTTGGTTGCAACAAATGCTGCAAGACACCGAATCGTAGCCGGTGATAAAATTTTATTGGAATTTGGGCTTCGGAGAGCCCAGGGACCCGATGGGGGTCTTACCGCTTCGAAATATGCTTACATCGGTGGTTTCGATGGGACTAGTAACGTTTTAGCGGGGAAATTATTTAACATCCCGGTAAAAGGGACTCACGCCCACGCTTACATAACCTCATTCACAGATTTAAAGGATGTCAAAAATCCTTACTTAACATCAATTAATGGAGAAAAAATGAATCTTTTAGGATTAAGTTTGGGGTATCGATCTAAATTGGTTAGTGTTTATAAAGTTTTAGAAGCCGAAGCGAGTAACGGTGAATTAGCAGCGTTTGTGTCTTATGCTCAAGCTTTTCCAAATAATTTTGTTGCACTCATTGATACGTATGATGTTAAAAGAAGTGGGTTAATTAATTTTTCAGCTGTAGCTTTAGGATTAAACGATTTGGGGTATCAAGCTGTTGGGGTTCGAATAGATTCAGGGGATTTAGCGTATTTATCTAGAGTTGCAAGACAATCTTTTGTTGATATATCAAAGAAATTTAATCTAACCTTTTTTGAATCTTTAATGATTATTGTATCAAACGATTTAAACGATGATACGATTTTAAGTTTAAACGAGCAAGGCCATAACATTGATTGTTTTGCAATCGGAACTCATTTAGTTACTTGCCAAAAACAACCCGCAATGGGTGGTATTTACAAATTAGTCGAATTAAACAATCAGCCGAGAATGAAATTAACTCAAGATGTTGGAAAAATTACAATCCCCGGGCGAAAAAGTGCTTACAGGTTATTTAGCGCGAAAGGTGACGCATTAATTGATTTGTTACAAAACGCCGATGAAGCACCGCCTAGTGTTAATGAAAGAGTTTTGTGTCGTCATCCTTTCGAAGAATCAAAAAGAGCCTATGTTATTCCATCGAGGGTTGAGAATCTCCATAGCGTTTATTGGGAAAACGGAAAAGTAGTTGGAAAGTTACAAAGTTTAGAAGAAATTCGAAAAAAAGTGCAAGCATCGTTGAAAACGCTTCGATGTGATATTAAAAGGAATTTAAATCCGACTCCGTATAAAGTCTCAGTTTCGGATGCTTTGTACACTTATTTACATCAATTGTGGATGGAGAATGCTCCAATTGGAGAATTAATGTAGATTTTAATAATATATTTATTGTTTTTTTATCATTTATAGTAAATCGTTTTTTATTTACTATTTAATTCCTAAATATTCTCAAAAAGCTTTTGGGTTATGTTTGTTTATTGCTGAAATTAACGTGAATTAACGTTTTAAAATGATGAGATGGTATCTTTGATTATATATAATAATATTACATATAATCAAAGGATGGTACCCATTTTTTTGTGTGACAAGATGTCATAATGCGCTGTTGGTATGACAAAGATGGAGTATTCTTTATAATTTCGCTTTGGATTTGTCTAATCCAAAGTGAATTGGATTAGATTGTCATTGTCAACATTTAAAATCTATATTAGAGAGAACATAACCTTACTTGTTTTGTTTTGACAGATTGAAATAAATTACTAAATAATTAATTATTTTATTTAATTATATATTACTTAAAAAATAACAAGAAATAGAAAAGATAATATTATTAACAAGATTATTTTGTTTAGTGACTAATACAGATTTTACACAGCCCTACTTTAAATAATAATTTATTTTACACCATCAATTAAGCTGTGCCTTAACCCTTAAACCCTTTTTAACAAAAGAAATTAACTTTCTACACAGTAAATTGGTATTTGCTGTATAATTGTGTTCTTTTAATAATTAACAAAGAAAATATACAAGAAATCTGTTTGTTATAAATAAATTAAATTATTCGTATTGCATAATCAACCCCTCCTCATTCTTTTTAACTTTAACTTGGGGGACGACCACCAAAGAACCATGTGGACCCTTACTAAGATGTCCCGGATTAACCCCAACGTTTTGTATAACCTCACCTATATAATGATGGTGTTTATGACTCGATTCCGGAATAAAGTTAGTCTCAACCGATTGCTGTTGAATCCCCAACCCTAAATGACCCCCTTTATAAAGATTCAAATTTTTTAACCCGCCAAAATTTTCACTTTGCTTAATTTTATTGTTATTATTATCGTTAATAATTGGCACGAAATTTCCTAAAATCCCAAAATTTCGATGCTTCTCCAACAATTCTCTTTGTTCCTTCACTATAAACAGAATATCTTTAATTTTTTTTAAATCAACATGTTCCGTACTCGCCGATGTAAACAACGCCAACAAATTATCATCGGAAAACTTATTTTTCCCATCTTCCAACGCAAAAATAAGCTGTTTTAAAACCTGTTCTTTTTTTAAATCATCGATTGTTGTCAAATCGAAATTTTTAATCGTTACCGATAAAGATTGAATTAATTTTTTGCGCAAAACAGCGTTAACATCTTCGTTTAACGGCTCTAAATTCGGTGATGTTACATTTAATTGATCGATGTTTAATAATTCGGGAACGTCCTCGCTTATTTTATGTTTTACAGTTGAATTTAATAAAGTGAAATTTCCATCGATCGGTGTACTAAATAAATCTGATGGAAGCTCCGAAGTTTTTTCTTCCAAAACTTCGCAATCGGTTTCTTGCATTTTCGAACATGATTGACAGCTACAATTTGTTATTATTTGAACGTATTTTTTTGCTGTTGGTGGACCTGAATTTTTATTGTCTGCTTTTAATGTAACCTAAAAAAATAAAATGACAATTAATTAAAATGATTTAGACACACTTTTACCAACTTAAAAAGATGGGTAAAAGTGGGTCCTAATAAATAGAATTATTTTACATGATAACAATCTGATTTAGCAGGTTGGCAGCTGTCACAATATGGTCCGATTAATTCCCCAGGCTCAGCGGGCTGAGTTCTAGGTATCGAATAGCTGTAACAGGCCCCAACGCAAACGTTATTCTCGATCGTCATCGGTTCGTAACCGGGCATTGTCACGATTTGTTCGATTTTCGTCGTTTTACACCAAGAATGTTTCTCCGGGTACAACACAATGTTATGTACCTTCAAAAAATACATAAATAACCAAAATACTAAGTTTACCGTTATTTTTTTTACCTTGTGTTCTCTTTCGGTTAATGAAACGGAGATTATTGAGAGGAAGCAAGTTAAAAAAGTTTGATAATGCGTGTTCATGGTTATTTATATTTTGTGATCTGGAATAAAAAGTAACGTTTAAAACGAGAAATACGAAAAAATAAGGATTTAAAGGATCCGTTTTAAAACCATGATGAACAGTTATTCAAGGCCAACGCCCCCTTCTCCTTTTAAAAAGAACAGGTGCTTTTAATTTAACATTTTCTTCGTATAAGAAATATAATATATGTGATAAATAATAAATGTAATAAAAGCAATTTGAGGTTATGTTTCAAAATTCAACTTCACGCCAACGCTAAACGCTATGACAAAAATAAACTTTTAAAAAATAAAAATTTATTAAAAATGATTTAATTTCATAAAAGCGATTTAAATTTAAAATTAATTATGTTTTAATTATTAGAAATTATAAATACGATATTAATTTTGATTGGTATTTTTTGATAGCTCAAAAATTTGACATTTTCGATTAAAGTTGTCGCTAACGAATCAGAGGTGGCGCTCGAAACAACAAATTAAACGTCACTATTTGAATAACAAAATTATTTTTAGTTAATAATAATCGCGATAAATCCAAAGAATTTCCTGCAAAAGTGATAAAATCGATCTATTTTGGTTCCTTGGTAATAATATTTGAGAAAACTATTAAAGTTAAGGATTTGCGGCAACGCATAAAACAGCTTTACGATCGAAACTGAGAAGTTCTTCTCGAAAAAGCAATTATCTCGGCGACATTTCCGGGTTTTAAAGAGACGAGAACGATTTCTTGGAAAATAAAGAACTAAGAAAACAACAAGTTGGGTTAACCGTTCTTTAATATAAAAAGTTCTTTAGGTTTTAGTTTACTTAAGCTGCGTTTCGTCCCTGTTGGAATGGGATTTTTGATTAAATTACTATTAAAAAAAATAATTTAATAATTTAAAGCGAAAAATTGTTAAAATTCCTCCGCAATAGAAAACGATCATTTCCATACTAGTTCACCTTCGAGAAACCGATCGAGCAGAGAGAAGCAGCTGGCCGCAAAATCACAATTATTACTCGTTCGGAGTGAAGGAGGTGGAGGAAGGGCCCCCCCCGGAGTCGTAGGATTTCAAAGCGAAACTTACGTAACATAATGTCAATGAAATTCGAACGAAAACAATTTCAAAACCGAAAAATCGTAAATAATTATAAAAAAAATGCCTTACCAACTTTGCAAAGAAAAAAATTCACGAAAAATCACCTTTAAAAAATTAAGTTTGTTCATAAACTATATAAAAATCCTCAATATCATTAAAACAATCCATTTTAAAAAATTTTTTCTTTTCTTTTTCGCTTCACTTATTCTTTTTGTTCCCGGAAGTATGTAAATTAAAAATTAAGAATCACTTCAAAGCGTGTTCGCGACTCGATTAACTCTCGAGAACTGAGAAACTGAGCCCTGCTCAACGTACGCTTCTCTTTTTCTTCTTCTCTCCGACACTGAGAGAACTACTAGTTGTAGAGTAGAGAAGAAATTCAACTTGGACTCGACTCAACTGCTGCCGTTTTCAAAGAGACACACCTGTTCTCTCGTTTTGTGGGTAGTGTTTCAGGTCTCACGACTCTCTCTTTCCGCGATGTGTAATTCTATCCGATTTCGCAAACAATAGAATCACTTAAAATATTTTAAAGAATATTTTAAATCAGATTAAATAAAAAATATTAAAAATAACAAAATGAGGTTATCACAAAATGTGACAGATGCAATGAAAATTAACCTCTAAAATAATCGATGACAGAATTGCCAAAATTTTGTCAATTCGCGCTTAGAATAATTTTAAAATATTTTCGATGAATTAATAAATCGCTGAAAATGCGTTCAAATAATAAAGTTAGAACGTATGTATTTACATGCTTCAAATCTCCAGAGCTGTCTTTTTCAAATTTCAATAAAATTTATTACGCTAAAATCTAACAACAAGTTTTAAACTAACAACAATTATTTAAAGAAGTCCTAATTAAGTATATGAAAATGACACCTTTAAGTGTCATCAGTTGATCAATTTTAATCATAGAAAAATACATATAAATATATATAAAAATAAACTAAATCAATAAAGCTTTTTACAAAAAAATTTAATAAATTTTTTTTAAATTAATTCAAAATAAGTTAAAATCAATTTTACAAAGATATTATTCGTAAAAGTGTCAAAATCTTCTCAAGGCAATTGCCGTTCCATCAAAGATTTGGTTAATTTTATTATTATTTTCGAGGAAAGCATTAGATTCTATTTCTGGTTATCAAAACTTCAAGAGTAAATAATAAACATGTTTCGAATCGTTTTGATAACACTTTAACATTTATTTCCTACTTTAAATGACCACGAATATTTCGAATATATTTATTAATTGATTTCTTTCTATTTTAATCGTGGAAAATTCTTGATGATAGATATTTATTTATCTCTATATGTTTCTAAGCTGATAATCATTGTAAAATTTTAAAAATATCAGATAATAAAAGTGAATTGCTACAAACATTTTTATTAAGTCATCCTGAAACGCATTCGATTCTTATCATTTTATGTAATAGTCATTCGTATTCTATAACTAAAGCAATGAGTGTGTTAATCGTTTTGGTGTTTTTGGGGTTAATTTATTTCTTGAATCGAAGCCGAAAGAAAGTTTTTAAAGGTAAATTTAAACGAGACGCCTCAAAGGTTTTAAAAGAAATTTTAATTTTTAGTTTTTTACCCCCTAATTAAAAAATTAAACGCCTCCGTAACACTGCAAGAAATTAAAGACGCCCGAGATGAGGAGCTTAGAAATCAGCCGGAGGTCCAACAAGAACAACCCAAAACTTTATCTTCATCAAAAGTAAAAGAATAAAAAAAAATGTTTAAATAAAATGGTTGCAATTTAAAATTAATTTTATCTTTTGAAATTTTAGAAAAACGATTCGCTCACAATTTATGGTTTGGATCAAAAAGGGAACTCAATTATCATTAAAATGATCATTAAAAACACTTTGCACGCTGAAACAATGATCGAGTTTCGATTAAATAATGGGAAAGTTTACGTTTTTCCAAATGATGAGGAAACGTTGATTTGTAGCATCCAATCGCGTCAATGGAAAGCAAACGCGCTCTCTATTCAAGTTTTAAAACCTTACACAAGACTTAGAATCATTTTTAATGGAATCTTAAAGAATAAATTTCCCCCAAAAAACGATCAAAATGATTTAGAACATATTCAATTTAATTTTATGTAATGATACAAACTTATAAAAAAAAATAATGTAAACATTAATATTATTTTCTTTAGTTGGACTGCTGGAAGTATTCCATTTCATTACCCACAACATTTCCAAAAAGACGTCTTGATTAAAATGATTCAAAAAAGAACTTGGAAAGACAGCAATTGGTTGAAACACCTGTAAATTAATTTTAAAAAATTTTAATCCATAAATTAATTTTGAAAACTTTTTAGGTTATCCATAAACGGTTACGAACAATTTGGATGTTTAACCGGATTCTTAAAAGGCGAAAATTACCCCGAAGAAATAACCTTTAAAATGCCTAGTTACAGAACGCGATATTGGGGGAGTTCAGAGTCGATTTCGACGAAAGAGAGCACCTCGAGCTTTGGGGTTTGCAAAAATGGAACACTATTTTTCGTCGATAATCGAATAATTAATGGGAGCGAACAAGATATTCTTTTAGAACAAGGATTTATTTTGTTAAGTAACGGGCAGTCAAGACCAATCAATGATTCGCACGTGCGTTTTGGGAAAATCGAAGGAAATAAAGAGAAAATTAATGGTGTTATTCGAATAGGAGGTAAGAAATTAACAATTATTGACATACTAGCCGTCAATTTTGACAGGGGCGTTTTGGGGTTAATTTATGTCAATTTGAAAGAGACGCTACCATTTTTAACAACATTTATTGCCAACCCAAAAAAATAATTTTTTAAATCTATTAAAAATAAGTTTAAATATATAAATCGAAAAAAATTAGTCGGAAAACGTCTCTATTCGATTAAAATAATTTAAAGTTTGAATTACAACCTACCTTTTCTGGGAGACGTGGCCGTTTTTAAGTTTTAATGAAATTTATTACCAACAGAAAAAATGAAATATCCCTCAAAAATGTTGTAATTTCCTTTTAAATGTATTAAAATTAATTAATAATCGATACAAATCGTTAAATTAATTAATTGTTTTATTAACATTACAATAAATTAAATTCTTTTAAAGTTAATTAATATCACTAACATTTATGAAGTAAGCAATTAATTTTAAATGTTCTCTTATAGCTAACAGAAAGAAGTTTTCTGGGACGATTTCATCGGAAAAATCACCTCGAATCGAAATAAAATCGTCCGGAAAATTAGGTTGGAAAGAAACGCATTTTATTTCAAAGGGACATTTCGATAGAAACGAAGTCGTCGTTTTAACCAACTTTTTCAAATCGAGCCCAAATGGAGCATTAAAACCCCTTCCGAAACCATTTTTAACCCAAAAATCCGCACAAAACCCAGAAAACGTTTTAATATGTCGATTAAACTCGTCGGAGTGTTTGGATTTATCGTTAACAGGAGGGAAAGGAAATTCTTTAGGGTTATTGTCAAACATAACCTCAAATTTCGTATGTTAATTTATTTTATTACATTATAATAATTATTAATAAATTTTTTTTTATAGTTTAAGGTCCCATCCGGTTTTGTAATAACAGTTTCGGCTTTTAACCAACAATTATCATCCTCGCAACGATTAAAACAAGCGATTAACCGACTTGAAGTTGCATGTTATGGCAAATCTAACCTAAAAATTGAGGATGTTTGCGCGGATGTGGTTGAAATTTTTTCGAATGAGCCCGTTTTTGATGGTTTAGTAAAGACAGTTGAGGAAGAAATAAAAAATTTAAACGATGAAATTAATTCGGATGAGAAAAATTGGAAGTGGGCTGTTCGTTCTTCGGGAATCGGAGAGGATTCTGAAGAATTGTCAACGGCCGGACAAAATTCAACTTATTTAGGATGTAGAGATGCCGATGTTTTAAGCGCAGTTCGTAAATGTTGGGGTTCGCTGTTTCAATTTCACAGCGTTCAATATCGGATGTAAGAAGAATTTCGTTTGTGGAGAAAAAATTAAATTTTGTCATTTTAGCCAACATGGTTTACCGGTTAGTGCTGAGATGGCGGTGGTTGTGCAAAAAACGGTCCCGGCTGATTGTGCTGGAGTTCTTTTTACTTGTCATCCAACTTCCGGTGATCCATCTGAGATGATTATAACTTCAAATTTCGGATTGGGGGAGGTTAATTATTACAATTAATCTCAATTAAATGGTTGTTTTATTATTAGACTTTTTTTAGAGCGTTGTTTCCGCTTCAGCTGATCCGGATACAATAATATTAAGGCGGACATATCACGGGTTAATTTCAATTAAAAGTTGTACAATTGGGGGTAAGAAAATTCAAATTACATTGGGGAATGACGACATTGGAGGGGTTGAAGAAAAAGGTGTTAATGAAGATGATGCGAAAAGAATGAGTTTAAGCGAAGAGCAAGCGGTGATTTTGGGGGAGTTGGGCGTTCTTCTTGAGGATGAATTCGGGAATCCTCGAGATGTCGAATGGGCTTTTTATAAGGTTAGTTAAGAAAATACTAATTATTTAATTAATAATTTTATTTTAGAATAAATTATATCTTTTACAATCACGACCCGTAACAACATTAACGAATTGGAGCGATTTTGAGTTATTGCATGAATTTGATACTCCGGTATTTTCTGATGATGAAGTTTTTACAAGAGTGAACATTGGTGAGGTTATGAAAGGAGCCATAACGCCTTTAACTCAATCGACGACGTTGCACACCATGGATAAATTAATTCAAAAGGAGATGATGGGTGAAACTAATCCGTACGTTTTAATGGGGTGCCCTACATTTATGCATTATGGATTTCTTAATGTTTTGAATGTAAGTGTTAAAAAACTCCACGAAATTAAACTTAGGTATAGAGGTTAGATTCAGTTAGGTTAAAGCATTTTTGTCATTTTGTAGGATAGGTAAGCTAATATACGTAGCCGTATTTAGTCAACTAATAAGAGATGTCCTTAAAGCGAAATGCTTTAACCTAACCTCTTAAAAAAACTGAAAGTTCTGATTTTTTGTTAATACTTATAACATTTTATTTATTTATTTTAGACTTTATATAAAAATGTGCCGAAGAAAATTGATGTGGAAATCCGCGTTTCTGAGTTAGCAATGTTGGGACATCCATTTATGGATGAAAAAATTCATAAGGAATGTGTACGAAGACATGGTTATAATGTGGGGTTAAACAAGTTAATAACTCGCTTTACTTTATTTAATAAAGCCTTCTTTAGGCGGGATCGTTTAAATAAAGCGATTGAAATTAATCGAAAATGGGACATAACCTTCAAAGAAAATGAGACCCCCAAAGAAATTTTCGACAAACTCTCCTCATCTTTTCATGTTTTTGAGAAAATGATGACTTGTTATGTTAATGTTAACTTCACAAACACGATTTATAATATGTTATGTGTCACGATTTTGACCGGGGGCCAATCGGAATTTACTCCGGATCACTACCATGATATCGCTTTGGTTTTAAAAACAAAAGGTGGAGTTGAAACTGTGGAATTGCCGGTGATTTTGCAGAAAATCTCCGATTTAATAAGAAAAGCGGGGAAAAGTGAGGAATTTATTAAAATTAACTCCAAAAATGCTATCGATTGGATGAAAAATAATTGTGGTGAAGCTGCAAACGTTTTCGAACGATTTTTGCAAGTACATGGACACCGATTATTTTCTGAGGTGAAAGCAAAAATTGGTTGAATCGTAAACTTAATTAAAGAATTACATTTTAGTATGAGTTTGCTTCGAAACCGTGGATCGAAGATCCAACTCCAATTTTAGAAATGATCCAAGCGAATTGTCGCACTGAGGCAACGACGAAAATGGTTGAAGGAATGGATGTAAATGAAACTGTGGAAAAATTATTGACACCTTTAACTAAAAGAAAAAAGTAAAAAGAAAACTATCAATAAAACTTATCAATAAATTTTTTAATATACTAATTAATTTAAGGAAAATTTTAAAATTTTTGATACAAAAACTCCGTGACTCCATCGTCCTAAAAGAACTAACTAAATCGCAATTTATACGATGTTTGGGGAAGTTCCGAAAAGGTTATAAGGTGTTATCAGAACGTTTGGTCGCACAAGGATTCATTCCGGAACCTGAATTAATGTATTATTTGACCCAAAGCGAATTGGGGGAGGTTATTGAAATGAGAGATCCCATTTTAATTTCAAAGTCATTTATTTTAACTTAGTTTAATTAATAATTAACAAAAAAAATTTTTAGAGCCCTTCGACGACGAAGATTATTTAAACAATGGGACAAAATGCAATTTTCCGACATAAACATTGGTTTTCCAACCCCAGATCGGGATGGAACTGAAAATAATGTTTTTATTGAGAGAAAATCTGGGGATTTAGTGCAAATTAAAGGAACTCCTGTTTGTACCGGAATTGTGAAAGGTCGAGCTTGTGTCGTTGTTGATTTAAAGGAGTGTTCTCAATTACAACCAGGTAAGAAATATTAATTATTGATTGTTATTAATTATTTTTGTTATCAAAATTAATGACAGTTCCCATAAATGCAATGGTACCAACGTAAATTACTAGGTTCAAACGCGATCTACGCTGTCATCGTTGACGACATCTATCGACATCGTCTCCAAATATTTAATTATTTAATATAAATATCAAACTAAAATTTAAAAAAATACTAAACTAAAACTAGAATTAATTCAACACATTAAGTGCTTACTTAATATTATTCGCATTGAATGGGTTAATTTTATTTGTTTTAGGCGACGTTTTAATAACATATTGCACCGATGTAGGTTGGACCCCATATTTTCCAATGTTATCTGGGGTTGTAACCGAAATTGGAGGGTTGCTTTCACACGGAGCTGTTGTTGCGAGAGAATACGGTTTACCGTGTATTGTAGGAGCTCAAGGAGCTGCTAAAACATTCAAAACAGGCGATTTGGTTGTGCTTAATGGAAAAACCGGGGAATTACAACTTATTGAGTGAAAATGAGGGGTTAAGTATTAATATTTTTAATAAATGTGAATTAGTAAGTTTAATTTTTTTTATTTTTGTCCTTAATTGAAAAGTTTTTAAAGTTATGTAATCGAGAATAGTTCAATTGTAGAGATAAATTAAGGTCGAAAAGGTCGCGTATATTTCATTATAACTTTAGCGTTGTAGAATTTATACGTGAAAACACGAAAATTTAATCTTAGATTTTATCGAAAAATCAAAAAAAATTATTGAGATTACTTAATCTGATAAGAATGAATGAGATTTCTACGAGAGCCTTTAACAAACATGATTGAAGGTCTAGTAGTACTTTGCACACCTGCCAACAATTAAACGTTGGTGTTACGGCGTGATTTACTTACAATTATGCAATGGATTTTCTTTATTTAGCTTATTATTTATCACTTTTCGTGACGCCTTTAATTTTGTATGTAATTATTTTTGGAAAAAGGAGGATATCTTATTATAATCGACCGAGTAAGTTTTAAAACGTCAATTTTCATTTTATAATTGAAACATTTTTTTTTTTAGCTTGGTATTATAACGTCAAAAAGATTTTCGCAGCCCCATCTATTAAGCGATTACAAGACGAATATAAATACGTTATTAAACGTTTATCTGAGTTAGATCAAGAATTACCACAAAAAAATTCAACTAAATATGTAAATAAACACAAATTATGTTACTAAAGGTTATGTATTTTTATTTATCAATTTATTGTTTAAGGAATCCGATAACTACATCATTTATGGTGCTGATACCGATGGAAATGTTCTATCCATCATCCTCAACTTTAAACACACATTACACATGGATGTTTCCATTGAGTTTCGAAGTAAATGCGGAAAAAATTATAAATTACCAAGTAAATACAATAACTCAGAAATACATACTTAACTACCTAACTTTTTCATTATAGATGAACCTCTAATTGAAATTAAAAGTGTAAATTCGCGCTGCTGGAGAGGGGCCGGGTTAAACATTGAAATTTTAAACCCTCTGAGACGATTAAGGATTACTTACAATGGAATTATGAGATGTAGTTCATTTAAAATGTCGAAACCAGAGTTGGAATATGTTAATTTTCGATTTTTGTAAGTTAATTTATAAATTAATTGTATTATTTTAATTTTTGTTTAGTTGGAACGCAGGTTCTGAGCCGGTTTATTATCCCCATGGTGTTAGCCCAGATTTGTTATCTGATGCTGTAGCTAGGGAGCCGTGGAAAGATGGGGAATGGATTAGAATGTTGTAAATAAGAGACAAAAATTTTAATCTTAATCTCCTTTTAATTAATGTTTGGTTTAAAGAGGAAGTGAATGCGGATTTGAACAGTATGGCGTACTACAGGGTCATTTATCGGCCACATCTTTAGGAGACGATTTGTATTTATATTTGCCAAGTTGGAGGAGAAGAATATGGGGCCCAAGCGATTGTTTAACGCTAAAAAGAGATTTCCACGTTTTTGGAGTTTCACATGATGGGACTGTGTTTTGTGTCGGCGCTAAAAGTTATCGAATAGGAGCTACACAGTAAATAAGAACAACCTAACCTCAAAATTATAAAAACATAACCTCATTTTCTTCAAATATTTTTTTTCTTATAGATTAAGATATGGAACGGTTCTTTTAAATAACGGAGAAGTAATGAGTATAACCTCTAGTGATGTCTCCTTAGAACATTTAGCCGATAACATGGAAATTCCAAATGTGTTTACAATTCATTTTAAAGGTTATTACTTTTTAATTAATTACATAATTTTTATTAATTTTCTTTACTTTAGTTAATAATAAAACGTTTAAATGTGTCTCCCATTTAAATACAAATAAAACTTCAACAACTCAAAACAACGCTGAGAGAGGTTATGTTGTAAAATCAACAAACATTGAGTGTGACTTAAATTCGGATCAAGTAAAAGGATTCGTTCGCTTTTGGTATCGCCAAAACGGGCAAGATTTGTCACTCCCCGAACCGCTTTTAGCACCCAAATCGGTTAAAAACCCTCAAGAAATTTTGGTACGATCATTAATGAGTGTTGAATGCCTCGATGGGGCTTTAACTGGTGGAAAAGGAAATTCGTTAGCTTTATTATCGACGATCATTTCAAACGAATTCACAGTACCACCGGGTTTCGTTGTAACAACAACGTGTTTTCGAAAATTTTTAGCGGAAAATCTTAATTTGACAGAGAGTATTAAAACGTTAGAGGAGGTTTGTTGTGGGGTAATCGAAGGGAACCCAGAGGATGTTTGTAAAAAGCAAGTAAAAAGGTGCTTTTTATATACTTTTCGTTATCTTTGTATTTGTTTTAGTACCGTTGAATTATTTAAGGACGCCAGAATATCCCCGGAATTAACCAAAATTTTAGAGGATGAAATCAAAGAAATAAAAGACGAATTTAGCTCAAAAGGTAGCGCGGAGTGGAGTTGGGCGGTTCGATCGTCAGGAATCGGGGAGGATTCTGATGAATTATCAGCTGCCGGCCAAAACGCCACCTTTTTAGGTTGCAAAACAACTGGTGATGTTATTAAAGCTATTTGTGGGTGTTGGGGGTCTTTATTTACTTATCAAAGCGTCGAATACCGGCGGTAAAATCTTTAATAACACTTAAGTCATTGATTTAACAAAAAGAATTATTTTAGGCAACATGGTTTATTAATTAACTCTGATATTGCAGTTGTTGTACAAAAAATGATCCCCTCTGAATGTGCTGGCGTCTTATTTACTTCACACCCAGCAACAGGGGATCCATCCCAAATGGTTATTACATCAAATTATGGATTGGGGGAGGTAAATGAAAGTAATATGTTTAATTTTATTAAAATAATTTTAAACGAAAAGAAAATTTAACCTTAAAATTAATACTTTTAATTTACTTTTAAGAGTGTTGTTTCTGCTTCTTGCGACCCAGATACGATTATTTTGGCGAAAAGTATTAAAGGTAATGTGAAAGTGCTTGCGAGTACTGTTGGAACAAAAAAAACTCAAATCACTTTGAGTGAAGTGCAAGATAAAGACACGGAAGAGAAGGAGGTTGATGAAAAATTGGCTCAAGAATTAAGTTTAGACGAAAATCAAGCGTTAAAATTGGGAAAAATCGGAGTTTTCTTAGAGAGGGCATTTGGAAATCCTCGAGACATCGAGTGGGCCTTTTATAATGTAATTATTTTTTCACCCGTTAAAATTTTTTAAACTAATTTTTTTGTTTAGGGTGAGTTATTTATTCTTCAATCAAGGCCGATAACAACGTTAAATACTTGGAATGAATGGGAACTCCAACACGAATTTGACACTCCCGTTTTTTCCAAAGATAACTTATACTCTCGGGCGAACGTAGGGGAAGTTATAAAAGGAGCTGTTTCACCGCTTACCCAATCAATTACTATGCACGTAATCGATGTTTTGATGCAAATGAGTGCTTATAAAGGGGAATATCAAGATTTTTATCGAAAAGGACTTACAATTAATTCCCATGTTATATTTTTAAATGTTTTAAACGTAAGTTTTAAATTAAAAATCAACATAACCTAAATTGGTAATTAACATAACCTATAAAAAATTATTTCTTTTTAGTTTATGTATAATCGAGTAAAAGGAAAAATTTTAATGGAAAATAAAGTATCGGATTTAGCAATTTTTGGTCACCTGGTGTTAAACGAAAAAATTTTAAAGACCGCGTTGAAACGTCATGGAAAAATGAATTTTTACCAAACGATGTCGTTGTATTATGAACAATTCCATACAATTTTCGAGAACGATTTCGTCGTTAAAAAGGCAATCGAGTTCAATCAAATATGGAATATAAAATTGAAATCGTCAGATTCGGCGAAATCGATTCTTGATAAAATCGATTTTAACCTTCAAAGTGTAGCGGTGGCATCGGAGTACCATTTACATGTCACCCAATCAAGCATCGTATATCAAATGATTGCAATGATAGTTTTGGCCGAGAAGCACAACGATTTTAACAATGACCATTACCACGATATCGCACTCCTTTTAGCTACGAATTCCGGAGTGGAATCAGCGGAAATTCCCATTATTTTAGAAGGAATCGCTGTGGAGATTAGAAAAGAAGGTTTCGGGGAGGAATTTGCTCGGTTAAAACCGGAGGAGGGGATGAAATGGTTAGAAGAGAAAATGCCAAGTTGTAAAGTGAGGTTGGAAAAGTTTTTGACACTTCACGGACATAGAGCTTTTAGAGAAGTAATAAATTTTAGAGGTTATAATTTATTTATTTAATTAATTTGTAATTTTAGTTTGAGTTGTACGAAAATACTTGGGGGATGAAACCGGAAATTGTGATTTCAATGATTCAATCGAACTGTCTGAGTGAAACGACAACAAAAAAAGCTGTTGGGTTAACCGTAGATGAAACAATATCTGCTTTAATCTCTCCTTCGAAAAATATAACTAAGTAAACGATTAAAAACGTGACTAAAAATTGTTTTTTAAATAATTCATTAATTATTGTTATAGAAAAATTTTAAAATTCATTGTAAAAAAGTGTCGCAAAGCTGTAGCTCACCGAGAAACAACAAAATCTGTTTTTATCAAAACCATCCATAAATTTCGCCTCGTTTTTAACGAACTTGGGAAAGCTATGGTTAAAGAAAGCTTAATTCCTGCTCATGATGTAGTCTTTTTCTTCACAATCGAGGAGTTACGAGATCATATTAAAGAACGAAATCCAATTTTAGTCTCAAAGTAACCACTTTTAATCCTTTAAAACGTTCACTTTATAATTTTTATTAATTTAGGGCAATAAGAAGAAGGAAACTGTACGAAAAATGGAACTCGCTTCATTTCCCTGAATTAATTTACGGTGTTCCAATTCCAGAACAACAATCCGTTGCATTTAAACGAACAGAGAATAATTTAAAAATTCATGGAACACCAGTTTGTAAAGGAAACATCGTTGGGCGAGCTTGCGTTATAACCGATATTAAGGAGATTAATTTGGTGCAATCCGGAGATATTTTGATCACTTTTAGCACAGATATAGCATGGTCTCCATATTTTCCAATTCTTTCTGGGGTTGTCACAGAAATCGGAGGATTAATATCACACGGTAAATTAAAATAAATCGCTTTAAAGTTAAATAATTAACTCGATTTATTGAATAGGTGCTGTCGTTGCTCGTGAATATGGACTTCCGTGCGTTGTTGGGGCACAAAACGCAACCAAATATTTTAAAACGGGGGATAAAATTTTATTAGATGGTAAAACTGGGGTTATTGAATTAGTTGAATAAACTTATTTTATGTATTAAATATATTTTTTTTAAATAAATCATTTTTTAAATAGCTATTAATTAATGTTTATTAAACATAACCTCTTTTTTTTTTAACCACAAATTTTATACTATTATCAATAATACTAGTATCACTTAATAATTAAAAAAATTAAAATTAATTTAGACTCATTTTATTAAAACTTTTAATTACATCTAAAATTAAAATTAGTTTTTAAGTTTAATACATTTTTATTTTGCGAATAAATTCCGCGAGATGGCTAAAAATTTAAATGACCTAAAACCTATTTTAATTAGATTTTATTAATTTTTATTATTCATTATCAAAGTCTTATTGATATATTAGATATTAATCGATTAAAAAGTAAATTTATAAAGGAATTTCGTAATTTTAGTTGATTAGATTATTTGATTTTATGACATTTGGTGCAAACGGCCATTGTTTTACGATTTAAAAGTGACAGTCGGCGTCCTCTAATTGACATTGCATGGTAGTCACGGTAGTCATCAACTTGATTAAGACAAAATCGCTTCGTTTTTTTCGGTTTAAACAAAATTTAATCAGTTCAAGAAATTCAAAATGAATAAGTTGACCATCGACAAAGTCTCTCTGGCCGGTAAACGCGTTCTCATGCGGTAAGCAACCCCTATTTTCATTAATTCTTAATCTCCAAGTTACTCAGATTATTTTTCATTATTTTCGATTTTTAATTTAATATGACGTATCATTCATTTGTTTTTTTTTGACGTTGATTTTACTAAGATAACTTGTGATTTTGTAAAAACATTGTAATTTGAGGTGGTTTTAAATATTTTAAAACTTTTCAAACTTAAATTAGGCAACCATATTAACTAACAATATTTAAAATTAATTAATTTTTGTTTGATTAGGGTTGATTTCAATGTCCCCATGAAAGATGGAAAAATCACGAATACTCAACGTATAACGGCTGCGTTAGCAACGATCGAGCATGCAATTAAAGGTGATGCAAAAAGCATCGTTTTAATGTCTCATATGGGGCGCCCAAACGGACAAAAAAACCCAAAGTTTACTTTAAAACCAGTTGCTGATGAGCTTAATAATGTCCTGAAGAAACATAATCGGTAAAAACCAATTTGATTTAATAAAATTATATTTTTAATAATTAATTTTTAGAGAAGTAACTTTTCTTCATGATTGCGTTGGTCCTGAAGTCGAAGCGGCTTGCGCCGATCCCAAACCAGGTTCGATCATTCTCTTGGAAAATCTTCGCTTCTATAAGGAAGAGACGGGAAAGGGAAAGGATGATAGCGGTCATAAAGTGAAGGCGGATCCTGCAAAAGTAAAAGAATTCCGGCAGAGTTTGAGGAAATTGGGCGATATCTATGTTAATGACGCTTTCGGAACGGCTCATAGGGCCCATTCGAGCATGGTCGGGGAAGGTTTTGATGTCCGAGCTGCTGGATTTCTTTTAAAAAAGGAGTTGGAATACTTCTCGAAAGCCCTCGATAAACCCGTAAAGCCGTTTTTGGCGATTTTGGGTGGGGCTAAAGTTGCCGATAAAATTTTATTGATTGAAAATTTGTTGGATAAAGTTAATGAGATGATTATCGGTGGGGGGATGGCTTATACGTTCTTAAAGGAAGCTAAAGGGATGAAGGTAGGTCATTTTTTAATATAACAAGTAATTACATAACCTAATTTAAATGTCAACTAAACGTCATTGTAAATGCCAAACGTCAAAATGACGTTTTTAGGTTAGAATTAAAAAAAAAATTAATTGTTTAATATTATGATGGTTTTTAAGGTAGTAAACGAAAGAAATAAGTGGTTTTATTTGTGCACTATAATTTTATTAATGAATGTACAGAAAAATCACTCGAATTTCAACAATTTTAAAAAACCGCTTTCAAAAGATTAAAGACAATGGTAACAAGCACGCCTTAAATTGAATTTAACAAAATCCCATATCTACAATCCTCACTTTCCTCAGCTATTAACTTACATAAAATTTTCAGTTATTAATTTTTTTATCGTTATCTTCTTCAATTTTGTTATTACCATCATCACCTTTATGAATTTCCCCACAATTTGCATAATTTTCACCATGATTTTGATCGTTTTTATCATTGTTCTTAATAACCTAATTTAAATGTCAACTAAACGTCATTCTAAACGCCAAACGTCAAAATTACGTTTTTAGGTTAGAATTAAAAAATAATTAATTGCTTCAATTTTTTAATGTTAATTGTTTTTAAGGTACCAAACGAAAGAAATGTGGTTTTATTTGTGCGCTATAATTTTATTAATGAATGTACAGAAAATCACTCGAATTTCAACAATTTAAAAAAAAAACCGCTTTCAAAGGATTAAATGAAATTCGCCTAAACTGATGAAAAAAAGTAAATAAAATTAACACGTGTAATTCATGTTTAACCCCAAAAAGACAATGGTAAAAAGCACGCCGTAAATTGAATTTAACAAAATCCCATATCTACAATCCTCATTTTCCTCAGCTATTAACTTACATAAAATACCGTCTTTGAAATTTTCATCGTTATTAGATTTTTTATCATCATCTTCTTTAATTTTATTATTACCATCATCTTTATGAATTTCCCGACAATTTGTGTCATTTTCACAATAATTTTGATCGTTTTTATCATCGTTCTTAATATTTTCAGAATCAACTTGAATGCTTTGGCTTAAACACTTTTTTTTGGTTGAATCAAAGATACTAATAAGATCCATACTCGCGGTTTTATCCAATTTGGGTTTGTTTGTATAGGAACAACTACTCCCGCTTTCCAAACTTTCAACTTCTTGTATTAAAATATTAGTTTCGACAGCTTTCGAAACTCCTGTTTTAATAGTTTCAATTGAAACAGTTTTTAAAATCGGTTTATTAATTGTTTCCGGTTCGCAAATTTCCGCCGAGAACATATTAACACTTAAATCTTTTTGCTCTGTGTTTATCGCGGTGTCTTTTAATTCGTTTTTGATGGCAACTTGTACGTTTTCGTTAGTCGTTTTAATTAAATTGTTCGTTTGTGTTTGTTGGTTTTCGACAATTAATTTATCTTGGTGAGTTTGTATCTCTTTTTCTTGGTATTCTTCTAATTTTTCGAAACTATCCTCGTACTCTTCTTCTTCCTCTTTAAACGAAATGATGGAGGAGGAGCGATTTTGATTCGTTTCTAATTTTAGTTTTAAAATATCTTGTTTTAGCGCTTCTTGACGCGCGTTTTCGCGCAATAACGTTTCTTCTTTTGAGATTGTTTGATTTAAAATTTCTTTTTCGTGAATGTTTTTTATGTATTCTTCGACTTCGTTGAATATTTCGCTTGTCGGCATTGTTTGGGTGTCTTGTGTGATGAAGATTTCATCGATTGGAATAAAATCCGTTAAGCTTTCACCCACTTTTTGATCTTTAAATTTAATGTCTTCTTCGGAATTTGACTCGAAATCAACTTGTTCACTGTCATCTTGTAAACCAGTTGCTTGACAGGAATGATTCACATTTAAAAATTCACCTTGTTTTTCGTGGATATCTTCGATGTTTTTATTACTAACTTGTATCGAAAGATTTTTTACACTTTTATTTGCTTCAAGATCAACTTTATCGGTTTCTTCTTCAAGTTCACCTTTCTCTCGTGAAGACAAGTTACTCAATTTATCTAAAAATTCCATTAAGCTATCGTTTCCTTCGCTTTTTCGATAATCTTTAACCGCTTTCATGTACGGTGTGAGCAAATCATCGCTTTTAAACGATAACAACTTGTCGATTTCATCCTCCTCCTCGTCGCTTTGTTGTTGAGGCTTTTTAACCTCAATTTCCACGTTTATCTCATTTTCGTTTTTAGCTGGGTTCTCTGACTGAATTAAAAAAAGAAATTACATTAAAATGAACTGTTTTGGTGTCAATTTGTTGTTGTAAACACAGCAATGGTGCCAGCTAAATTATCAAATTTAAACTACGTCAACTTCAGCGACATCTATCAACATTTTAAGTTAACTGCCGCTGTCAAATTGCGTCAATCAATTAACGTCACGTCAATTTTATTATAATTTTGTAATTTTTGAGAATGATGTTTTTACTTACATTGATTTGATCGATTACTTGATCGACTCGTGCACAAAACGTGTTCACCTCGTTTACAGGCGTCGATTGGCTTTCAGATAACGAAACTAAAAGGTAAAAGTCATTATTTTACTTTTTAATAGACAACCTAAGCCTTGACGTCACAGAGATGGGCGAAGCTTATACTGACTCCAAACATTTTCGTTGCTAACGGTAAATCACCATATGCAATTTTCCATTAGTGTTCAAATAAAATAAACTAACAATAAGTGATGACATTTGAAATGACACTTTTGGCGATTTGTCTTAGCAACTGTGGTTAGCAACGAAATTGTTTGGAGTCAGTATAAGCTCCGCCCACCTCTGTGACGTCAGACTTAGGCAGTGTCTATTATTAAGCGGTTAAAACGAACCGTTTGAAATTAGGTTCGAATCGATTCTTGATACATCACTGCTACCAACATTCATGAGCGCGTCCAAACCTTGAATCGCCTTATCGATATCGTCATTTAAATCTTTTCGCGTTTCCGGTTTAATAACATTTTCAACAATTTCTTTTTTATCGATTTCTTTTTTATCCGTTTCTTTTTTATTAATCTCTTTTTTATCCATTTCCTTTTTATCGATGTCTTTTTTATCCATTTCTTTTTTATCGATGTCTTTTTTATCCATTTCTTTTTTATCGATGTCTTTTTTATCCATTTCTATTTTATCGACATCTTTATTATTTTCTTTTAAATTATTATTATTATTTAAGTTATTACTTTTAACGTTTATCTTTGTAATCGGGGGCGGAAACGAACAAAAATTTTTATTTTTTATAAATCTCGGCGAATTAATTTGGTGTTTTTTTGCTTCAACGAGCGGATTCGTATTAATTTTTGCAATTTTTTTATTCTCAACCAAATTCGGCGCAATTTTTTGCTCGCCCATCCCGATATTTGTTAGGATCGATCGAATTTCTTGCTCGATTTCAACGAAGGCCTCATTGTGTTTTTTGGCCGGGTTCGATAAGACGTTTATTATTTTATTTTCGATTCCATCGATAGCCTTGTTTAGATTTTTCGGGAAATATTCCTTGTTTTGGTTAACTAACACTTTAACTTCGTTCAATTTCCTCCGCGTCATAATCGCAGCATCGTTATTAATCGACCTTTTTACATTAACTGGTGACCTTGAGCTTTGAAATTGAGGCAAATTCAAATTACTTCGCCCACCGTATTTAATAAATTGACTCGATTGGGTTGGTTCTTTCGGTTTTAACGGATTCCTCTTTGTTTTTGTATCCCCCATCGATACATTTTTTGATACATTTTTATTTGGACTATTTAAATTTTGATTTAAATGAATTTGGTTTAAATGAGGATGAGGATTATGAATAACCATCTCCATATCGTGACATCGATTATAAAATCGTCGATAATTTTTGTCGACATCATCTTGTTCTCGAAATGAAATTAATTTTCGATCATTTTGGGGTTGATTTCTTGGTGTGTTGTAATTCGTAAAAACGGGCATTACGATGATCGGTTTTGGTTGGAAATCCAAAAATATGTAAGGAGTTAAGGTCTTAATCACCTCTTTCCGCGACATTTCCGCGAGTTTAGCTTGATTCTCCTGGGAAATCTTTAAGTTTGTAAAATCTTGATGCAATAAATTTAAATTTGGTATGTTTTTATTGGAATCGATTTTAACCGTCATCACGGTTAAGATATTTTTAAAATTAACGTTGGTGGGGTCCATCAAGTAATTTTTAAGTTTCGGTTTGATAAAATCCTTTTTTTTGGGCTTGATTAATTTTTTATTGGGAACTTTTTTCTGCTTCTTTTTCTTGTCAGCACTACCTTTAATCGATTTCCTCTTTTCGCCGTCCCCTAAATCCAAATCGGTTTTTAAGCTGACGATGCAGTATTTTTTCGAAACTTTTTTCTTTAAATCGACCAAATCTTTCGGGATGTTCACTGCGTCGTTGAACTCTTTCGGACAATTTTGTAGCGCTTGTTGTTTTGTTTTGGGGGTGATTTTCAATGAAGTAGTTGGCGAATTAATTAAGCGTTTTGCGTTGCTTTTCGGTTTGTTCCACTTATTTGATCTTTCCAAAACGTGTTTGACATTCAATTGAGAAGGTTGTACGTCTAAATCGCAATGTTGTTGGTCTCCGCCCAACTCTAATTTTTCGTACATTTGGTAAGCTTTTGAAACCAAATTGGGGGGACGAGCTTCTTTCCCCGAACTAACAGGGCGCGAAAAACTTGAAATCGTTTTTGGCTTAACTGGGTTTAAAGAAGTTTTACTCGCAGCGTCAGTTTTTAATAAAGACTCCAACACCCGCGGGCTCTCGTTGTAAAGGAGCCGATAAAGCAGGGTATCCTCAACCTTAGTATTTGAGTCATCACTGAATATGTGGTCCTTTCTTGGGTACTCAGATTGAAGTGGCTCAACATCTTTCAACGTTATTTCATCCAATATATCATAAGCTAAGATCCCTCTTCGGGGAGTTCGGATTTTATTCATCCAATTCGTGTGATTTTGATTTGTGCTCACCGTTTCGATAACAACTCCACAACTGCATTTTTCAGAGGCGCAAGAATTGCATTTTTTCTGTTTCTCCTCGACTTTTGTTTGGTGGCTCTCTGCCAATAATACTTTGTTGGTGGGTTTAATCGGTTGTATCTGAGTTTGGCTGTCCAAGGTATTCGCGTTAATTTCTTTTGGGGTTAAATCCGCCGGGGTACTTTGTGAATCTGATTTACTTCGTTTTTGGCGTCTTAAATTCCGCATAAACTCTTTGTATTGGCTCCTTGTTGCTTGACGTTTCACCATTAACTGAATGTCGTTGATAACACTTGGTGGTTTTCGCTCCCAAATTGGTATTCTTTGATAAGATCTTCGAATTGGTTGGGTTGGTTCAACCGCTATTGCTTTTTCAACCAATTCTTGCACTTCATCTTCGTGATTCTTGGCTTTAACTTGTTCTGGGATGGTTTTGTTTGATTTTTTGCGATGTTTAGTAATACTTTTATCAGATTCGTTGTCCTTCTTATTCACTTTTTCTGCCACAATCTCGTCACCTTGCATACTTATACTCGTCAATATTCTATCCAAAGCATTATCTTCTTTTATTGTTTTAACAACCGTTGTAAAAACCTTGGACGACTTTTTCTCCACACTTTTATCATCCGCTTTCTTTTTATTCAAACTTTTTTGATCAACAACTTTTCTTTGCACAACACTTTTCTTGTCAACATTTTTCTGACCAACACTTTTCTCCCCAACACTTTTCTCTTCTATATTATTTTTCTGGGCAACATTCCTCGATTCATGAATCGAAGTAATACTAAAATCAGCTTCAACTCCGCCCTCGCGCTCATTCACGTCGTCACTTTTCTTCTTCCTCGATCTGTTATACTTGATTTGATCTCGTTCCATGTCCCCCAGCGTCGATCTCACTTTCATGCAGATGTCGTTCATGTGAGCAATGCTTTCCTGCAGCGTTGTGCTCATATCCCCGTTCAAATTCATCAAGGTATTCGTGTTATTTCTTTGCATTTTTAATCGGGCATCTTTCGCCGTCGATAAACTCGTTGAAGTTCTCGATGTTGGTGTACTCAAAACGTGATTCTCCATGTATGTAGTAACATTTAATTGATTATTTACTTGATGTTTCATTTGATTTAATTGATTCATTTGATGTAGTTGATTCATTTGATTTAATTGATTCATTTGATTTAATTGATTCATTTGATTTAATTGATTCATCTGATTTAATTGATTCATTTGATTTAATTGATTATGTTGTTGTTGATATTGACTATAATGATAATTAATCGTTTTCGAGTACTCATTCTGAATGGATTTTGGTAAAATATTTTTGGAGGCGCTTAAATTGTTTTCTTTATTTTCCGGGGACGGCGATTTTTTCCGAATTTTAAGTTTTTTCTTTTTTTCTAAAAATTCAACTTTATTAATGAAAAAAAATTACGTGATTATCATATCATTACTTTTTTCCTCCTTCGATTGCGAAGGGGTGTTGATTACTTCCGGCGCTTCGGTAAACAGCACGTGTTCCTTCTTCTTCTTCTTTTTTCCGCTCGATTCTTTCTTTATTCCGCCCACTTTTAGTGGTTTAACATCCTCGGTTAATTTACTTCTCGATGCGGAAAGTTTCAACTAAAAAATAAATTCGTATACGAAGGGGTTATTTTTTATTATATTTATTAAATATATCGTGTTTGAGCTCATTTTAAAGGTTTTTTCTTCAGGTTTTAAAAGTCAATCTCAATTTTGACATATTTGTAATCATCATTAAAAATCCTTTAAAATGAATACAAGTACAACACATTTATCTCCAATATTAATGAAGTTATGGTCACCTTCCGGTTACACTGCGAGAAATGGATTGTACTATGCACTAAAAATATACTATAAGGTATAATACTTTACTACGAAAAGTGACAGCGAGACGAGATTGTATTCAGTACAATAAATATAATGAATATAATACAATAAATTGCTGCATGTATACAATGAATTGCTGCATGTATAATGTTTTTTCTATAATACGATTGGTACAATCTATTTCTTTCGGTGTAGAAATTTCCATGTAAAATTTGAAATATTTGTGATATTCGTTCAAAATCCTTTAAAATGAGCCCAAACATGATACGAAGATATGAAATTCAATATTACGCGAGATATAAGCAACTTCCGGTTTCAAATGTCAATATCATTTTGACGTATTCTTAATATTTTTTGTGTTCAAGCAGTCGTAGATAAAGGTTATTTAAAAGGATTACGAATACATCAAGTTTGTCAAGATTTGAACCTTTGATTTAAAATGTCAACCTCAACTTTGACGTATTTGTAATCTTTAAGATTTTAATCTCCAAAATGATTTTTCAAAATGTATATTGTTTTAATCTAACTAACCTTAACCTCTCCACCTCGACCATCCTTTTTATTAACTTTCTTAACCTTCGTCTTCTTTTTATTTTTCCTTGAACTCTTAAGCTGTTCTAAATAGTCCGGCACTGAAATCGGATTCGGTTTATTCTGTTCGTTATCAATGGAACCACCAAAAATATTCGCCAACGAACTCCTAATCGAATACTTGGACGTTATCTTAACATCAATCTGTTTCGCCGATTTTGTTAAAACCGATTTGGCAGTTCTCCGCGAGTTAGCATTCATCGGAACTGAAGAAGCCGAATATTTCGAATGAATTTTATGCAGAGAAGACGCCAAATCCACCAATGTCTGTTCTTTTTCTTTAATTACATTTTTTTTGCGTTTATTTAAATGGTTTTCGCTTAAAGCGGTTTCGACGTCTGATTCATCACCACCAAAACGCAACGAGGCTGCCTCTTTTTCTTTAATTAGTCTTAGTATATCTTTTTTGCGCGATTTTTGAAGGTCGATTGAATGAGTCGAACTAGAACTTGATGAGTTTTTCGCCGTAATATTGATTTGATTTTTTCGTTTTAAAATTGATGCTGGTAGATGATCATCGCCCATTAATTTTGCGTCTTTGTCCAAACGGATCCGTTTTAATTTGTCGAGGATATCGATAGGGCCGTTATCGGTTACGTTGGGGTTCTTGTCGTAGAGTTTCACCAAGTTGGTGCCTTTTTCGGCGTCGATTACTTTCTTGGATAATTTATTGATCCGTTTTCTTAATTTTTGGAGGTTATCGTCGTCCTTTTTGTCGTTTCTGTCGATTAAATCGCGGTTTGTTAGATCTTTTGGGAGAAAATCGAATCGACTCGATTGGTCGGGAAGCTTTCGGGTTGAGGCATCCCCGTAAACGTTTTGAAGCAGCTTTAAAGCGTTTGCTGATAATTTCGTTGGTAGCGAATTGATTGAGGGCGACTCACGGTTGTGTTTTGAAAGTTTTCTTCTTTCTTGTTGGTTCATTTTTTTGGCTAAAAATGTTTCAAAATTGATTAGTTTTCTTCGTTTTGTTGGGGAGGGGGGTTTTGAGCTTTTATTTTAGCTTCATTACATTCTTCATCGTTCGTTTTTTAATAGAAAATAAGTTTTAGGTAAGAAGGCGAACCGTTCATTGATTTTGAAAACTGCCAATTGTCAAAAATATAAAAATAAAATAAAATGGCAGCTATTTTTTAAAAGCCTTCTTTACAAAAATTATCTTTTCTCGTTCCTTCTCCCTCTATCTCCTCTTTATCCCATTTTGCTTCATTTCCAGATTGGTGGTTCCCTCTTCGATAAACGAGGCGCTGTAATTGTGAATTGCATCATGGAGAAAGCCCACGAGATGAACGTCAACATCCATCTTCCAGTTGATTTTGTAACCGCCGATAAATTTAAAGAGGATGCCACCGTAGGCGCTGCAACCGTTGAATCTGGAATTCCCGACGGCCACATGGGGTTAGATGTTGGCCCGCAAACCCGCCAAATCTTCCATGACACCATAACAAAGGCGAAAACCATCGTTTGGAATGGCCCCCCCGGCGTTTTTGAATTCAAAAATTTCCGCGCTGGAACGGAAGCGATGATGCACGCGGTTGTTGAGTCAACAGCAGCTGGTGCTATTAGTATTGTTGGGGGTGGCGACACTGCGACAGTTTGCAAAAAATTTAAAACTGTCGATAAAGTCTCTCATGTCTCCACGGGAGGTGGCGCTAGTTTAGAGTTACTTGAAGGTGGCTACAAACAATTTTTTTAATTTGAGTTAATTTTTTAATCCCCTTTTTTAGGCAAAACCTTACCCGGAGTTGCCGCCTTATCAGATGCATAATTAAAACGTCAAAAACTTGTTACATCCATTAATAAAAGTTTCTACATCGATTATTAACACCATAAACAATTTATTTCATCTCTTTTTACTTACAAACCCAATAAAAAAATCGGATTTCATAATCCAAAAAAGGATAATAATATATACTTTTATGTAAACTAAAAAGAGATGGAAAAGTATCTTAGAATCAAATTTTTTGAACCATACATCTTACTGTCAAAATCGTGCCAATGTAACCTAAAAAAATACATTATTAATAATTTCCCAACTGATTTTTATCAAAAATTAGTAAAGAAAAGGTAGTTGAAGAAGAATTATCAAGAATACCCAATTTTTAGATAGTAAGTCCCCCCAAAAATTTCGACAACCTTAAAATTGTTTTTTAATTTATTTCAAAACGAAGTAAAACTAATAATTAAAATCATTAAAACATTAATTTAATCATATATAAATTCTTATACGTCAATTCTCTTTATATTTTAGATCGGAAAATCTCTTTACGATGAAGAAGGTGCAAAAATCGTCAAAAACATCATGGATAAAGCCAAAGAGAAGAACGTCCAAATCCATCTCCCAATCGATTTCGTCACCGCTGACAATTTTGCTGAAAACGCGACCGTTGGTGCAGCCACCCTCGAATCGGGGATTGCTGATGATTTAATGGGGCTCGATATCGGTCCGAAAAGTATCGAGTTGTTTTTAGAGCCTATTTCGCGTGCTAAAACCATCGTTTGGAATGGCCCGGCAGGGGTTTTTGAGTTTGAAAACTTCTCGAAAGGTACAAAAGCCATTATGAGGGGTGTGGTTACCGCAACTGAAAATGGGGCCATCTCTATCATCGGGGGTGGAGATACCGCCACTTGTTGTCTTCAATGCAACACGGAGGGTAGAGTTTCGCATATTTCAACGGGAGGTGGAGCTAGTTTAGAGTTATTAGAAGGTAAATTAATTGAGTAATTTGTGGTCGATAAAAAAGATTTCTTTTTTTTTTTTTAGGAAAAGTTTTACCAGGTGTTGAAGCTTTATGTGATGATGAATAAAATATTATTATAAAATAAAAGAGGTATAATATTAATTTTATTATTTCAATTTTGGTCCTCTCTGTACATTTCATCCTTACAAAAACTTTTTTCTAGCATCAATAATTAACTCCATAAACAATTTATTTTAAGATTAATTAAAATAATCATTAAAAAAACAGATTTATTCCGCATTAAAGAATAAATCAAAGGTCAAAGATAAATCGTTGAAATTTCGAAATAGATCTCTTTTTTATTACAAACCCAATAAAAGAAATCGATTTCATAATCCAAAAAGGGGTAACAATACTCTTTTAAATAAACTAAAAAGAGATGAAAGTAACATCTTAGAATCAAACTTTTATTACATCCATCTCTCTTTATCCAATATTGACAGAAAGTCGTGTAAATCTAACCTAAAAAAGCGACTAACCCGACATTATTAATTACGCAACGAATTTTTACTAAAAAAAGCCGGAAATGAGTGAAGAAAAGAAAGTGGAAGAAGTTAAAAAAAGCACCGATGAAGAATTAGCCGATCTTTTAGATAGTAAGTTCTCAATAAATAAATTAAAAATATCCCCAGAATGATTTTGAGGTTATGTTAGAAAATATAACCTAAATATTTTTCTTTTTTAATAATTTTAAACGGTTTAAAAATAATTTTAAGGTGCCTTAGAAGACTTTTCGGATAAAAAAGACGAAAAAGAATCCCAAAAGCCGGCTGAGGATGATAAAAAAGATGAATCCCCAGAGGTCGATTTAGATGACATCCAATGGTCTGAGGAATTTTTACGACAAGCCACCCAACAATTTCAAACAGATATTTCACGAATGTGCGGAAACATCGACCCTAACGTTAATTTAAGTCCCGATCAGATCCAAGAAAGTTTACAAAAAATGGCGGAGGCTGCTCAAAGCGTTTTATCAAATCCAGCCCCCCCAAACGAAACCTCAACTGATTTTTCTGCTGCAATTACACAAACTTTACGAGGGTTAAGTGAAGGAACGGAAAACTTAGAAAATCCATTTTCCGATCAAGATTTATTAAATATGTTTACTGGAGGAAGTAAGTATAAATTAACAAAATATTTTTTGAAGTTATAATTTATTTTTAAGGTGGTGCCGGTAGTGAGCAAAATAGTTTTATTCCGTTCATGCAAGGAATGATGCAAAGTTTGTTAAGTAAAGAGGTTCTTTATCCGAGTTTAAAAGACATCATGGAAAAATATCCGGGATGGTTACAATCGAACGCTTCAACTTTAGCCCAAGAGGACCGTTTAAGATTCGAAAATCAACAAAGATTAATGGAAGATATTTGCAAAGAATTAGAGGCGGAAACTGAAACCGATAGTGCAGAAATAAAGAAGGAACGTTTCGAAAAAGTGTTATCAATGATGCAAAAATTACAAGATTACGGACAACCCCCAGCGGAACTTTTGGGCGACGTCGGACCAGGATTTCAATTCGACCAATTGGGAAACCCAAATATGGAGCAGTGTTCGGTGATGTGATGGTGTCCGGGTTAGTTTTTCTGGTAGTAAAAAAAAAATATTTAATTATTTAAATTCCAAGGATGAGATTTTTAAATGGCTTTTTTTGTTAGAATTGAAAATAAAAAGATAATCTTGTAAATATCTTAAGCGAAAATAAGGTTTAATTTGTTGGTTACGTTATAATTTTGTTTTAAATAAAAACGGATTAAAAAAAATTGATTTTGTTCTTTCGAGTCGAGTTATTCTGAGGAAGTCATAACCTCTAAAAATGAAATAATGGGTATTTAAAAAAAATAATAAAGCCGTAAATAATAAGTTATATTATTATTATGTATAATATATATATATAGATTTTTTTTACAATAATTTTATGATTGTATACCATCATCTTAACAAATAATAATTAAATATAATATAATCATTATATACACTGTTCTCTAATTATTAATGTTACATCATTAATTTCCATTTATTAATTTAATTTAAAAAGATTTATACAACACTAGAGATCTATACAGAGAATTCAAAAGAAATCTGTACCATCAAATCGTAAGCAGAATTATCACGGACTTCCACTCAAAATAAATAAATACTTGCAATTGTTATTATTTCGAACTTTTTAATCTCATTAGCTTGGTCTGGATGGGGTGCTAACGACGACGACGGGTTTTACCACGTATTGGGCGTTCACCAAAGGGACCACTTTGCCGCTTAAAGGTTGTGGGGTGATAAAATGCGCCACCGCCGTCGCAGGACTTGAAACCAAGGGGAGTTCGGAAAGGTTTTTCGGTACGAGAACTTTTTGAAGAACAACTTGACTCATTGGGTATGTTACGGGGACCACCGATAAAGCTTGCATTGAAGAACCCTAGAAAAAAATTAAATAAATTTTTATTTTAACTTTTTTTATTGATTTTACTTCTTTAATTCCGTTATTTTGATTATTAACACTCATCCTGGGTAAAGGTAATTTCTCCATAACTTTCTCATCTTCATCATCCATTTTTTCAACTACATCCGGACTTCCCATCACTTCCGGTAATAACCCCGTCATGTCTAAACCATCAATTGAAACCCCGGAATCTTTCCTCAACACAGCCAATCGTTGTTGATTAGCAATTTTTTGTCGCGCCAAACTCTCCATTTCGTGTTCTAAATCGCGTTCTTTCTTCTTCAACGATTGAATGTACCTCAAAGCTGAGTGCAAAATGCTTAAATTCGAAGATTTCCTTTCATCTTGAGCCCTGGGTAGTTGCTTTTTTAGCGCATCAAAACATTCTTTTAAATGGGCCCTACGATCCTTCTCCAGTTTGTTATGGACTTCTCGCGTACCCGTTCGAAATGGAATTGGGGGTTGTTTTCTTTTTGGTTCACCCGAATCGTCGATAACCAAAGGATTAATTATGTCAAAACTGTTATTAATTTGACGCGGGGATGTTGACGGTAATGGAGACTCCTGTTTTGTTGACGTCCTAATTAAGGTTGGTATTGCTGTTGTTGTAATTGTTGGCGGGAGTTGTTGTTGTTGTGGTTGTGGCGGGGGTTGAGTTGTTTGGTTTTGATGTAATTGATGCGGTGATAATTGTAATGTTGTAATCGAAATGGGTTGATGATGAATTTGATTGTTATGGTTGTGTTGGTTTATTTGTAAAGGGTGAGTTAATTTTATTGTTGCCTGTTCGCGTTGACGTTGACGTTCTTCTTGGAGTTCTAAGAATTTTGCAGCTTCAAGTAATGTTTCTACGTTCATGTCGTTTCTAAAACAAAAAGATTTTTTATTTAAATAAATTTATTAGTCTATTCAAGATTTTATCATCAATTAATATAAAACATCAAAAATTGACTTTTAAGGTTATAACATAACCACAATAACAAAAATTGACAAAGTTGATAGTCATTTGTTTTTTATGCGCCATACTTAAGATGAGGCACTTTTTATTATTTTAAAAAAACGTTAATAAATACATTTAATAAATTCATTTCAGGATTAAAGTGGTGAAGATGAAGTTGGGAATGATGAAGATCGGATTCACTCAAAAATCGAACAAAATATAGGATCATTTTAAAACATTACCTCATCTTTAAATTCAGTGACATTTGGAAAGAAGATTCCACTAAAAGTGGAATGGATGTATTTGTTGGATTATGATTGTCAATCGGTACCAAAAAAGGGGAATGGGGGACCAACTGAGATGAAGAAACTAACTCTTTTAAAGGTAAGAAAGTTAATAAATGTATCGATAAAGACTTGATAATCATCATATAGAATAATTCTTGATTTTACTTTCAACAATAGATGTTTATGTTGAGTATTCTTGATTTAGTCTTAAGTAGCAGTAATTAACGTTATACTACTTAGTTTAGTTAAGTTATTTGTAACAAGTAATGTGATAAACCAAACTCACAAAAAGGTAATGAATTAATTTAGTGGTTGATAACATTTCATGGTGGTAAGTATCTTTTTAATATTTTGTGGTATTTTGTTTAAGTTGTTAAGAAGGCTTATTAAGTTGTGTTACATTTTCAGGAAGAATCGTATAACCTGATTAGAAACAAATAACATTCGTGTCAAAGTATACAGGGTGTTAATGAACGACGTGCAGATATTTGAGAGGGCCAAAAAGTTGAAGAAAAGCATAGGGAGTTTAAATGCAACATCAAGATTAATACAGAGGGTTCAAACAAAAACTTGCGGATGGTATAAGAATCAGGAACACGAAAAAATGGGACACCGGTAGTGTGGCTTACCAAATTTGAAATAATTATTCAAAAAACACCGGAAAAGAACGTAGAATTTTAAAAAAAATTGAAACTTTACCTCTCTGTAGTGACGCATTTTGACCACATGTTTATTGTGGAAATGAAATATCTGCACGTCGTTCATTAACACCCTGTATACTAAAATGTCATTAATTATTTATTAAATTATGAAATGTCAAATTTTTTTTATGGTTAAGTGACAAATTAAGTGAAATTATTTTTAATACCAACTCAAAATTTTATTAAAAATAAAAATTCTAAAATTTCGGTTCTAATTCAACGTTTTGTTTATGTGTGTGTTTGTTTCTTTTATCTAATATTTCCCAACAATTTTCTCTATTACATCAACCAATTCTTCAGAAACACGTCAACCTTTTATTTCTTGTTATTTTTAAAAATCACTCATCAACATGATTTAATGTTTTAATAAATTGTTTTAAAAACATTTTAACCTCAATTTACAAAAAGGTCAATAGAGGTCACTGATTATTTTCATTTTTTGACTCTAAAATTTAATCCGCCCACTATTTTTTGTCTTCTCTCGTAGCCCTCCAAATTTAAAAATTAAAAAAAATAACCAAAATCAAATTTACTTTTTTAATTCATTAATCATAATTAAATTTATGAAAAAAAAAAAATAAATAAATTAAAATCTGATTATAGACGTTATTCTCGTCTAACATAGTAGACGGGTTCCCCACCCGGACACGTGGCACCGCGGCGATTCTAGGCACCGGAGCACGTGTTACCGTACCATTTCCTTTAAATACAACCTCTATAAAGACCAAAATCGTTTAACAGACAGCGCGTGTACCGGGGACACTTTGCTGAATTGAACGAGCCTCGCGCAACGTTGCCACATCAATACATTTACACTGAATATACCAAGTTGTAAGAACAAAGAAAACCGATCAAAAATCAAAATAATCACTCCAAAATTGATTTCAAAGCGATTAAAATCTCGATTTGTCGATTTAAAACGGGGTTTAAATAACGTTTTTTAAAGGATTTTAAACGAAACAGGGTCATATTGCGAAAAACTTGGCAACGCTGCAACACGAGCTATTATTGTATATTTGTATAACGGGTTAAGAATTAATACGAAATTTTATTATTTTCAATAAGCAAGCGATTAATAGAATAATAGAAATCGACTTACCCTAGATGTGTGAGAAGAGAACGAAAATGATGAAAATGTTGCTTTTTTTGGGAGTTCGAACTTGTTTTTAATCCGAAAACTCACTCAATATCTTAATAAATACACCACCACTATCAAAAATTTTGTTACTTTTTTAACTCTAAAACATAATCGAAACTATTTTTTCATGTATTCATGTACTTGGTATTTTTTTTTCTTCAAAGCCAACTTCCCTGACCAGGTCACGATACACACAACTCCATCATCACGTGTGCCGTGGCGTATCGACCAATGGGAGGTGTATTGCGCGCGTGACGTCACGTCGCGATCACACCCATCGATGAGAGAAAATAAATTTTCCACGCCACTGTATTTGATCGGCTACGAAAAAAACAAACACACCAATTTTAATTCATTTAACGAAAATTTTATTTTGTTATTATAAGAAAATTTATGTCCCCCCCGTTTTGGGGACGACGCAAAACTTTTTGTGTGTTTTTTAACACGTGTGTCGTAGTTGTTTCTTTGCGGCGTTGTTGTGCACTCTGCTGATGTTGGTTGGGTCACGTGAGATGATGATCGGGTGCTGTTGCTGTTGGGGGCCGACGCGAGGGGGCCCCACCACGCGGCCAGCCAGCTTGTGATGCGCAGTTACGTTGCGTAGTAGACACAGACAAGGATAAAAGACGATGAAATCATCAATTGTAATTTTTTTTTATGGAATTAAAAAAGTTTGAAAATGAACAATTAATTAAACTATTAAAGATTAATATATCTGTAGGTATGTTCCGGTCAATATAATTAGAATAAAAGAGTGCGTCTATAAATATTGAAAAATATTCAAGGAAACTCATACTGCAAAAAAGATCAATCTTCTTTTTATTGAACTTAATACCTGTACAATGAAAAATAAATACAGAATCTTCCTGGCTAGGCACTCTTGATTGATTCAAAGACCAAACAAATAGAAAAATGTTGTTAAGCTTTTCTGAGAGATTTATTTTACTTAAAATATAAAACGAATTATTAGACAACTTTAAAAAAAATTAACAAAACAATTTTGAGTTTAAGAAATTTATTTAAGATACAAAATTCGATAATAAACACCTAACTAACTAAACTTAACTGTACAATCGCCGGATTTTACATGTTTCCATCCGCTTATTAATATTTTTTCATGTATCATGTATATTCATCATTTACTGGAGATTTCTCAACTTATTTAATTCTTGTGGCAGTATTGACTGAATTTTAGCGGCTCCTACTTCTTATTTTACTCATATAAATTAATCTCTTTATCTATAATCCTTCGCAAAGAGAGAAAACGACAAAAAAGAAACGCAAAACTTACAAACTATTAATACAAAATATACGGTAATAAAATTATTATTATTAATTTTTCCCAAAAAAATTTAACCAAAATTTGCTTTTTAACTTTCATGATTTCTTTTTTTAATAATAATAATCTTTAGGTTAACTTTCTAAAGGAAATAGTCCGCTTGAGGTTTCTTCGATGGAACTCCCCTCGTTTCTTGGGGGGCAGCCTCAAATATTGTAAAATCTCTTTGTAAATGCTCGTTTAATTCAAGAATAGCAGCCACATTTCCACACCTAAAAGTTTTTTTTAATAGAGGTTATATTTTGAATTAAATTAAATTACCGATAACAATAATTTGGAGCTGACCAAACAGTCAAAACAGTCTCATTAAAATGCCATTTATAACCTTCCATAACCAACTGATGAGCTCTGCATATCATATCAATATCGTTGGCAGCATTAAATTGAGCCACAACATCCGATCCAAATAAATATCCAGCACCGCGAGGTGAAACACCCCAACCTTGCGTATCTAAAAATTAATTTTTTTAAAATTGATTAATCTTTTTTTGTTTATTAACCTTCAGGATCACTCCATAATAAGTCACACATCGGACCATCGTGAGGTACCTCTTGTTTACGATCGATCGTTCTAATTTGATCTAACGTTTGTATCGAAGGAGACAACCCACCGTGAACGCAAAAAATCTTTCCATCAATAATCGCGGATAAAGATAAATAATCAAAAATTTCTGTGCAATATCTCCAAACAGTGATTGACCCATATTTTCTTAAACACTCATCGTAAAAACCATAAACTTGAGTGATTTGTCTTGATTCGTGGTTGCCTCTTATTAAAGTTATACGATCTGGATATCTAACCTAGAATATTTATTAAAAATTTCCCAACATTATTTTTTAAGTATTTAATTACCTTTAATGCCAATAGTAATAAGAACGTCTCAACGCTATAAAAACCTCTATCAACGAAATCCCCCATAAATAAATAATTAGTTTCCGGAACATCTCCTCCGACTTTAAATAATTCTTTCAAATCGTAAAATTGCCCATGTATATCTCCACAAACCTATAGAATTAGATGTTTCATTAAAAAGCGATGACTTGGTTGATAAAATAAAACAATACCGTTACAGGTGAATCAACACGTTGAACATTACTTTCCTCGACTAAAATTTCCCGTGCTTTAGCACATAAAGCTTTAACTTCCGCTTCACGAATAATTTCGCATCTTTTTAACTGTTCGATTTGTCGATCTAAATCGCTTGTATCAGTCATCTTATGTGCCTTCCAAATTAAATCGAAATAATTGTTTCCCGATGGGTTATGAAGTGAAAGTGAGGTTATGTTTGGGGCGGATCTTTGGTACGTTATTTTTTTATGGGTTTTGTTTCACTTGGGGTGATTTTAAATGGATTACTGTTTTGTTACGGAGTTATTGACGAAAATTTAGTATCTTTTAATGATTTTTCAAGTGGAAAATCGTGATTTTTGGGGAATATTTAGAGGTAACACAAAACGTCACAAAAATTACTGCTAACTTCAGACTGCTTCGGACCCCTCAGCTAATTTTAATGGAAAGATGTCAGTTAACGTTACGTTTGAAATAATTTTTGTTAGGAATTAAAATCATTTTTATTTATTAACTAAAAGTTAATTATAATTTTTTTTTTATTTTAATTAATTTTGGTGTTTAAATTAATAATTAATAACATTCAGTTTGATTTATAAATGATTTTACCAGGATACTAGCGCCATCTTTTTTGTAGTAGTAAAATAAGATAATTTACAACCACTAGGTTGTGTTTACGTACGGTTTTTTCGGCATTTTTGGCTGATTTTCCCGTAAATCTAATCGTTTTTTGTATGTTGTAGTGACCAAAAGTGTTCCAGAAACTGTTTTAAGTCAGAAAAATGGGCAACATTCACACCGTCGGACCCAATGAGGCTCTCATCGTATCAGGTTAGTGCCCCATTGCCAAGTTTTTACAAGTTTTCTTGAATTGTTTATTTTTATCGATAATAAAAGTCAACGCCCGGTTTTAATCGTAAAAAGTTACTAATTAGCATAAGAATTTAGGTTACTGTTTATTTATAGAAGCAAAAATTGATTTTTTTTTGAAGTGGATCGCAAGTCTCATTGTGTGTTATGTGTTGAATCAAGTAGAAATTTATCGATTTTTTTTAAATGGGTTAATAAAGATTAAAAGAAGTTAATTGTTAAAATCTGGTTACTTTTTATGGTGATTCATACCAATTCATGATAAGAAAATAACTAACAATAAGATAAAATCTTTATAGGTGTAAATTTGGCATTCTTAATCTTAAAGATATCCACATTAATCTGTCTTAGATATAAATTATTGATGGAATTTATTACGATTGCACTTATTTTTAGAAAATGATTGGAAATAATTTGATGTGAATCCAAAAATTTTAAGTTGCCGGATTTGCATCACTAAGCAACGAAATAATTCTCATCCATAATAAAGTCAAAACGTCAAAATGTGAGGTTATACTATTTATTATACATTTCGATAAAATTACAATTAAAAAGAATAATTATATAAAACTATTTTTTAGTGCCAATGTTTTTTGATAATATCAGCTGCTTTTTCGCCAATCATAACTTCGGGCGCAGTCATATGTCCGGTTAAAGTGTTTGGAATAACACTAGCATCGGCAACTCTTAAATTTTCAATTCCATGGACTTTTAATTCATGGTCAACAACCGCGTTTTTATCGGTTTTAGGCCCCATTTTATTTGTGCCACACGGATCGCCCAAACTTATAGTTAAGTGGCGAATTGAACATTTTAAATCATCATCGGATAAATGCTCGAATTTTTCGCAAGCTGTTAATCGATGTTCGTTTAAGTGGACGTTTAATTTTTTAAATGCTTCCGTTTTCGTTAAAGCCAACGCTTTACGAATTCCGGCAATCATTGTTGAAAGATCTTCGTGATCGGGATCGGTGTAATAATTTCCGTTGATTATCGGGTAATTAAATGGATCTTTAGTGCGTAATGAAACAGATCCCGTTGATTTTGGATGAGGTAAAGCGACTAAAATTGTGAAACCTTTATGATTTTCGTTGGGTTTATAAATCGCATCGTAAACATTTTTAGCTAAACCATATTCATTTTTGATTTTTTCATAACCGATATTAAATCCGTGGGGGATTAAAATTAACTCGATATCTGGATGGTCTTTTTTAACCTTTGAAATTTCTGTTTTAATAAAAGCTAAGCCTTCGATTCCAATTTTCGATAAAGGACCTGATCCATCTTTTAACCAGTGAATTAAATCTTCGTCGTGATCACTTTTTGATTTGGAAAGAGTTTCGTTGCTTACAAAATTTAGTCCAACATACGCAATATGATCTTTTAAATTCTCCCCAACGGGGAGTTCATGAATTTGTTCAATTCCAATGTGTTTCAAAGCTTCTTTTTTCCCAATTCCGGATAACATTAATAATTGAGGGCTGTTTATCGCCCCACCGGCTACGATTACTTCTTTAGCATTGTTTGCAATGAACATTTTACCACGATGAATGTATTTAACCCCGCTTGCATTTTTAGTGTGGGGTGTTATTAAGATATCGACGACGTGGCTAAAAGGTCGAATACTTAAATTTTTGCGATTTTTACTCGTTTCTAAATAACTCCTTGATACGCTACTCCTTTTTCCTTTCACCGTTAATTGTTGTGGTGTTGCAAAACCTAATTGTTCGTCTCCGTTGTAATCAATAATTTTATAACCCAACTCTTCACCTCCTTTTAAGAATGCCTCACGAATTAACGATTCATGTTTTGGTTCTTCTACATTCAATAAACCACCTTGGCTGTGATGTTTTCGGTCGAATTGATGTAATTGGGCATTTTCGGATTTTTTAAATGTTGGCATTACATCGTTGTAGCACCACCCATCGTTTCCATTATCAGCCCATGTGTCGTAGTCAATAGCATTGCCTCGGGTGTACACCATCCGATTAATAGAACTTGTTCCTCCCATGGCTCTTCCAGTACGTAATGAGCACCGATCATCGATTGATCCAATACAAGCTTTTTCTTGAGGCTCGGTTTTGTATCCCCAATTGTAAGGGGTGTTTAATAATATATCGGTTATCGCAGGGATTTGACTGTATGGAGTTTCCGGAGCTCCGGATTCTAATAATAAAACTTTCCATTCTGGGACTTCCGATAAACGATTAGCTATAACGGCTCCAGAGGTTCCACCACCGATTATAATAAAATCAACATTTTCAGCTTCTAAAACATAAATTATTAAAATTATTAAGTTAATTTTTTTTTGAGGTTATGGTTCAATAAACCAAATTTCTCTAGATACGAAGAGGAAAATAAGTTTTCCGTCAACATTTTCTTCTACAGTCTTAAAATTAATTATTTTCATTTCAATTTAAATCGAAAATCGATTAAAAGCAATTTTTGTTTAAATAAATCATAATTAAAAACTAATTTTAGTCACATCCAGTTACATCATTTTTATCTGGTTACTTTTTAGAGTTGCAATTTTAAGTTGCAAACGCAGTGATTGAAATAGTATATTAAAAAACAAGTTTCGTAAGACACGCTTGAAATGCACGAATTCAAGTTGAAAAACGAGTGTCGAAGCCACGAGTTTTTTAATGAATGAGTGCTTTAAGTCTTATGAAACGTGTTTTTTATGCTATTTTTTGTAATTCGCGTTTTTATACTTTTTTTTAACAAAAATAAAGTAAATTTTGGCAATGTAGGGAAATAGGTATGTAGCAGTTGGTAACACCGGAACACTTGAAAATAGAAACTTTGAATTGACAATTAGAAACTGTCAAAACACAAAATATATTCACCTGAAAAAAATGTTTCATGTACACCTCCCAAAATAAGAGAAATTGCTAAATGTCCTCATCATTGTGGACTTTGTATTCGATGCTAAGAACGTGTTTAAACATCCATAGACAAAAATTGTCACATTGACAACTAGAAAAATTAATGACCCAATGTCACCAACTTGAACTGGTTCCATAAAATGTTACTAAAATCTCATTACAGCATCGGATGCTGTAAGGAGTCTCATTACAGCACCCGTTTGAGTACTGTTTTAGCTTCCATTACCGTAGCGAATTACAAAAAAATTATTATTTTAAATTAATTAATTTTTTTATTTTATTTTTCGTTTAATTAATTAACGAAAGAAGTTACTAAATTGATTTATTAACCATATAGGAAATTTTAATAATAATTATTTATTAATATTCGATTCAAATTCACAAAATCAATACAAAACCTTTTAACGCAGCTTCTTCGTCGTATAATTTCGGATCAAAAGATCCTTCTTGTAATTTGGTGGTTAACGAGACGTTTTTTAAGTGCTGAATACCATCTTCAAAGTCTTTGATGTATTTGTCTGTTAATTCGAAAGGTGATGCATCGATTTGTGTCGTTAAAAGAATTATCGATGGTATTAAAAGGAGTAATCGCATTTTCTGAAAGATAAAGAAAGTAAAATAAAAATTGTCCTTGATACACAATCGATACAGAAAAGGTAATAAAAATAGCTATAAGACAACTCTTGACCTAGTATTAAACGAGAAATGATTTAATTATGTAAATTAAATGCGTACTTTTACTTGTAACCTTAAACAAAAACGTGTGGTGTTTATTGCATGTTTCTAAACGGGAAAAGAGAAAAGAAAGAAATGTTGTTTAAGGTGAGGCAATCATTGTCTTTGTTTAAACTGCATCAAAATAACTCGGATTATTAAAAATTCTTTACTTACATTAAATTAAAACTACTTTTTCTCTTTTTTAGCACTCTCACTTCACTCACAAAATGTTAATACAGGTCCACACCTTTGTATCCCCTATATATATATACTCTCATTACAATCTCTCGGAAAAATTAGAATATTCTTGAGGTAGGGGGCAAAATCTGGGTGGTTCTCTCCTCTATTTGAAGGTTCTTTGGGTACAATTAAAGCAAGAACTTGGCTTGTGTTTAGCCTTGTCTGTTAGCGCGGATGGTCAATTGAATAAAACTTAATTCGTTAGAATGAACAAAAAATAACCTTTAACGCTTCGAAATTTACTCGCCGAAAAGGAGTCGTTATTTGGAGCTAATTTTTTGGGTTCAAGAACGATTGTTATCATTGAATTTAATTATAATTAACTTTGGTCTTCAATTTTTAAAGATTTTTTTTGTTTAAAAATGTTAGTTTATGTCAATTATTCGTTTTCGGGAATCGATGACAAAAAAAATGCCAACATTTTTCAGATAATTTTTTAATTTATTATAAAATTAAATTGATTAATTTTTATAATTAAGAAAAAAATTAAAGCTCAACTTTTAAGTTATCCTTCTCGATATGATCCTCAATAATCAAAGCCGCTGCTTTTTCGCCCACCAAATAAGCAGGAACGTTAGTGTGCCCGGTTATTTGTACCGGAATAACGCTCGTATCTGCAACTCTCAAATTCTCAATCCCATAAACTCTCAATCGGTGATCAACCACGGCTTCCGGGTCATTTTTCGGCCCCATTTTGCACGTTGTCGTGTGATGGTAAAGAGTCGAAGTTAAATGCCTCACGGCGCACTCCCAATATTGATCGGTGTCATACAAAAACTCCTCACAACCGGGTATTTTCGTATCAACGACTTTTACGTCGTATTTTTGGAAAGGTTCCGCGGTGAATATGCGGATTGTTTCGCGAATTCCAGCGATCATCGTTTTCATATCTACCCCTTTGGGATCGGTGAAATATCCGCCGTAAATTTTTGGGTATTTAAACGGATCTTTGGAGCGCAATTCGAGGCGTCCATAAGATTCTGGGCGCATTAGGATGGGGAATGCGCTCAATATGTTTTTATTTTTTAATGGTAAATAGATTTTGTTGTAAATTTCGGGCGATAATTCCATCGAGGCTCCTAATCCGTAATCGTTTTGGGACCCCAAATGAGTTGACCAATATAGAATTTCAATATCAGATAAATTCTTGTGGGTTGTGGCGGTTGTTGTTGAAAAAACGACTCCTTCTAAACCCCCGGTGTTATGCAGAGACCCAGTTCCTAAAATAAATAAAAATGATGTTGAAATTGGGTGATTTATCTTTGTCGAGTTTGTTTGTTTGTGAGATGATAAATTTTAATTAGAAATTACATGTTTTATTGCAAAGGGACATCTGTACGGGTTTTGTTATGATAAATGGGTTAATAAAGTCATCAAAACATTTCTATTTTTAAATTGTTTTTTGTTTACTTTTATCATATAAAAGTTGATGTAAATTTTATCAACGTCCAATTTTTCACCAATTCTGAAAATTGTTAATGTTAATCCCCAATAAGCAAGGTGATCCTACTTTTCCAACTCAGATTTTAACCCCACCCCATTTAATATCAAAACAATGCCGAAGTCGTTATAATTTGATATAATTGAAATTAATTTTTTATTTACCTTTATTATATAAGTTGATATAAGTTTCGTCGTCGAATAACTTGGCTCTATCAACATCTAATTTTTCGTTAACCGTAAATGTTAATCCCCAATAAGCGGGATGATCATAAATCTTTTTTCCGACGGGTAAATCTTGTTTCACCTCAATTCCAAACCTTTCCAACTCAGATTTTAGCCCTACCCCGCTTAACATTAAAAGATGCGCAGAGTTGATAACGCCCGCGCATAAAATAACTTCCTTTTTGGCGAAAACTTTGTAAGTTTTTCCGTTCTTAACGAATTCGACTCCTTTAGCTTTCTTGTTTTCATCGATAATGACTTTGGTGACGTGGCTCTTTGTGCGAATCGTTAAGTTGTCGCGGTTTTTAGCGTTGCGAATGAAACAGCGCTCCCCGGAACACCTCAACCCGTCTTTCGTGGTTGATTGAACGTAAGAAACCCCAACGTGTTCTTTCCCGTTGTAATCGACGTACTTATACCCCGAGGCTTTAGCAGCCTCCAAGAAAATTTCGACCCCTTTCGTGCGATGTTTCGAATCTTCAACGTGAAGCTCTCCTTGTTTCCCTCGAACTTCATCGTCTTTAACCCCGATTTTACATCTTTCCATTTTTTTAAAATATGGTAATAACTCTTTGTAGCTCCACCCAGGGTTACCTAACGATCCCCAACGGTCGTAATCATAAATAGCACCCCTCGAGAACACCATGTAATTTAAAAGTGATGATCCCCCGATTCCTTTCCCGCGAGGCCAATGCATCCGTTTATTTTTAAATCCCAAAGCGAAATTGTCTTCTTGCTCGGTGTAAAAGCGCCAATTTTGGTCTGTGAAATGAGCCAAAGGGGCCCAAATGGGCATGTCGGTGAGAATGTCTGGATCTCCCCCCGCTTCTAAAACGAGAATCTTCCATTTTTTGATTTCGGAAAGTCGGTTTATTAATGAGGAACCTCCCGAGCCGGAACCAACGATTACGAAATCGTATTCTTCTGTAAATGAAAATAAAGAAACATTAAGAAAAATACAAAACAATGAAACGATTAAATTGATTAGGTTTAAAATTATTGTTTTAATTGTTTATAATCAGAAAAACCAGGAAGAAAGAGGTGTTTCTTGGTAATTGTCTTTGATCTGTTATTATCGTTGTAATTGTGGACAACCTTGGGGATTGTTAATATTAATCAGACGTTGACTAATGCTGTTTCTAACAAGAATTCTTTCTTTCGCTTAGAATAAATTTATCACTTTTTCAAAAAAAAATGACGCTATCAACAATTTTTTGACATTTAAAGCTGTCAACGGCGTTATTTCGGCGCCTACCTTGATTGTAATTTGCTGATATAATATTTTCAGAGAACGCATTTTTTCTCGATTTTTTTCTTATGCAACCATATGATTTGATATGTTCATCGCATAGAGGAATTTATCCTCTATGAAAATATGCAAAAAAAACATACACATCCCATTTAAAATAACAATTAAACCGTTGCTGCTATTGTTGGTTGCTATGGCAACGAACAATGTTGGTTGCCAACAAAATCACACCAAATAATCTCGATTCCTTTTTGAGAAAACGTTTTTTAATTAAAATAAAATTCTTTACCTTCATCTTTCAATTCAGGCTCAACGTACGGCTCATAATCGCGCTTAATTTTCTTCTCATCGATCAGTTTCTGCACCTTCCTCCGAATCACATCCGGTAATTCCCCTTTCGGTTGGGTTTCAGCGTTGATGAAGACCGCCAATTGAAGAACCAAAAGCACCGCGAAATAAACGCGATGATTCATCCTCGTTTTAATCAACCTGAAATTCGCAAGTGTACTCGCGATTTTACCGGGACCGAGTCTTTTATATAGAAAAAGCGCCCAAAAAAAAAAAAGAAGAAATTATCGCAGCGAGATTAATGTTTATTTAATTATTTGGTTAACTCTGATAGGGGGTTATCAATTATTACGAACCTCGGTTAACATTTATAGCTTTTCTTGTTGATGCGTTTATTTTATTTGGGATTACTTCATTTCGGGTTATTTAGTGAACTCTATGTTGTTTTTTTGGACAAGATCAAGGTTATTTTTTGGTTTATTTAGAAATGATTTAACGATATCCTTTTTGGCCGTTTATTTTCAAAATAGAACTTGAAGGTTAAAATTACAAAAATAATTTTTTTTAAATTACAATTCGTCTTTGAGATGATCATTTTTGATGAATTCGCTTAATTTCTCCCCGATAACATAACCTAAAAGTTGGTTATGGCCCGAAATCGGTTTTGGGATCACGCTAAGATCCGCGATTCTTAATTTTTGGACCCCGATCACCTTTAATTTCTCATCGACGACCTCTCCAATCGAACACGTTGATGAGTAATCATGAGAAGTGGTCGATAAATGTTCGATGAAACACTTCCAATAAGAATCGGAATCGAAAATGTGTTTTGAACACCCCGGAAATGGGACATCGTAAATTTTTCCGAAGTCTTTCAAAGATTGTTTCATCAACATTTTTCGCCCGCTTCGAATTCCTTGGATCATCGAATCTAAATCGGTTTGATTCGAGAAAAAATTTAAATTAATCTTGGGGTTATCGCTGGGATTTTTTGAAACTAACTCGATTTTTCCGGACGATTTCGGGGTTAATAACGTTATTAAAAGGGTGTAAACCCTACGACTTTTTAATTTCTCGTATTTTTCGTAAACTTTGTCTGAAATTTTTAAATTATTTTTTAAAATTTGGTCTTTGGATGAGAAATGGTTCCTTAACAACATCATTTCGATCGAATTTTCGATCAAAATCGCCTCGGCTCCGTTCCCCAAAACTCCCAAAATCCCCGATTTATTTAAATAAAGTTGTTTAACCGAGTTTTCGTTTAAGATTTCGCTCGGTTTAAACCCCTCTTTCGTCACGACGAGTAACCCCCAAAATGATGGGTGATCAAAAAGGGTTTTTCCAACGGGCAAATTATTTAGCACCGGGATTTGGAGGGGGTTTAAGTGATCTTGAGCCCCAATCCCCGATAACATTAAAATTTTTGGGGTGTTTAAAGCCCCGGAACTCAAAATAATTTCTTTTTTTGCGTAAACTGTGTTGATTTTGTTGTTGTGTACGAATCTAACCCCGATTGCTTTGAGTTTATCGAAAATTATTTTAGTTACAAGCGAATTTTTATAAATCATCAAAGATTTCCGGGGTTTCAGCCTACGAAAAAGTTTTTCCCCGGTTTCTTTTAACCCATTTTTCAAGAAACCTTTCACGTAAAAAAAATGTTCCGTTTCAACGATTTTTTTAGCAAATTCCGATTTAAAATTAACCTCCTCACCAAGAATTTCCCCTCCTAATTTATTAATGACCCTAAAAATTTCTTTCGAACCCCACTCGGGGATTCCCCACGAATCAAAATCGCTTTTTTCCCCAACAGAAAACACCCCATTACTCAAAATAGAACTCCCCCCCAATCCTTTCCCCGCCAAAATTTTCGCTTTTCCCGATTTTAACCCCCTCCCAAATCCGGATTCGCGCTCCGCGGTGAATTTCCAATTACTATCTTCGTTGATTTGGTACAAATTCGACCAAAACGGGATCTCCGACAACGAATCTGGATGCGACCCAGCTTCCAAAACGAGTACGGACCACCCATTTGATGGATTTGAGAGTCTCTCGGCTATTAATGACCCTGAAGTTCCTCCACCAACAATTATGAAATCGTAAGATTCTTTAAAAAAAGGAACGTTATTAAAAAATAGTAATCTCCGTTAAAAATCCTTTAAAATGAGTACAAAGATGTCATATTAATCTAAAAAAATAACCGCGATTAATTTTTTAAATTTTTATGATCTTCGTGAAACATGCAATAATATGAGTCCAAACTTGATGGGGTTATCTCTGGTTATCTCAAAAAATGCCAAAGTTAACTGTAAATAAGCAAACTGTAAATTTAATTTCTTTGACGATACTAAAAAAAGTCAAACCCTACATTTTAGTAATCAGAAAAAAATAACGAATTTAATAAACGAATAATCAGTGATTGTTTCCATTTAAAAAAACGAAAATTATCAATACTCCACCTATAATAATAATCAAGATAATTGCACTTGCTGGTTTTACGATATTTTCAATTTTGGCCTGTAAGGGAAAATCAAACGACGATAGCGCTTTGAGGTTTTTCGCATTAGCAGTTTCTCGAAAAACGAGATCATGACATGTAAGCAACTTTTTTTCTAACTCTTATAGTTTCCGAGTTAGCCTATTCGGTCATCGAATTTGAACCACCCTGTACTCATTTCCAAAGATTTTTTATGACAACAAAACATCAAAATTGAGGTTGACTTTGACAAGCGGAAGTTGAAAAAGCTCGGTATTTTTTTGAATAAATGTATCGAGATGATTTACTTTCGTTTATGAAGATTTTTTCGTTGTCATAACTCGGCGCTGGTTCCAATTTGATTTGTTGCGTCGCTTCCAAATATTTTAATTTATTCCTAGCTTGAATTAAATAATTTTCCGGGTTGTGTTGATCGCACGATGTTGGGTTGATGTTGAAAATTAAGGTTATAACGAAAAAATTTGATGAGCTGAAACTTTGAGTTTGATGTTGTTAATATTATATTGATTAAGATTATTACAAGTGCAACAGATGGCGCCACGTAAAGCGTCAGTGTCAATTGATAAAATGTGTTAGATTTTTTGTTTAATTAACATGCTTAATGAAGCGACATAAATAATGAAAATAAATATTGTTTAATTTATTTGATTAAATAAACACCATATTGCATTTTATTGCGGTTCTCGGTGAAATAACAAAGTTTTGCTTACCTTATTTTCATTGCTGAAGTAATTCTTTTTTTAAAAGTGATTTTATAAACAATGCGTCATAAAAATGGAACTTTATTGATGTAAAAAAATAAGATAACATAACAAGGTTATAAAGTTTCTAAAACGAAACGTTTTGATTTAACCAATCTTTTTTGATCATATCCGAGGCTTTCTCCCCAATCATATAAGTAGGAATGTTTGTGTGGGCCGTCAACGGCATCGGGATAATACTCGTATCAACGACCCTCAATTTATTAACACCATAAACTCTTAATTGGTTATCAACAACTGCCCCGGAATCGGTTGGAGGTCCCATTCTGCACGTTGAGATCTGATGATGTAACGTCACCGATAAATGTCTCAAAGCACACTCCCAATAAGAATCGGAGTCATAGTGGTACCCCTCACAACCCGGGACGATATTCTCAACCAATTTAGCGTCATATCGTTGAAAAGCTGGCATATAAAGTAGCTTTTGCACCTCGCGAATCGAAGCAATGAAAGTTTTGATATCGGCATTTTCGGGGTCGGTGAAATAATTTCCATAAAATAGTGGATAATGCCAAGGATTTTTCGATCGTAACCGAATAAAACCGGACGATAACGGATGAAACAACATCGGCCATATTGAAAACGCGTACTTTCCCTCAATCGGGCGCCAAATAGCGTTGTAGGATTCATCGGAAACTCGGAACGATCGGCGAAAAAAGGTCCCGCGATCCGAATGTAACCCAGCTCCAATAAAAATTAACTCCATATCCGAAAACGTTGGATCCGGATCCCTTGATTCCGGGGTTCTAATAAATGCCAAAGCTTCAACTCCACCGATTGACGTTAAAGGCCCCGTTCCTTTTAGGTTATATTCTACGAAAGCTTTCGGATCACTCATTTGACTCGATTGGATCACGATCGATTCGTTCACAGTTATAACCAACCCAAGATAAGTTAAATGATCATAAAGACGCTCCCCAACCGGCAAATCCTGAATTAAAGGTATTCCAAGTTGGTGAAGATGACCCCGCGGCCCAATCCCCGATAACATCAAAATTTGAGGTGAACTTAAAGCCCCCGCGCTTAATAATACTTCTTTTTTTGCGTTCACTTTATACGTTTTTTTCGCCTTAACGAATTTAACTCCGTACGCTGTTTTCGTGTAGGGATTAATCAAGATTTTTGTTACTTTTGCACCTAAAAATTAAAAAAAAAAAATTAATTTAACAATAGTTATTTATGTACCAAGTCGGCAAAGTGATGCTTTATCGAACGAGTAAACAGGCGAGTTCGATAAAGACACTTTGCTGACGTGTTGCATACAACATTTTATCGCCAACCGCAAAATTTAACGATATGAAGATATTCTAACTTACCAATATTATGACATGTGTCAAACGATTTGTTTTGTTAATATACCTCGGTAAAGTTACACTATGTATCAAAGGTCGGTAGTATAGTGGAGAGGGAAGTGCGCTTTCATACAGAAAGTACCGGGTTCAAATCCAGCTGTTCAATGGCATTTTTTTCAAATTGACAGCATTTAGCGGCAGGTAAATTAATTTAATTTATTACAACGCCATCTTTGAGCGTCCCCAACGAACGAAAAAAAATGACAGGTTCATATCAAAACATTAATTTAACACATTTTGTGGATCCTTTTATCATTAATTTAATAGTTTTTCTCAATTTTTCCCCAATATTTTTATAATAATCTTATTTAAACCCATTTGAGACGTTAATTTCATCAAATTAATCACTTCATTTATACCGGAATTAATTGATTAGGTTTTGTCAGGTTTATACTGCTCATGCAATTATTTTTAAGTTAACTCACCGGTTATAATCCTTAAATTCGGTCGTTTCCTGCAAGTTTCAATAAAAGATCGCCACGCGCTACTCCGACTTCCTCTTCTTAAGGTGGCATGGACGTAGGAAACCCCCATTTGGCGCTCTCCGTTATAATCAACATAATCGTACCCATATTCTTGCAAGGCCCTTGTAAAGGCACCAGCAGCTTCCGTGCGAAACGGGACATCTTGTACTCCTAAATTTCCCCCAAAACTGTGGTAATTTTCGTCTTGATAAGTGACTTGGTAATCTTCTGATTTTTTAAAATAGGGTAAAACGTCGTTGTAGCTCCAACCTGGATTTCCAGCGGCTGCCCATCTATCGTAATCTTGGTGGTTACCGCGGATGTGGATCATGTAATTAATTAAGGTGGTGCCGCCTAAAACTCGGCCATGGGGCCAATGCATTCGTTGATCCGCCAAACCGAGTGACATATTGGGTTGTTTTTCCATTAGATAACCCCAGTTATAATCGGTGAATAAAAAGTAAGTTCCAAATCCAGGGACGTCGGTTAACCCGGTGGGTTCCGGGCCGATTTCTAAAAGAAGAATTTTCCACTCTGGAATCTCCGAGAGGCGGTTTGCTAAAACTGAACCCCCAGAACCTGATCCTATGATGATAAAATCGTAATTGTCATCGATTTCAAAGTTATCGAGGGCATCTAAACAATAATTTAAAAAAAGTTTATAAAGTTTTATTTATTTTAATTATTATTTACCGTAGATTGGTCTTGATTGGGATGTGTAATAATATTTATAAAGCTCGTCTCCACTTTTACTGGTTTTATCATTGAAATCTTTAATGGCATCTTGGACTAATTGCGAAGCCCAATTTTTATCATCTCCTTTTACAATGTTAATGAGAACGATGAGGTACAAATAAGTGAAAATCATTTTATCTAAAATCAATTGAAAGTTTTCATTTTTAGTGTTTCAAATTTAATTATTCGTAAACAACTCGAAAGTTTCGTATTTGGTAATACATAAATTGTAATCAAATTTGTTTTATTTGATCTGAACTTACCCAATATAATTAAACCGAGTCAAGTAGCAATACTTTGTTTATCTATTTTCTACATAATACTATTGAAGGCGAAATCAATCACCTCGTTTTATAAGTTCCACCAGAATCATTTCCCTCCAAATTTTCCTCAGTCCTTTTACTTTATTTAAATAATCAAATCCCACCACAATAATTTCAGTTTAAATCGTTTTGATTACATAATCTTCTTTCTTTTTGATATACTAAAAAAAGAATTTTATTAATTTAAAAAATAAATTTAATTGAATTAAACAAAACTGTATATAAATAATTTTATACTCACAATCGTTTTATTTACAAATATCAATTAATCATTTAAGGTGGTTGTTGTGGATCGACGAAACGCGTCACGACGGTTGGGGGATGGGCTTGGGCTTGGTGGTTGGTTACGGACGTCCAAAAACTATCCCTTGAGGTGATGACTTTAAATCCGATGTGCGAAACCGTCGAAACGGCCCAAGGCGTCCCTTTGACAGTCACCGGGGTCGCCCAGTGCAAAATAATGAAGGCTGATGAGCTGTTGCACACCGCATCCGAGCAGTTTTTAGGTAAAACTGTCAACGAAATCAAATCGACCATTCTTCAAACGTTAGAAGGACATCTTCGAGCCATTTTAGGTGGGTTTCTTAAAATTAAATTTCAAAAAAATTGATAACATCAAGTTCGTAAATTTGACGTAAAGATCATTGTGAAGTTGGTTACAAATTAAAATGTCATAAAAATTAAAAAAAAAAAGAGTTTTTGTTCTAATTTAATTTAAATATTATACTTAAGAATGTAAATGATTTCGGTTTAATTCGAAAGTATTGACATAAATTTCATTTACGAAATTTCTCTCTCTTTTCTTAATCAAAAATTGAGTCTAATTTATTTCTTAATTGACTCGGGTTGTTGAGTAAAGCTATAATGAAAGGCGATTAGAAAGTTGTCATTGATAAACATGTTTTAATAATCAAAAATAATTTTTTAGGTACCTTAACCGTGGAGGAAGTTTACCGAGACAGGGACCAATTTGCAGCTTTAGTCCGTGAAGTAGCAGCTCCGGATGTCGGCAGAATGGGAATCGAAATCCTCTCCTTTACAATTAAAGACGTATACGACGATGTCCAATACTTAGCATCGTTGGGGAAGTCTCAAACAGCTATGGTTAAAAGGGACGCCGATGCTGGCGTTGCCGAAGCGAATAGGGACGCCGGAATCCGCGAAGCGGAGTGCCAAAAAGCGGCTATGGACGTTAAATACTCCACCGACACGAAAATCGAGGATAATTCGAGAATGTTTAAACTCCAAAAGGCTAATTTTAATCAAGAAATTAACACAGCGGTGAGTTAATTTTTAAACGTCAAATGTCAATGTGACGTTTTAAAATTTGAGTTTAACTTAGGTTATGTTATTATTATTTTTTTAGAAAGCAGAAGCTCAATTAGCTTATGAACTTCAAGCGGCTAAAATTCGGCAAAAAATTCGTAACGAAGAGATTCAAATCGATGTTGTTGAAAGAAAAAAACAAATTGAGGTTGAAACTCAAGAGGTTATGAGGAAAGAAAGGGAATTAAACGCGACGGTTCGACTTCCCGCCGAGGCTGAGAGTTATCGTTTGGAGTTAATAGCCGAAGGAAAAAGAACTCAGGTTAATTAGTTAATTATTTTATTAATCAAATATTAATAAGATGTAATTTTAGACTGTGCAATCAGCGAAAGCTGAGGCGGAAAAAATTCGGTTAATCGGTGAAGCCGAAGCCACCGCAATTGGAGCTGTTGGTAAAGCTGACGCCGAGAGGATGCGTCAAAAAGCTGCCATTTACAAACAATACGGTGATGCGGCGATTATGTCGATTGTTCTGGAGGCGTTGCCGAAAATTGCGGCGGAAGTGGCGGCCCCGCTTGCAAAAACGGAAGAGATCGTTTTAATAGGTGGCTCGGATACGACCACATCGGAAATTTCTAGATTGGTGGGGCAAATCCCACCCGCTGTGAATGCTTTAACGGGGGTTGATTTATCAAAGGTTTTGTCGAAAATTCCTGGAGCACAACAAACAACGGCCGTTATGTGAAATTAAAGTTTAAAATATATATTTCAAATACTCAGGACTTCGCTGTTCTGTATGTCTAATTATAACGATGAAATTAATTAAGATTTCATTATAAAAATTAAAAATCAGTTCGTACAAGTGCCACTGTAGTTGTTTAGAAGGGGGGTGAGAAATTAATTATTTTTGGTTGTTAATTTTATGTTAAATACTTTAATTTTTATATGTATATAACAAATTATTTTTTCACCCTCCCATTCGTATTCATTGATATACTCGATACACTGATTATTATTATTTAGTTGTTTTTAATTGATTTGGTAGCAAAAAAATCCTGGTATTTTTCTACGCATGTGTCTAATTATTAAGTAATCTGCAGGAGTATGCTAAATAAAAGAAATTAATTGTACTGTCCCGGTAATTGTGGAAGAATAAAAAGGTGTGAAAAGAATTAATTTATTTCAATCAGATCTAATCCTAATACAGATCACTACATAATATCTTTGAATATGAAAAAAATGAGTTAAAAAATATAATATGCACCGTGTCCCGTATCTTCCGCATCAGAGCATTATACGGGTGTAGGATACATTATTCTGAAGCAATTTTTCCAATAAATTTTTTTTTAAATGTTTATAATAACCGCTTCAACGAATCGCTTCAAAATAATGCATCCTTCAACCCTTAATGCTCTGTTGCGGAAGATACGACACATGTATATATTTTTATAAATTACATATACTTTATATGTACACTTTAATTATTCGAGGTGACCCTAAATATCAAATAATTTACGTCGACAACCCCCTCGCTTTCCTTTTAATCCTCGCATACGGCCCAACATCAGGGTCCATCACAAAATCGTAAAGAACGGCACTCCAAGAATCATGATGTGGAAGATTATCGTAAAATTCCGGCGCAATTTTTCTAACCTAAAAAAAATCATTAACTCCAAATAAATTGATTAATCCATATTACCTCCGGAAGTCTTGACCCAGGAACCGCGGGAAAATCATGATGCTCGTTATGATAACCAACGTTAAAAGTAATCCAATTCAACGGCCCATAATAACTATAAGTTTCATACCCCGTCTTAAACATGTAATGTTCCGATATAAAATGCCCCGCAACAGGGTGCAACCCCATCGCCATCAAAGACCCCAACAAAAGATAACCCAAAACTCTCCCCCCAAAAAAATAAACCACAATCGCATCAAAAATTATCTGAATAATTGCGTTAATCACTTCGAGTAGAATCGGGGCTTTCGGATAAGTAACCAACGGGCGAAAAGCGTAAAAAAACGGTTGGAGGAGCACCCAAATAAACTTTCCGAAAGTTGTATTAAAAAGCTTCGCTTCAAGATAAGTCGGAATATCGGTATCTTTGAGTTCATCACCTTGATACTAAAAAAAAATAGTTAATTAAGATTAACTACGATTAATTAAAACAAATAAACTTACTCGATGATGCTCTAAATGGTACTTCTTAAAACTAACTGAAATTGGAATTCCAATCGGGAGATTTGCGAAAAATCCAAACAGGCGATTATGCATCGGTTTGCTATGCCCAAAAGCTAAATTATGCGAAATTTCGTGAATTGCTGAAATAAATACAATAATAAAATAAATACATAAATAAATTTTTTATATTTTTTAACAATTTGTCATAAATGAAAATTAATTACAGGAATCTATTTATTTCTTAATCGTGGTGCTTATTGAGCTGCATACACAATTTCTATTTTATCAATTTTAAACAAATATTTATTTAACTTATCTTATTAAAGCCTATCAAAGAATCAATTCATGTCAATATATGTATTTATTTTCAACAATCCACTCAAACATTTATTTGTATTTATAAATAAATTCCCACAGGATATTATGTAATATCACATCCTGTTATTATTTCTATCCTAAACTTTTTATTATTTAATTATAAAATTTAGTTTAAACCGAAATAATAAATAATAGAATTTATTGAATTATCTATAATGATTGTATATCGAGATTAACGTCTTTTATGACTTAAAATAAAACACCTGGAGTCTGGACTTGATTAGATAGATTAGAATTGCTAAAAACTTAACCTTTAACACTCTCCAATTAATTTATTTAATTATAATTGTAAATTTTTATCTTTCTAATTAAGATATTTATCAACACTGTTATAAATTTCCATAACCTCAAATACTTACATTAAAATTAATCAAATTAAAACAATCACCTAAAAAAAGACACAAATTCCCTTTTAAAACTCAATAATTAATTAAAATCAATTTAAATATATTTAAATTTAAAAAAATTAGAAAATTCTTTTTTTCCGTTTATAAAAGTAAATTTGTATTTTAAAACTTCCTGATAAGGATAGTTAAACATTACTCAAGGTCTATATAACAATAAACACACACATTCGCATAAAAAAAATAAAACGTTATTTTCCTGTTACATTTAAGGCGTAGAACTCGTGATTTGCAAGCAAAAATAGTCACTTATTCGATCGCATTACCTTACCTAACATTAATGAGTGATTAATAACACCTCCAAAACAATATCCAACTAAGAGTATTATCGGCCAAGAACGATCTTTCATCACAAACATCATCACTATTTGAATTAAAACCATTAAGGAAACGACCCACTTAAAATTGGGATCATACCCGAAAAGTTTTTTAATCTGCGGATATTTTTCTGGAAAAGAAATTATGATATTAAAAGTTATTTTAACACATGACTCATTTTCTTGGCTAATTTGTGTACTAACGGTACTAACCTAAAATTATTTTTCGCCGGCTTGCGTGTGGTTCTTCGGTGTAAACCCATTCGAAATCGGTTCTTGTTACTTTTTGACCCATCTTTTATTGATAATTTTAAACCTTTAAACACTAATAATATCTTATTTTTAAATGTTTTATTTCACTTTGACTTTGACGTTTGCTTTTGAGGTTATTTTCGATGGGAACTTAATGATTGAAGGAAACGCGCGCGGACTCCATAGAAAGAAATTATTTTAACTGATGCGTTGTTGAACGACTCGGATATTTGGATGGTTTATTTTATTCGATTCGGTATTTTTTGGAAGGGATACAAAATTGTATATAGCTTGCTGTATCAAAATAAAGAAAATTGTATTTTAAAATTATCCGTAATTCAAGAATTTGTTTCTGGGCGATAAGAGATGGCGCCACTTAAATAAGTTTAAATGTTATAATTATAATTGAAATTGAGTTTTTTCAATATTTGTATCTAAATCAAAAAAGTAACTACGAACTGTTTGTTTTTTAACAGACTTAATTTTTATTTTCTATATACATAATAACTTCCGATAGATGGAGCTCCTTTACTATAATCAATAGAATAATTAATCAATATAAATAATATACCTTAAAATCATAAAAACAATTAATTATTAATCAATTAACTTATTTATAAATTATTAACTAAAATTTAATAAAATAAAGTGAAATTATTAAACGAATGTTATCGCCATCTATTATTCAGTTTAAAAATCATCAAAGCTGTCATAATATCCACCATTTTGTTTCTTCCCAAATAAAAGAAACGTTGTAAAAACGTTGTTGAAGCGTTGTAAAAACGTTTTGGGTTAATGTGCATTTTGAAATACGATGACTTCGACGAAAGGGGCCCCCGAACAACAACAATCGAGTGTTGTAAAACCTCCCGCAAAATGTTACGGTAAAATTGTGCTCACTCTCAAAAATCAGCTTTTACCTGAAGAGAAATTGCGGAGCACTCCGTCTCAAAACGACGGTTTAGATAATGATACGGAAACGGACTTACGTATATACGGGTGCGAATTAATACAAACAGCTGGGATTTTATTGAAATTACCTCAAGTAAGTAATGTTGTCTTTGTTAATTGTTGAAATTACTTATTAAACGTGTTGTGCAGGTAGCAATGGCAACTGGGCAAGTTTTATTACAACGTTTCTACTATTCCAAGAGTCTTGTTCGACATCCGGTTGATCAAACCGCGATGGCATGTGTTTGTTTAGCTTCGAAAATAGAAGAGGCTCCACGACGCGTTCGAGACGTTATTAACGTTTTTAGTCATATTAGACAAGTTAATTCAAATAAGTAAGTATCATATTATCGAGAGTTTTAAACAAATTAAAAAAGTATTTTTTTTGTGTTTATTTTTTTTACTGAATTTTTGTTTGGGTGGGTTAAAAAATGTTTAAGATCGTGACCGTGTTCACGGAGAACAAAAAAAGGAATAAATTGTATTAATTTGTTGATTTTTTGAGGGTAAATAAATAATTAAGTAATTGTTGCAATACCGAGTAAGTGTTAAGAGAATTCTTTGGTTTTGTATGCTAGAACCAAAAAAAAAGTAAAATAAAAAAAAATAGGCGATTTCTACCCATACTCAAGTGTTGTTGTTGATTTACAGAGGTGCCAAAGACCCACCCACGGTGTGTGGCTCTCGATTTGAATAAAAAACGGGGGCCTTTGCGCACAAAAATGGTGTTCACAATATACGAACAAAACCGGACGGCGGGCGCTTTTATTTTGTGGCGCCTCGCCCCCCTTCCCAATCTATCACTACTACTACTACTTCTACGCTTCTAAAAAATTGGTGTTGCTCTGTCCTTATGGCACAATGAATGGTAACGAAAAAACCGTAAAGGTAAAGGAAGGTTTAAGTAAACGGCAAGATTCATTTAAAAGTGATTTGAACCTCAAAACATCATCGGAAAAAATTGTATCGATTAATTTGACTTTTAACGGAGCAAATAATCGTTGATGTTTTGACGTTTAAATTTAAATTGAAAGTGAAAATTGAAATTGATTAAAAACTGGGTGGAGTTTTTAATGAAGATTAATGAGAAAGGGGAAGGAAAAACGAAGAAAATAATCATTGGAAGTTGATGACATTGACAATGACAGAGCAACAAAAACATAACCTAAAAATTACAAAAAAATAATCAAAAGAATTAAAATAAGAAATTAAACTAAAAAGACGAATCAAAATGAAAAAAAGAAAAAGAAATCGTTTTTGAATTTATTAGAATGATTGATATTGATTTTTATTAATAATTGTTGAAGTTTATTTCTAGGTTAGATCATCATCGAAATGATAAAAAAAATTAAATAAAACGAGATGATTAAAAGGCGATAAAAATGATACAAAACCAAAAAATAAATAAAACAAAAAATTTTGCTACCGATTTGATTACTTAGTAATAATGAAAAATGTCGTAAATTAATTTTGAAAACTTCAAATATTTAATTTAGTGTTGTAGCAAAATTTTTGTGTTTTAACCACCGGCGTTTCTTTGTTTGCAATTTTCCAGACCAATTCAACCGGTAATCTTGGACCAAAACTATATCCAATTAAAAAACCAGGTAATCAAAGCCGAAAGAAGAGTTTTAAAAGAGTTAGGGTTTTGCGTCCACATCAAGCACCCTCACAAGGTACGTTAAATAAAAATATCTCATTTTATATATCCCGCTTCTTTTTTAATTTTAGATTATCGTGATGTATCTGCAAGTTCTCGGATACGAAAAGCACCAAAATTTAATGCAGTTTTCTTGGAATTACATGAACGATTCGTTACGAACGGACGCGTTTGTTCGATACCAACCCGAATCGATCGCTTGTGCTTGCATTTATTTGACAGCGAGGAAACTGAGAATACCATTGCCAAAAAGCCCCAATTGGTATTCGCTCTTTGGAGTCTCCGAGAACGAAATTAGGGATATTTGTGTGCGAATTTTAAAACTTTATAATCGCCCGAAGGTAATTAAAAGAATTTAATTAATAAAATTAATTTAAATAAAAATTAATTTTAGCCAAACATCGACGATTTAGAAAAAAAAGTTGACGAGCTCTGCAAAAAATACCAAGATGCAAAAATTAAGGCTCGAGGAAACTCCGGAAATAACACCCCAAATAATAATAGCCCCCCGAGTCCGGGGGCGCAAAAAAGTACTGGAGCCCACAACGCCTGGGGTGGTTTTATCAGTCGTTCTGGTAGCCACATAGCCCCACCAGTCAATGAGAAACGAGGTAATTCCCCGAAATCGCGATCTCCGAGTCATTCTCCGATAATCAATAAGCACCATAATAAGCGTCCTAAGAAGCACCCGAGATCGAGGAGTCGAAGTCCCGTTACGAGAAATAATAAAAAGCCTAGGAAACATAGGGAGTACTCAAGATCGAGGAGTGAATCTCCGGTGAAAATTAATAAAAAACCATCACGGTTAGATATAAATAAATTAGATTCATCAAATACATAAATACTAACTAAGATTATTTTATTCTTTAATTTTAATTTTATTTTTAGTGATAAAAAGAGATCACCAAGCAATGATAGAGAAAATAAAAATGATCGGTACATTGATCGATACGATAAGTATGAAAAGAATAATGATCGGTACAAAGAGGAGAGATATTCAGAGAAAGATCGGTATGAAGAAAAAGATCGTTCGAAAGATAAGTATGAGAAGAAATACGAAAAGGATGAGAAATATAATAAAGATGAGAGATACGCTAGGGATGAAAGAGATATTAGATACAAGAAGAAATATAGAGATGAGGAAAGGAATCGGGATCGATCAAAAGATAGACGGAGATAAAATGAATGTTTAAAAATTAGAAGAAATAAGGCAAATTTCTAATTTCTAGGTGATCTTTGTGTGTACGTGAGCGTGTAAATAGATTCTTTTTTAAGATTAAGAAGAAAATAAAGTTCTTAATAAAGGGATGGTAGATTTTTTTGCGGTTATGATTATGAACAATGAAAAATTTTATAAAAAACAAACTACAGTTGTATTTTATTATTAACTTTTTTTTGTAAATAGTTGTAGTGGAATTTTTTTGTAAAAAAACATAAAAAATAAATATATTTTCGTAAAATCCGAATTGATTTTTATTTTATTTAAATTTAAGGTTAGGTTGTTATTAAAAATTTTTATTTGTGTAAATGTTTCTTTAATCGTTTTTTTTAGTTAAATATCGATTAATTTGTATTATTTAAATTATTTATTATTGCTCCATCTATCGGAAATTATATTATTTCTTTATTAATTTTTATCGATTAATTTTTGATGTACTAGCCCCATCTGTCGGGGAATATCCCGATTAATTTCAATTACTACATAAAAGCGCTTTAATGAAATAATTTTTTTGAAGTATTTCTTAAATAGATTTTAATTAAAAATTTATAAAGCTTTTTATAACATAAATAAGTTTAAACAATTCGCTAATAGATGGATTCTGATCGGACGAGTAGAAAATGGCTGTTCTGACGTCACAGTTTCGTACGGACAATCGTTAAGTTGGGAGGGCACCGGTTGACATTCTTCACCGCACCCAAAAGAAGGTTTCCCCACCGGTTTCCATCCATCGCAAAACCGTTTTTTTCCTCGGTCGATCGATTCAAATTTCCGGTTAACCGGAACGATTGAAAAGAACAAATAAATTCGGTGCCGTATGTTGATTAGCGAACTGTGCGCGTCGTGATTCACATGGTACTTCGTGTCGAACAGTGCAACTTGTATGGGTGTACGACGAATACGTTGTGATCCGGAAGGTAGAGTCGTTGGATAGCCCTAGGTTTCCCGGTTTTTGGGGACTCGTACTCGGTTTTTTTGAACGAGGTAATATAGATTTCATTTTCCGGTTCGATTAAGGTATCCTTTTAATATCGGGTTTGTATCTAGTAGTAGGCTGGTTGTGTCATGGCGGATGACGGTTTTATTTTCAAGTTGCTTTTCAAATGGATTTTTAGGATTCATTTAAGGAAATCGGGGCGTTTTCTTTCGATGCATCACCCACAATGCTCATCCTTAACCCTTAGACCAAAGCGATTAATTAAAGGGGTTCGCCTAATACTCGCCGGTTAAGATTATTTGGGCGTTGTTTTTTGACACTTAATTTTCTAATTTTAAATTTTAACGGCGGGAAATTTAAATTGTTTTTGTTTAATTTATTTACTTACTCAACATATTTTGTGTTAATTTTATAAAACGACTTTTTAACTCCTTAATGATAATAATAATCTTATCTTTTTATTTATTTATAAACAGCATTATTTTCCTTTTCCATTAATTTGTATTCTCTATTAATTTATTTTATTAAAATTAATTTTTGTGGCTAACTTCCAATCAAACGTCAAACAACTGTCAATTTAAATTTTTTTTAGGTTCATATCGCAACAATTACAACAATAACTTATTGTTGTGACACGTTTTGTACGCGTTTAAAATTCCTGCTGCGAAATTATTGCGATAATGATCATAGGAAAAACGATGATTCCTCGATATTTACTTAGCTTACTCAATACAAATTTTTTACTTTTAAGTTGGTATTGTTTGGTTTTAGGTGCAGTGTTTTTTTCTTAGAGTGAGGTTAAATACAGTATGAGCGAACTTGATTCCCTTAGACAAGAAGCGGAAACCTTAAAAAATGCCATCAGGGTAAGTATTTTATTCATTCATAATTCTTAAATCTAAGTAAATTTTAAAATATGACAGTTTCCAAACAATGCTTAAGTTTGTGCGCATTGAAACAACTTCACACTTATTAAGTTAGGTTACGCCCAAAATAATGCCCCTTTTTTAATTCTTATTAATAAATTAAGTTTTATTATTTGCAATCTTGGTTTAACGTAACATGATGAAAAACATAGATTGTGCCCATCAAGATCCAAAGTGTATCACAGCAGTCATAACAACAAAAGGGTAAAGTTAGGTTAAGTTACTCCCATATTCTGGTTAAATTACGTGTTTTTTAAACATCTTGTTAAAAAAGGTTCCTTTTTTATAGGATGCACGTAAGGCAGCATGCGATACATCGCTGGTGCTCGCCACGGCAAGTCTCGAACCAATCGGGAGGGTGCAAATGCGAACGAGACGCACGCTCCGAGGTCATTTGGCAAAAATCTACGCCATGCACTGGGGTTCCGACTCGCGGAACCTCGTCTCTGCCTCTCAAGATGGCAAGCTGATCGTGTGGGATAGTCACACCACAAACAAGGTGCATGCGATACCGTTGCGTTCTAGCTGGGTGATGACGTGCGCGTACGCTCCATCTGGAAGTTTCGTCGCCTGCGGTGGTCTGGACAACATCTGTTCCATATACAGCTTAAAAACTCGCGAGGGAAACGTCAGGGTCAGCAGGGAATTACCTGGTCACACTGGGTATTTATCCTGTTGTCGGTTCTTGGATGATAACCAAATCGTTACAAGTTCTGGAGATATGAGTTGGTGAGTAACTTCAAAAAAATTTTCTCTGAGGTTATGTCAAAATTAAAATTGGATTGATATTTCAAGAATTAAAAGTGAAGTTGGAAAAAAGTGGTGCCAACCTAAATTTGTTTTTAATAATTTTACATTTTGACGTTTATTTCTAACCTAATTTTTTTTAAAATTTATTTTTAATAATTTCTTTATTTTTTAGTGCTTTATGGGATATAGAAACGGGACAACAAGTAACCTCATTTTTGGGCCATACCGGCGATGTAATGTCGTTATCTTTATCGCCAGATATGCGTACGTTTGTCTCAGGGGCTTGCGATGCCTCCGCGAAACTATGGGATATCCGCGAGGGGTTGTGCAAGCAAACTTTCCCTGGTCACGAATCGGATATTAACGCGGTTACTTTCTTCCCGAATGGATTTGCGTTTGCAACCGGATCGGATGATGCGACTTGTCGACTGTTTGACGTCCGTGCCGATCAAGAATTAGCGATGTACAGCCACGATAACATCATTTGCGGCATCACCAGCGTCGCCTTTAGCAAAAGTGGGAGGCTATTACTTGCGGGTTACGATGATTTTAATTGTAACGTTTGGGATTCGATGAAAACTGAGAGAGCCGGTGAGGATAATTCCAATGATGATTTGGATTGGGGTGACTAATTAATTTCTTTTAGGTATTTTGGCTGGACATGATAATCGGGTTAGTTGTTTGGGGGTGACAGAGAATGGAATGGCGGTTGGTACAGGTTCTTGGGATAGCTTCCTTCGTATTTGGAACTAAGAACGGAGAAACATTAAGTTGCAAAAAAAAATAATTAAAGCAGACACAAAGATTAATAAGTTATTTCAAAAAAAAATAATAAATTAATAAAAATGAAAAGAGAATTTCCAAAGAGATCGGAATGAGGAAAAAAAAATTATTAGAAAAATTAAATAATCAAGATGAAATGAATGAGGGGGAGGTTAAATACCTACATTTATGCGTATATTTAATGAGAAAAATTAATAAGAATTTTTACATTAAATTTAAAGTTTTACATTTTTGCATTTAATAACTTTTTACATAAATACGTGTTTAAATACGAGGTTTTCGTTGGTTAAAATTGGATAATGGATATTCTCTGATCCCCGCATTTAATTTTTTCTTTTAATTTTTTTTTTTTTTTTTTTTTAAGTTGTAAGTGTCAAAAATGTTTTGTTCGTTGAAGTGTCATCATCAGGTTTTTATAAAAACGCATCTATTCATTTTTTTTTGTAATGATTGTAATATTTTTTTTATCTATATATATTTCTCTTTTTGTTGTTGTTGTTAAGGTATTTGTTAATAAATAAAAATGAGTAGGATTTGAGAAATTACCAAAAAGTTAAACGAAGCCGGACTTTTTTTTTTAACGATTTAAAAAAGAATCAAGCAACAACGCGTTATGATTATTATTTTGTAGTTTGTATATTTATTAATTATTATATCGTTTTATTTTTTAGTCCTTATTATAACTTATATTTAAAAATACCCCCACCAAAAAAAAAAAAATTATAATAAAATTAATAAGCGTATCGTTTTTTTGTTTTTATTTTTTTCCTTTTTTATTAACAAATACCTTAAGTTGATTAATTAATTAATTAAATCGTGCCATATAAATGAATAAAAGGGTTAAATTTGTTTTGATTGAGTTGCTATGGTTACGAAAAGCATATCTCTTCATTACCATGTATATATTCATTGAAAATAAATTAATCCCGAAATTATAAACAAAAAAACACAGCTGCCATGATATTTCGATTTTTCCCAAAATTAAAAAAAAATAAAGTTTTTAAATGTGAAAAGTAAAGATGAAAAAAATCCTTTTTATTATAATTAAATAATATAATAAATAACATTAATTAATTAATTAGTAGGCTAAAATCGTAAGCTTTTTTAATTTAATTAAAAAAAATTCACCTAATATTAATAATTAAAAAAATTAAGTGTGCATGTATTTTTTTTAATAAAATAATCGAGTGCGCTTTGTGTATGAAACAAAAAAATTGAGTGTTATTAGATTCGATCAATAATTAAAAAAAATCAAGGGCTCATTGTTCAAATCTAATACTTTTAATATTATTTTTTAAATAATTTTCACCGCCAACTTGATTTTTTTTGTAAAATAATATTTTAACATAGAATATACATATTACGTAGTAAGTCATAATAATATAATATTACGCAAAAAAAATGTTATTATTAATTAAAAGAAAAAAATTAATAATAAAGCGTGAATGTTTTTATATTTAAAAAAAACCCTTAATAAAGGGAAAAAGCCGATTAAAAATTACCACACCCAATAAAACCCACCAAATATCTTCTTAATTAATTAAATTAAGATTACAAAATAAACACACACACATATAAATATAATAATTAATAAATTGATATCGATACGATTAATTTTTATGATTTAAAAAAATTTGTTATAAATATATACATATATGGGCACAATTTGTCATGGGAAACGTAAACATAAACATACATAAACGCATAAGCATTTTAATTAATTAATTGTAATTAATTATTTAAACGAAAAAAAAATAAAGAGAAAAAAAATGTAGCGTCTCATACTAATTATAAATAATAATTAAATATTCATCTCGATCAAATTTTATTACCAAATTTCTTAATTAATAATAAATAATTTAATTTTTTTCCATAAACATTAGGTTAGGATGTCACTTTTTATTCATTAATTTAATTCCTCGAAATGATGATGAAAAAAAACGTACGATGTATGATTAATATAATAGCAAAATGTATGTTATATTGTAATGTATCTAATAAATGATAAAAAAATAATTATTTAAAATTATTAATCATCAACAAATTAGCGCCATCTCTCAACCCGGATTAATACTAAAACTAATAATCTCAAATTAATTTATTTTAGTTATTTTCATTTAATTATTTGATAAATCGTATTAAATAAATTAATTATAAAATTTGTTTACATTTTTTATAAAAGCAAAATGAATAATTAAAATAAAAGTGACGTTACGTTGTTCGACATTAATTTATTTATTAAATTTGTTTTATTTACTAATAAATTATATATTAATTTAATCCTTAATTTTTAAATATTTCATTTAAATATGTTTATAATTATTTAAATTTATATCGGCAATTAATTAACAATAAATCTGCGCCATCTCTTAATCAGAATTAAAGATAAATATAGCAATAAAATTAATGTCATTGAATCAATGATAAATTAATTAATAATTTATTTATTTATTTAAAATTAATACCTAAATGTATTAAATTAATCAGAAATATTATTTTTTAAATATATTTGTAAAAACTTATTGAAACTGTCAATTAACTTGACGTTAGCAGTGTCATCTACCGCGAAATTTTCGTAACGTTACTCCACATCGGGTGTTGTCAAAATTTATGGAAAAATGTAAGTTTTCGTTCGGAATTTTCTGATTTCCATGCATGTTTATACGTGTTTTATTGTTAATAACCGGCGGGGATCTCGCCCCCATGATCGTTCACCAAAACCCGGCTTAAATAAACCGGAATCGTTCCAACTGCGTAAGCCTGCGAATAAATCAAAATATTCGGCTTTTTTAGTTGTTTTTGTGCTAAAATTACGCACTGTAGGATAGTTTTGGTTCGTTCCCGGGGTAAATTTAAACGTCCCTAAGCCTCCAACTCGTTACAAAGTTATTTTGTTAATTTTAATTTCACCGAAAAGGTTCAATCAATTTTTTTGACGTTTAACAAGAGCAGGGTCGTATTCAGGGTGGATTTAAATTCATTTTTATTTTGATGTTAATAATTTTCTACTATTTTTTAGATAAAACCCCGAACGAGAGTGCACACTATCGAGTGTTTATGGAAAGATATAGAAAAAATGCAAAAAATCCATAATAACGTTCATAATTAAAACAAAAAGTTATAAAAAAAAAATAAAATAAATCATTTTAAACATATAATATTCTCATACGTAACCAAAAGTCCTTTAGCTGTGATACCACCCCTTCGGCATTGTTAATTTTGAAACTAAGAAATTTGAAAATAAATTATTGCTGGAATATTATTAAACTGGAAGTGGAAGAATTAAATAGATATCCAACATTTGTAAGTCATGCAAATCGTGACGAGAAACGTTGCGATGGTAAAGATCGTTCGGTGAGGAAGAGTCGCTGTGTTGGTTGTCACCCAGAAATTATTGGAAAAACGGGCCAGTCTTGCCCCAAATTTGAACAAGGAGTGTAAGTTAATCTAAGATAGCCATTACTGGATAATAAATTCAATTCGTTTAGATCGACTAGCCCGACAATTCCTCGTAAGGGTAGTTCGTCTGGGCCTCCGAGCAGATCTTGCTTACGGCAGCATGCATGGCGTAAATCCCTGACGGAACCGTCAAACCCAAAACCACAAGTTCCATTAAAACGTGCCGTTTCAAGCTCATCGGGTCGCCAATGTGAAACGGGGGAGGATGTGGTTGCATTCGAACAACTCCAAACAACATCATCAAACACAACCCACTCCTCCCCCACAACAAATAAAACCGGGAATGTTAACGTTACTGTAAGTAAAAATTCTTTTGATATAGTTAATTTAATTTTAATTGGATTGCAATGAAATAGGAAGCATAACAATATTTATTGTAAATAAAATAATCATTGATTCAATACATAAATCCTTCAATTATTAAAAATAAATAAAGTATTAATTGATGAATCAATATTTAAACAGGCTAAAAGCTATTTGAGTTTATATATTTTTAAGTTTTTAGCATAACCTCAAACAATTAATTTTTGACAGATTAAATTTATTAAAAAAAAAAATTATTTTATAAGGTTTTTATCACAAAAATCGAAAAATAAAATGAATTTGCATTAATTTGATACTTAATATGACGTATTTATGATTAAAAATAACGAAAATAATTTTTTTTTTTAATTTTTTGTTTAGAATTGGATGTTTGAAATTTTTAAATTAGTTTAAATGTTTTAACCATTCCTTTTTATTCCCCCTCATCATTCTTTTAACTTTCAAAAGCGAACCAACTCAGTTATTGTATCAGGACTGGTTGTATATTAAAGTATATCAATTTCAAAACAACAAAGATTACACAGCGACACACTATGCCTTTTATTTACAGTATTTACACTATTATTAAATTCACACAATTCGTTGTCGACACCAGTTCTTATTGTTCGATTTCATTTCCAATTAAAACCGAAATTTAAAACTTATTGGGTGCGTAATTTTCCTGCTATTTAATTAATTTTAATTCCATTTCTATACATCATTTTTATCAGGGTTTTTTATTATTGTTGCTTTGGTTTCTAAGAATTTTTTTTTGTGTTTGAATTGATTTCGTTTTATTTTCTTCGTATTCCACCTATTCTTCATTCAAAAACTCAACTCGCGCGCTGATTTCTTATCACAATCGGTGTACGATTACTTTACTTCTTCTTGCGTTGTAGTCGAGAATGCCCAGTTTATTTTGTGTGTGCCCCAAAGAAACAACAGTTTTTATCATAACATATAAAACTCCGTTTTGGGTGCGTTTATTTATTTAATTCCTTGATTAGATTTTAACTAGCTTGTATTGAATAATAACGCTTTTGATGAAGATTGTTACATTTGAATTAGGGCTAAATAGAAAAATTAGTTGCTGAATCAAATAAAATTATTAATAAATAAATAATTTAAGTTGGTAATAGCGTCGGTAAGTTAGAAAATTATAATAAATTGGAATTAATTATTTTATTTTAATTAATAATGACTACTTAAACAAAAATATTTTGATTTTATGTAATTTTTTTCTTGAATTACATGCAAACAATTGTTTTATTACATAAATGATGTTAATTTAAAACAAATAAATAAGATGAGGTTATGTTGTTTAAAAAAAATTTGTTTGACATCTTTGATATTTACGCGTCTAAGACAGTTCCTTATAAGATTAATTAAAATGGTAATTTTGATTATATTTTTTAGCAAAAATCTTCATCAAAACCACTTACACCAAAAGAAAATAAAAAGCATAAAGAAATCTCGAAAAAAAAACCTACCTTCCTTCAAACGAAGCAAATTGAAGCAAAATTTCCATCCGAAGAGAAACCGGCTGATATTGTTAACGTTAAACACCCGCTTGATTACCCGGAAAGTATCGAGTACATCGATCACGACGATCCATCTTCGGATCCGTTAGAATCCACGTCAAGTAAAGGTTATTTAACGATCGATGAGAGTGTGATAAAAAGGCAAGTTGAAAGGAGACCCCATAGGATTAGTACGAATAGCACGGAGGATGAAGGGATTGTTAGTAATAAAGCTGGGAGTAAATTGAAGAATAAATCTAGGAATAAGCCGGCCTCCACCAGGAAGAAATTGAGGAAGGATAAGAAGGAGGGTGGTGGATCCAGAGCTTCGGGGCATTTTACTACCGATTCGAGTTCTCCGGAAGATATTACTTGCGTTAAGAAGCGGGAAGTTACTACAACGGTTGATTCTACTAAAACTACAAGTTTAAATCGGTAATTATTTAATTGAGGTTATGTTGTTATTATAAAAGTGAGGTTAAAACTTATTTTGTGTTTATTATTATTACATTTATTTGAAAAAGGACTTAATAACGAATAAGAACCTCAATTTGATTTAGGAATTGATTATTTTTTATTAACAAATTTAATTAACAAAAATTTGAAATGTCAAAAATGACAGATAAATTTTTTTTTAAATTAATATTAATTTTAAGAAATAAATTAATTTTTTTTAAATTATTTTTATTTATATAGGTATACGTTTACGAAAATAATTCCGGAAGAATCGTCATCAAGTTCAGGTGGGGGAAAGAAATCACGCACACAAAGTTGCAGTTCGATTCCTTACGATGATATAATCGACAATTTGGCGGTGTTTCGAAAAAGTTTCGACAACGTTCATTTTTGCCACGGAGAGAATTTGGATTTCGATTTAAAAAAATCGGGGGAAATCGGCAAAAAAGTTCATATCCCGGAGGAAAAGAAAAAAGTGATTTCGGATATCTCTGAGAAGGGGTTGCGGAGTTTCGCTTCCGTTTTTGTTAACGACATTTTAGATTCTGCCACGCGGATTTTAACGCATGATAGCTCGAAATGTATTCGATTTAGCGGCGATCAGGAAAGCATCGAACAAAAGCCAAAGTCACCGATCCCATCTGGGAACGGAAATATTCGATGTGATACTCCTAATTTAGTCCCGGTTCTTTATGTGCCCAAGTTGAAAGAGAGCGGGTCTGATAATTTGTTGGATGATGCTGGTGGTTTTGTTGAGGAGGAATACGAGGAGGAGTATTACGACACTTGCTCGGAGATGAGCGATTCTAGATTGGCTGCCGGGCTGATTTTATCCGAAATTACTGATGCCGTGGATAAAATCGTTCGGGAAAAAACTAAGGTTAAGAAAAAGGATAAAAGTGTTAAACACGGCGGGGTTACTCAGTGTATTCGAGTTGAAACCGATTCAAACGCTGATGATGATTCTGATTTTCCGCAAGGTGGGTTTAATTAAAATTATAAGATTATTTTTTAATGCTCTTTGATTGTAGGTGAGATGCAATTGGTGCCATACGACGCAAAATACAACCTCCCCAAAAACATCTTCAGCAAATGCGCTCCAGAAATGGTGGAAATCACTGATCAAACCATCGATATGCTCCACCAAAACGTCGATGTCACCGAGAGTAATTTAGAATCAGAACAACCAGTAATCGAATTCCCCACGGAAGTTAAAGACGAAGATGATGTTTATAAACCGATTGCGGTTAGCCCCTGCGGTCGCTTCTTTAAATATGAGGAAGAGATTGGGAGGGGTTCCTTTAAAACCGTTTATCGCGGTCTTGACACCCAAACTGGGGTCGCGGTTGCTTGGTGCGAATTACAAGAAAAAAAATTAAATAAAACCGAGAGGCAACGCTTCCGAGAAGAAGCTGAGATGCTCAAAAAGCTACAACACCCCAACATCGTTAGGTTTTACAACTATTGGGAGTCGATGACGATTGCAAAAAAGAAAAACATCGTTTTGGTCACCGAATTAATGCTGAGTGGGACGCTAAAAACTTATTTAAGGAGGTTCAAAAAAATTAACCCCAAAGTTTTGAAGTCATGGTGTCGGCAGATCTTAAAAGGATTATCATTTTTGCACTCGAGATCACCTCCAATCATCCACAGGGACTTAAAATGCGATAACATTTTCATCACCGGAACGACGGGTTCAGTTAAAATTGGCGATTTAGGACTGGCAACATTAAAAAATCGGAGTTTCGCAAAATCCGTTATCGGAACCCCCGAGTTTATGGCCCCGGAGATGTACGAGGAGCATTACGATGAAGGTGTGGATGTTTACGCTTTTGGAATGTGCATGTTGGAGATGGCAACGAGTGAATATCCTTATTCGGAGTGTTCGGGGCCGGCTCAAATCTACAAAAAAGTTATTTCGGTAAATTCAATTAAATTAAATTAGTTTTTTGTTGATTAAATTTTTTTTAGGGGGTGAAACCTGCTTCTTTCGATAAAGTCGAAAGTTCCGAAGTAAGGGACGTTATTGAGAGTTGTATTAAACCCCGAAAAGAAGATAGACCGCGCGTTAAAGATTTATTGGTCCACCCGTTCTTCGAGGAAGACCTCGGATTAAAAATTGAGCTCCTCTCCCAGGAAAATAGCAAATTAACGTTTCGTCTCCGCGTTATCGACCCGAAAAAGCGCACGCATAAACATAAAGAGAACGAGGCGATTCAATTTGAATTCGATATTGACTCGGATCGAATCGATACTATTGCCGAGGAGATGGCCAAATCGGGCATTGTCTTTGATGAGGACGCTAAAATCGTTGCGAAGGTTTTGAGAGTTCAAATTAATCAAATTACGAAAGAAAAACATGAACAAGAGAAATTAAAGGAAGCCCAACAGTTGCAGTATTTGCAATATCTTCAACAACAACAAGTTCAACAACAAGTGCAACAACAAGTTCAACAACAAGTTCAACAACAAGTGCAACAACAAGTGCAACAGCAAGTACAGCAACAAGTTCAGCAACAACAAGTACAGCAACAGCAACAAATTGTTGGGTTACCTCAACAACAACAAAATGCGAATTATCCCCAAAATAATTATCAACCTCAAAGTGATAATTTCCAGCAACCGAACACGACGATTTTGCAAGATTTTTCGGAGGCGAATCAAAATCAAGGAATACAACGTCAGCAATCAGTTGAGCCGGTCCAACAGCAACCGATTATTCATAAGACGGCGATTCAGCAACCTTACATCCAACAAAATCTGCAACAACCCCAACAAGCGGAGTTCTTGCAAATCCAGCAGGACGCCCAACATCGGTTATCGACGATTTCCCAACCTGAATTGTTGCAAAATCCGCCTCCCCAACAAGAACATAGGTTGAGCGTTGATAGCCAGATTGATTTGCAAAAGCAACAAATGCTGCAAGAGACTCATCGGATTAATTTTCCGATGCAGGATTTGGGACAAAATCAGATTATAGAACATAGGAATTCGATCACGCAAGCTCCCACTCCGCAAGAGTTGCTTCATTTGCAACAAATCCAACAACAAGATATTCAGCAACAATCGCAGCAACAACAGCAACAGCAATCCGACGACCAACCTCAATCTCATCGGCTGTCTACGACTAATAGACCTCAATTGCAACAGAGCAACAACAGCAACAGCAATCCGACGACCAACCTCAATCTCATCGGCTGTCTACGACTAATAGACCTCAATTGCAACAGATTTTGGAGCATGGCGATGTTACACAACAGATGATGGTCCAACAAATTCAACAACAGATTTCTCAGCAAGATATTTATTTTCAGCAGCAGCAACAGAATCAATTGCAGCAACAAAATCAGTTGCAACAACAAAATCAGATGCAGCAGCAAAATCAGATGCAGCAGCAACAACAACAACCACAGTTGCAACAACAAGCAAGTCAAAGTTCTTTGCAACAAGATGTTGGTTACGTTCAACAACAGCAACAACAATATATGCAGGCTCAGCAACAGCAACAAATGTATACCCAGTCAGGTTATGGACAACAACAGCCTCAAATGAGTTTGCAACAGCCACTTCAAGGTCAACATATGGGGCAAATTCAACAGCAGCAACAAATTCCTCAACAACAAATTCCCCAACAGCAGCAAATTGCTCAACAACAAATTCCCCAGCAACAACAGATTCCCCAACAGCCTCAAATACAACAACAGATTCCCCAGCAATCACAAATGCCTCAACAATCGCAAATACAACAGCAAATGCCCCAACAATCGCAAATACAACAGCAAATGCCCCAACAATCGCAAATACAACAGCAAATACCCCAACAATCGCAGATTCAGCAACAAATTCCCCAACAGCAGATTCCTCAACAACCACAGCTTCAACAACAGATGCCTCAACAGTCTCAAATTCAGCAGCAACAAATACCCCAACAACAGATCACCCAACAACCACAACTTCAACAACAGATACCCCAACAAAATCAAATGCAGCAGCAACAAATACCCCAACAACCGCAACTTCAACAACAATCTCAAATTCAACAACAAATCTCCCAACAATCGCAAATTCAACAACAGATTCCTCCACAGCAACAACAAATACCCCAACAATCACAACTGCAACAACAAATTTCACAACAATCCCAAATACAACCACAGATTCCCCAGCAACCTCAAATACAGCAACAGATTTCGCAGCAACCTCAAATACAGCAACAGATTTCCCAACAACCTCAAATGCAGCAACAGATTTCCCAACAACCTCAAATACAGCAACAAATTTCACAGCAACCTCAAATACAACAACAAATTTCACAGCCACCTCAAATACAGCAACAAATTTCGCAGCAACCTCAAATACAGCAACAAATTTCGCAGCAACCTCAAATACAGCAACAAATTTCACAGCAACCTCAAATACAGCAACAAATTTCGCAACAACCCCAAATACAGCAACAAATTTCGCAGCAACCTCAAATACAGCAACAAATTTCACAGCAACCTCAAATACAGCAACAAATTTCGCAACAACCCCAAATACAGCAACAAATTTCACAGCAACCTCAAATACAGCAGCAAATTTCTCAGCAACCTCAAATACAGCAGCAAATTTCGCAACAACCCCAAATACAGCAACAAATTTCGCAGCAACCTCAAATACAGCAGCAAATTTCTCAACAACCTCAAATACAGCAACAAATTCCTCAGCAGCAAATACAACATATTCCTCAACAACAAATACAGCAACCGATTTCTCAACAAATCGTTCAACCAGCTCAAATTAATCAGCAGCAGCCTTCCCAAATGATAACCCAACAATCCCAAATAATCCAACAACCTTCTCAAGTGATTCAACAACAACCGGTTCAGCAACAACCGTCCCAAGTGGTTCCCCCGCCTCAACAACCATCTCAACCTGTTGATAATGGTGTAATTAATCAGCAGCATTTTCAGCAACAATCGCAGCAGCAATTAAGTTATCAATTTGCTCAACAAGCTCCGAGTCAACAAGGAATGGGTGCGATTATGCAAACTGACGGGGTTTTTCAACAATCGGGGCAACAACAATCGCAATTTTATCCGCAAACGTCAACGGGGCAAGTTGTTTCGACGGTGGTTCAACAACTTGTTGCGCCCCCGATGGAAGCGTATCAAGAAAAAAAGGCGCCGTGTAATTTGAGCGAGTTGAACCATCACGTGACGATGGTGCTTCAAGGACAAGATTATCATAGGTGATTAAAAAAATTAGCTTAACATAACCTAAAAAAATTTTTTGTGACATAACCTAAAAGAAATTGCAAAATTTTTTTTTTAATTTTAATTATATTTCGATTAATTTTAAATTAATTTTTAGATTGTCAACAGTATCGTTACCACCAATGTCGAATTTTGAGCCAACCGATCAACGTCGAATGTCTTCCGTATCTCAACCACCAACTCACACCGATTTTATTCAACAACAACAATTAATCCAAGAAATTTCTGAGGAAACTCCCCCACCACAACAACAAGTTGTAAATTTACAAACAATCACGGAGCAACAACCCGTAATTGACCCAATTGAAACTAAACCACCTTTATTAGCAACTTCAATATCAAGTGAGGCATCGTCGGAAGAAAAAAAGTTATCCTCTTCATCATCAACCACAACAACAAGTGGTTCATTAACTTCGGGATCAAGTAAAGAAAACGTAAGTCATAAACAACGGAGTACGTCTACGTTAAAAATCGTTGTGAAAAAGGTCCATTTGGACGGGACTGTTGAGTGTCAGTTGATTTCGAAGAAATCAACGGTGAATTTTGAGTTTAACCGTTTCGATTCGAATTTGGAAGATGTGAAAGGGAAGCTGTTGAGAGAGAATGATTTTAAAGACGATGAGGTGCGTAATGTTGATGATCATTTGGGGGAGATCTTTTCGAGGTTTTACGAGAACCCGGATCAATCTCAACGATACGTCCAAAAGGTAAGATTACTTCTTAATTACTATAAAAGAGGTTATTTTTTTAATTTATAACAAAATATGAACTTTATTTGTGCCGCTTCGTACTTGATTTAATATAATCAGGTACGACATGCTTCGTTGACGAGGCAAACTTCGAGAAAAACCCATCGTAGACATAAATCAGTGAGTATTTTTAATTAATAAAGGAAAAGTTACATTTTTATATTAATAAAATCAATTATGAAAAGTAATTAATTATAGATTTAGAGGTTAAAAAAAATTAGGTTGGTTTCTCTGAAAATTGATATGTCAATAGAAATAATAACATAACCTTAGTTTTTCTTGAAATTTTTTTCAAATTGATTTTATTAACTTATCACTAAATATTAAATAATTGAGTAAGTAAATTATTAAAAAAGTATAATGACGTTAACATAACCTCTAAACTAAATCACTTTTTAATTAAAAATTAATTTTTGTATTAATATAATGGATTAAGTTGGAAGAAAATTAGGTTGGTTCCTCTGAATATTGAAATATGTCAATACAAACAATAACATAACCTAAAAATTCTTTAAATTGATTTAATTAATCGAATTAAACTAACAGGTGAGTTAAATTATTAAAAAAAACTTTATTAAATTAACATAACCTCTAAACAAAATCATTTTTTCATTAATAATTTGCTATTAAACCTTGAATTCGATCTGCTTAAATTCGACATGCTAAATCTTCCTCTTTTAATGATCAAATTTAAATCTTGGGGTAAGTAATCGTCGTCAACCGAGAATATTTTTTTCGTTAACCATTCATTTTTAACTGCTTCACTACCCGTTAATTGGCACATAGCGTTACAATAAGTGTGCAACATGATGTTTTGTATGTTAACCTTCCTTCTCCACACTTTCATGCGTTTCTTGTACTCTGCAAGTTCACTCTTCTTTCTGATGTATTCCATAACTTCCGGAACTTTGTATGTTTTAATAACGTTTTTGAGGTAGTCGAATTTTTTTTGGCTCACATCCAATTCACTTATGGTGTGGTAATAATGCAGATTTAAGTAATCCATTTGTTTGCTGATTTGCATTAATTGACTTTCCATCGATTTCGTGAACGTTTCTTGCTCCTCCAATAAATATTTGTGCTTTGTTAAGGTTAAATTAACCTTTCCAGACATGTGTTTGATTTCATGTAGACAATTATTCTTTAGGTCGATTTCTTCTAAGAAATTTTTGTTGGATATTATTAATTGCTCGATATCTGCTTCAGTTACCGTTTCCCCAAGCTCTTCTTTTTGGGCGAATAACAGCTTTAACTTCCTTAAAGAAGTGCTTAAATTCTTTCTGCGTAAACGTAATTTCTCCATGATGATTACGGAGGTTTTTAACCATTCTTGCATGTATCGCACGAATTTTTCAGCTGGGATCTTTTGGGTTAACTCTTCAACAGCGCCAATCACAATTTGTTGCTCGAAGTTACTCTTCGTTTCGTTAATTTCGGCCCCACGAATCCTATTTTCTTCAATTTCAGCCCTCATTTTGTTCTTAAGTTTGCGAGCGTGCTCTTTAAATTCTTTTAAATTTACCTGAATCGTGTCATAATCTCTCAAAGCTAAATCAGTTTTGACACTGAAATTAATTCGCGGGCCTTTTAATTTCTGCTCTGTTAAAGAGGGGGTGTTACTATCGATGCTATCGTCTATTTTTTCGTTACTTTTCGTCGTATTTATTAGTGATATGCTCGATACGAACCGATTTTGCATCGATTGTAAGTGTTGCATCGTTTTTTCCATACCAGATATTAATCCGGGTTCGTTTTTTTGGAGAAAATGTTCGAAAACCATATTTTCCGTTTTCATGCGTTTTACCTCATTCCTAATTCCTTTTATTAATATTGTGAAATCGGACGATGTTAAAGTCGCAAGCTTAGCTTTCGTTTCTCCCCATTTGTCACCTCGAATAAGACTTCCATCTAATTCCATTTAAAATAAAATGTTAAATAAAAATTATTCACAAAAAACATGAAAAAAATGTTGAGTTATGATGACATTTCAAGTTTTAGTTTTTGTGTGTTATGTTGTTACCATGGCAACTAGTTTTTAATTTCATAAAAGGGATTTATTTAAAAAATTTTAATTTATTTTTAGATATTAATTAATTTTTTCTTCAAACGTCATTAAATGACAACTTTGTTGGCGTGTGATCATTGTTGCATAACGACGGTTGCCAAGATCAACATAACAAAACAGTACTTCAGCGTTATGGCGCTAAAGTAAATTTCACTTTAGCGCCATAACGCTAAAGAACATTTCACTTTAGCGCCATAACGCTAAAGAACATTTCACTTTAGCGCCGTATTATTTGCAACGTTTGAAGAATAACTATTATGTGATTTTTAAACAAAACAATTATTTATTAAAAAAAAATTAACAAAAAAAATAATAAAAAAAGTAAAAGTAAATAATGGGTTGGTGCCTCTAAGAAATGACATAACCTCACTTAAGTATGATCAATTGAGTATTATTAATTAATTTATTCTTTTTAGCGTGATGATGCCTCAAACGATCAAATAGCAGCTTTACAACAAGAAGAATTCGCCAAATTATCATCGCACGTCCAACAATCATTAACATCGGGCCTCCCAGACAAAGTAAATCAATTACAAAGTAGGGAAAGCTTAAATTCCTGCGGAACTGTCTCCCGAAAAACAAGCACAGCCAGTGATTACACCCCGGAGCATACTTACATTCAAAACAATAATTCATCAACAAATTTAGATCAAAACGTTATTTTTAGCGGTGAAAATCAAATTGACTCAAATCAATCTCAAAATGAAACGGAGGATGCCGAATGTAACACCGATCAGATACCGGGTGATAAAATCAATCAAGCTGAGATTACACCAAGCGAGGATGGAGTACCGAAAGAAATTGAGCATGAAAATGTTGATGTTAATAAACCGAAGGTTCCGCAAAGGAAAATATCGAGGTTTTTGGTGACTCCGGTGCTCTCTGATTTGGAAATGCCGAAAAATAAGGATTACGGGGGTCAATCAGTGCTGGATTCTGGGGGAAATACGCCGTTGGAAAGTAAAGAATTAATTGAAACTAAAGAAATTCATCGGAAAGATTCCATCCCGCTTGAAATTAAACCGATCACGTCGAATATTGAGAAAGATCAAGAAGTTACGTTGGAAATAGCTCCAAAGGAAACGAGCGAAGTTAAGGAGCAACAAGATCAAGGCCCAATTGGGCCGGAAATGATCACTTTGGAGCAATTAAAAATATCCCTCGATAATTTAAAGCATAGTAACGCTCCGAGGGAAAGTGTTGCAAGCGAAGTTAAGTGTCAAAAGGCGGTTACTCCTGTTCCGCTTAGCGTTGGAACTCCACAAAATCAAGTTTCAACGATTACGATGGCAGTAAGTCAACCTCCAGCCACAACTCCTTTAGTTAATGTTGGGCTTCCGGCGATTCCGGGAGGCTTTCAAGGTGCATTAGCTTCGGGAGGGGTTGGTTTTGGAACTGGAAATGAAATTTTTAAGGCGCAAATTCCTCAAATCATACCTCAAAGTCAACCCTCCCCACAAATAATCCCGAATCAATTGATCCCAACACAGCCTCAATATCTAATTGATTCTCAACCTAACCAAGTTCCGTTACAACAACAAATTCCGACTTCGATTCCATCTCAACATGAACTACCCGTTGTTGTGCCACAAATTCCGTTATCAAATTCATTGTCACAAGTTTGCCCGCCATCTGTATGTCAAAATCCGCAAGTTGTTAGTTCTGTGAGTTCCTCAGGGGTGGCGCCGGTGTCGATTTCGCCCCCGATTCAAACGAATCCAACTCAAGGGGATATTTTTAATGTTAATAAACAAAGTAATTTAATGGGAGTGGATGGAACGAATTTGGTTGGAGCCGATAACGGAAGTATAGAGAAGGATAAAAAAAATGGGCCCAATTTGAAATTAACCATTGAAAAGTGAGTTTATTTTTAATGCTTTTTCATAAAATAATTTTTAATTTTTTTAGTTCGAATACAAATATCGCAAATCCCGACTCAGTTTATAGCCTCCAAGGATTACAGCAACGATTATCTTCGATTACAATGACAGGACAAGTTCCGGTAACTCTGAAATTTAAAAAAAATGCTTCATTTATCAACTCAATTTTTTTTAGGGCCCATTAAGCCCTCAAACAACGTTAGTTTCCGTTGATTTCACAAAAAGCATCCCGGATATAACCAAACAACCCACATCGCCCGTTCAAGAGGAAACCCCAGAACTTATTGCGAAAGAAAGTATTAACGAAAAAATTGAAGAACCTCAAATAAAACCGATGTGTCAATTGGTGACCCCTACTCCCGAGGTTCGGATCGTTCGTAGGTTTGCAGTTAGCTTAGTCACCGAACCCGATAGGAATCAATTAACCATACCTGAGAAGCATTTGGAGAAATCCGCTTCCGATTCGAAGATATCGATGGAGGCTGGTGGTACGATTGAGGAGGAGAAAAAGGATGATTCGATTCCCGAAGAATTCGATATTACTAGTGCTATACATAATACATATTATTGTACGCAAACTTCAGGTTAGTAACTATAATTTTAAAACTGTGTTTATAACCTCGCAATATCAAAATTTGACATTTAAAAAATAGTTATTTATCCACGAATTACAAAAATGCCCATACTAGTTTTGTACAAAACCTAATTATCTTTCATTTTAGTGATTTATAAGAAGCCATCCTTGAAACAAGTACAAAAAGTGGACTTCGAAGACGTCGGCCGCTTCCAAGAATCGACTCACGATTCATGAAATCTCCTGCTATACCAATATGAGTTGAGATTAAATTACGTTTTTTAATATTTTGGTGTCGGTGACGGCCGATGTCTTCGAAAATGGTCGTACACATTTTAATAAATTTATGTATTGTGGAAGTAAAGATGATTCTAACCTCAAAATATCATTTTGACGTAAAAATTGGAGGTTAAGTCTATTTATTATTATAATTTTTTTAATTTAATTTCAGATGCGAATAATTTAGGAGTTGGAGATGTTGTAAGTACAATTTTTTTTATTTGCAAGATTTAATTTTAAAAAATGTAGTTTTTAATTTAAACTAATTTGCATTGACTTTATTTGCATCTTTAATTTTATTTTACCTTTAATTTAACCTAATTTTTTATTTAACTAATTTTGTTGTTTTTGTTTTCCTTTTTTTGCTCGAAAACCCCCCATCTCATAAAACTTTCAATAAAAGAAATTAATCGGAGAGATCGAAAACATAACCTCAACCGCTAATTTCACGACATCTAAAACATCAACGGAAACGGAAGCGTTACGACTTAAAGTAGCATCGAGGTTATGTTTATCAATGCATCCAGCCTTCGAGACATTGTCTGATGATTCGGATAGTTCGGATAGCTTTAATCGAATTTCCCCGGAAAAATATAAGCAATGTTATGATAATTTAAGTAATCGTTTGGAGGAGATTTTTCGGCGTCCAAAACAAAGAATCCCGGATATTGTTGTGTGCCCCCCAACGAAGGAGAATTTATCGAATAGTTTACCTAATATTTATGAGTACGTTGAGAGAAAAAGGGGAATTTCGGGATCGGATTATTACGAGTCGGATGATTACGAGACCAATTCAAACTTGAGGGATCGTTTTGGAAAAACACAATCGGAACTGGTGATTAAAGAACCAAGGAGGTTTATAAGGAATAAAAGAAAACGGAAATCTCCAATAACCCCGTTTCGATTTAATTTGTTGTTGAGCGGTGAAGAAGATGAGGAGAATTTGGAAAAATCAAGGAAGTTATCTTTACAAACAGATTCATCGAAGATGGCTTTAAAATCGAGGACTTTCTCACATCATAATTTAAAATTATCGGATGATTACCAAAAGGTTCCTATGGAACCCGCCGAAATTTTGCGTTCCAAGCAAAAGCAATCGATTTCTTCGCATAATTTATTTTCTGATTTGCATTTAAAAGATAAGTATCACACGGTTCATTCAACGAACAGTTTGGATTATCCGGCATCGTTAAACAAGTTTAATTTCGAGTTTAATAAACGAAGCAAAGAAAAAGAAATTGTTAGATGTTGTGGATGTGCTAAAACCGTACCTTTACAAGATTATGTTGAGAGTTATTACACGTATTCGGTAAGAATTTGGTTAATAATCGCTTTGTATTTTGCATCTCTACTAATTATTTGTTTTTGATTAATTAATTCATTTAATTTTTATTTTAAATAAATTTATTTTTTTAGGGGGAAACTTTCGAGGAGATGCTAAATCGGCAAAAAGCGGAATTAAACGCTTTAATAGAAGCACACAAGAAGCAACAGCTTGAATTTATGGGGAATTACGCAGGTTAGTATCGCAAAAGATTTAAGAAATAAATGTATGCATCATTTTCTGTTGAATAGGCAAAACGAAAAGCCAACAACCTAAATCGGACGACGTTAACGCCAACACGCACCTAAGAGATTAGTTTGATGAAGCGAAGATGATTTAATGATATTTATTAATTAATTAGGATTGAGTAAAAGCATATACATATATATTATATATTATAAAAGTTGATAAATAAAAAAAGCGATGTATATTAGAGGTTATTTTTGTTGATAAAAAAATCCGCGAGATGGTGCTTATAGGTTTATAAAAATTGATGAGAGATGTCGCTTAATTAAATTAATAAATTTGATTTATTTTTTAAATTGTTTATAAGTTGAGGATTTTAATTAATGAAGTAAATTAATTATTAAATAATTTTTAAAAATTTAAACTAATAAATATGAAAGTGACAATTAATATGAAGTTGGTAATAAAAAAGTGATGAAACGTCAAAAAGTGATGTTCTTAATAATCTTCAAATTAACAAAAATGATTATTTTGTATTGAAAACCTGTGAAAACGTTCGGAAAAGTTGCGAATATCGACGTCAGTCGATTACGTCAGCGCACATGCGCTTAGTGAGTCCCATATTTTACCACTTCAATCGTTTTCTTACAATAGTGAATCACTAAACGTTGCCGCGTCCGCTGGTCGTTCAACAAACGGCTTACATATTCACATGTTAAATAGTGCGTATTTACTGCCAACAAGATGTTAATTAAAGAATAGTGAGTACAAATTTTAGGTTAAGTACACGAATTAAACGTTGTTCGATTCATTCAATTCGCCCTAAAACTGAGGATTCAAGGTTTTTTTTCTCCACTCCGATTCGAAACCTTTTTAGTTCGGCAGATTAAACGTTAATAAACCGAAAAATCGAATCGATATTTGCGTTTTTGTAGACGTGGAGGCGTGATTTTGGGGAGAAAAAAAACCTAACCTAATAAAAAAATTTTTGTAACCTTCATTTCATTTTGCAGCCGTGTAACTCTTCCCTTGACCGTTGAAGAGGTAAGTTTTACTCTTAATTTAATAAAATCCATTTCGAAAGAAATAAAGTCATTGTTAATGATATCTTAAATTTTTTTTTTAATTTGATGATTTGACAAATTACAATTGATTTTAACTATTTTAATCTGATGCTTGTAAATGGGGAATGATACGATAACAATTTTTATTTTTATTTTATTGATAAGATTGCCACAATTTCATGTAATCCTCTTTAAACAAAAAAGAATATTTATTAATTTTTTAATTTTTTTTATTATTTGAGGTTGGCAACACTTTTTTTTTATTTTTAAATTATTTATATTAAAAATCTAATTATTTTAATTAATTTACAACGAAATAATTAAATAAATCAAAATTAAACAAAAAATTTAAAACCTTTTATAGAGCTTTTTATAGATTTCTTATCGTCAAAAAACCAAGATTAAGTGTTTATTTATTGAAGAGTAATTCGATTTTAAAGTTAGATAAACCATTATAAAGCGAAATAATCAAAGATTACGTCGATTTTTTACACAATTCTTATAAAAAAATTAAATCTGCAAAAAATGAATCAATGTCAACCAACATTTTTATTATTTTTTTTCAAGTACAAAGTCTAATTACTTAAAAAGTACACGTGCTTGTTTAATTTTAACAATTATCAATTAATTTAACAACTTAATTTTTATTTTTTAAACAATTTAAAGAAATTGTCATTTAATTTATGGCATCGAACAACATGAAATTAGACACCAATTTTAATCCAAAATGAACTGAATTTTTTCGGCGTGAAGTTAGCGCAAATCAAAAATAATTTCATTCTTAACCTAATTACATTAAATTACTTTTATGAAATAATAAAATTACAGATATAAACAGGTGCTTTAACGCACGTAAATAATTAATGCCATCCCCAAGGTTAATTTTAAGTGCGTCCAAAGTCAAGTAAAACTCAATCATTAACTTCACTTCCTTTTCAATTTTGTCTAACATAAATTTTACCTTTTTTACTCGTTTATTTTTATTTATTCGCCCATATATTTAATTTCTTTTTTTTAGTATCAAGTGGCTCAATTATACAGTGTTGCGGAAGCTTCTAAGGATAATACGGGTGGAGGTGAAGGTATCGAAGTTTTGAAGAACGAACCATTCACCAATTACCCCCTTTTGGGGGGGAAATACAATGCGGGGCAATATACTTATAAAATTTATCATTTGGCGAGCAAAGTACCTGCATTCATCCGATTATTAGCACCGAAAGGAAGTTTGGAGATACATGAAGAGGCATGGAACGCTTATCCGTATTGCAAGACTGTTATATCGGTAAGAAGTAAACTAAAAATAATAATAAATTTAATGTAGTTGGGAAAAAATCTAATAGATGGCATAACTATAAAAGTGTCATTTCATAAAAAAATTATTTTGAGGTTAGATCTCCTCGGGGTTATAAACATTAAAAAACGATTACCTTTATAATATTTATTGTTCATTTAGAACCCTCCGTATATGAAAGGTAATTTCACCATAACCATTGAATCAGTCCATGAAAGCGATAGAGGTCAAACAGAAAATGTAAGTTATTAAATTAATTTTTTTTCTTTTTTCATTATTTCCACACCGACAACTATTTACATCACAACTACTTACATCTCAACTTTAAAACAAATTCATTCATCGAAAAGAACCCTGGTTATATGAAAGATAACTTTGTAATATGTATCGAAAGTATGCATTGTCCGGATAAAGGGCATCAAGAAAACGTAAGTGGAAAAAAATAAACGTTAACAAAACATGTTTTTTATTGTTCAATTATAATTGGTTCCTTTTGGTTTAGGTCCATGAATTAACCGGGGAAAAATTAAAACAACGGGAAGTGGTGTACATCGATATAGCGAATGATCCGATTACATCCAATGATTACAAAGCCGATGAAGATCCGAAAACTTATAAATCGGTGAAGACTGGACGCGGACCTTTGGATACTCCCGATTGGAAAGATAAAGTTAACCCCGTTATGACTTGCTATAAATTAGTTACGGTAGAATTTAAATGGTTCGGATTACAAGTGAGTACATTTTTAATTTTAACCTTACTCTCTTTTTTGTTAGCTTCAAATTAGTAGGTGGCGGTAAAATTTATGCTTAATTTAAATTAATTCGGTGCTAATCCGATAGATGGCGATCAAAAAATAAAGCGTATGGAAACGTCAAATTTCCACAAACAATTTCTCGTTAATATTTAAGTTTATAATCAATTTAAAGATAAAATTTTTCGTTATACTAAGCAATTGGTTATCAAGAAACGTGTAAGATACGGGGAATTAATTTTATATTGTTATAAAAATGGTGATGAAATCATAAAGTTAGTAAGGAAATGTACCAACACAAATATAATCATTAATGAAAAGAATGAGTTAAAGAAATGATTTAGTTAAAAAGCGAACTCGGCGCGCCTGTCGCCCCCCAAATACAACAAAATATATATCTGCATACATAGGAACAGTGATTTAAATCAAGTTTTTTGATGTTTATAATGGTATTTTTAACCTAAACATAAGTGACAAATTAAATTCGCTTAAACGTCATTAATTATAATTGTCATCTTTAATTTTTTTATTATAACCTCAAACGTCATTCAAATTTAATACTTAACCTACAATTTTTTTTTAATTTGAAATTTTAATGTTAATTATTATTTTTTTTGTAGAATCGAGTGGAAACTTTTATTCAAAAATCGGAGCGCAGGCTGTTTACGAATTTCCATAGACAAGTGGTTTGTTGGATGGATAAATGGCACGGTTTAACGATGGAGGATATTCGAGCAATCGAAGATAAAACAAAGGAAGAGTTGGAAAAGTTGCGCCAAAAAGGTGAAGTGCGCGGAATGCGCGCCGATTCCGATTAAAATTAAATTTAAACAAAAAGAAAAGAGATAAAAAGGTAAATTAATTTAAATTGGTTACTAAGCTCTTTTCTTTCACAAAAAAAAATAATTTAAAAAAACTGGAGTATTTAACGTTTAAAATTATTATTAATTGTTATGTACTTTTTTAATAAGTTTTTTTAAACATTTTTTTTCTTAAATTTGTTTCTTAAATATTTTTTCTTACATTTTTTTAGGTTAATTTGTATTAATTAAATAATTTATAAAAAAAAGTATACAATGATGATAAAAGGTTACCAAGTTTCTCTTTTAATTATTTCTCAATGTTGCATTTAAAAAGAAATTAATTTTGAAATAGAAAGATAGCACAATAAATTTATAAAAAAATTAACCATTTCAAGAACGATTTTTGAAGAAATAAATGGTAATAATAATAATAAATAATAAAAAGTGAAATACATCTAGTCAAAAAGTGTATTTTTTCCGTCACTTTAGAGACTCTAAAAATAATAATAATTAAAATGAAAATTACTTAAAGAATGTTAATGATTTTTTCGTAGTTGAAGTAATTAACTTAAATAGGTGAAAATTGTATCAAAAAAATTAAATGAAAAGGTTGAAGTCAATTTATAAAAACTTTGGTGTGTGGAAAAATGTTCCAAAAAAAAAAAAATTTATGAATAACGTCTTATACAGGGTGTTTAGGGGGTTTCAACTTAAATGATAAAAGAGGTTGTCTTGCCATAAATTTTCTCTTAAAAATGATATTAAAACCATTCCAAAAATTAAATGGTACTAATTAAAAATCTTTTTATCCCTTAATTTTTTTATTTCGGCTTAATCCCAGTGTTTTAGATTTGTATAAAAATAGAAGAAAACAAATTCAATATTGTAAAAAGAATTAATTATAAATAATTCCTTGTAAATGTGTATTTTAAACTAAAAAAAGAAAAGTTCTACTTCAAATAACCGTAAATAAAGATTTTAAGATGCAGAAAATGTTATTTAAGTGAAAAAAGAAATAAACTTAGAAATTCGTTGAGCTTATTTTTATCAATTTCTAATTTTAAACTTTAGCCCCTCACCAATAGATGATCTCTCTTTACCTTATTCCCGCTCATCAAAAAAAAAATCCCGCATTTCAATCAGCTACACAATATACGACTATGTATGTTTGGTTGCCTATTTTCAGCAGAAAATATTAAATTATAGCTATTAACATACCGAGGAATGTTATGATATTTATTACAACCGCAGATGTCAGGTTGAAACCGAGCTCGAAGAGCGAGGATTTTAAGACGTCTAAGGCTTATCTGTTCACTAGACATCTATTATCGAATAACTCCATTTTTATTAGAAAAAAAGATTTCTTTTCCTTCTTTACTGTTAGTTGAGCTACTGAATTGTAGATGTCGCTGGATAACTCGCCTAAAATTATACCTCCTAATATTTTGAGAAATACCTCCTCGGTGTTATGCGATCCTGATACAGATCGTAATTTTTACCTCTTCGAAAGCGAAAAGTTGGATTTTGTATTAGGAGTACATCAAAGCGAGGAGGTAAACGATTGTTTCCCGCTCAAATAATTATACCTCCTGATACTTTGAGAAATACCTCCTCGGTATTATGCGATCCTGATACAAATAGTAATTTTACCTCCTCGAAATCGAAAAGTTGGATTTTGTATTAGGAGTACATCAAAGCGAGGAGGTAAACGATCGTTTCCCGCTCAAATAATTATACCTCCTGATACTTTGAGAAATACCTCCTCGGTGTTATGCGATCCTGATACAAATAGTAATTTTACCTCCTCGAAATCGAAAAGTTGGATTTTGTATTGGGAGTACATCAAAGCGAGGAGGTAAACGATCGTTTCCCGCTCAAATAATTATACCTCCTGATACTTCGAGAAATACCTCCTCGGTGTTATGCGATCCTGATACAAATAGTAATTTTACCTCCTCGAAATCGAAAAGTTGGATTTTGTATTAGGAGCACATCAAACCGAGGAAGTAAACGAACGTTTTCCTCCTGAATAATTAATTATATCTGCTTGTGGGGAATAATGTCCACAATATAAATGTAAATATATTGAATGAATGAACCTCCTTGAAGAACTTTCGTTGGATGAAATATATAATAATTTTTAATGACTGAATAATATAATAATAATTGATTTTGTTTAGCAACAGGATCTTGTTTCTACATGCCGTGTGCACAGCATGCTACAGAGGGGGGAATATTTGTGGCCTTATCTAATTTTATTATGATACTTTTTAGATCTAGTTATTAGTTTAATATACTGTATATATTTTATAAGCATTTTATTGTTTTTAATATTTACAATTTTTATCCCCTTAATACATTCTAATATATATATTATTAGTATATTATTTTCACCCTCTACCCTCTTCCTCCATTTCCATACCCTTGGCTCCTCGGCCCAATCATCCCCTCATCCTTCCCTTTGTCTCCTTAACCCCACAACCATTCTCATCCATCGGTTCCCCTCTCCTAAGATCTGCCCTCGGTTCAACTCCTCCTCCCTCAACTCACTGCACCCATTCAACATATGTTCCTGTTGTATACGGTGTTAGGTAGATGGCGTTAGTAGTAAGGTCGATAAAGACGATACTGTAAAAAGAATAGTAAGATGTAATGGACGCTGAATGATGTTTAATAAAAAGTTAGATAGTATAATAAAACGGTAGTGTTTTAATTAATGAACATAAGACAGTTCCAACGTTTCCCATTCCTCCCTGCATAGCCTACACCACCTCTCCTCATCGGCCATCCAGTATCTGTTAGCTCTCTCCTCGTTTCCACAACGGAACCTAGCCACCAACTTCTTCCCTTCCTCATCTCCTTCCAATAACGTTGTATGTATATATTGTTTCCATAGATTATTATTATTTTTTATAAAGATGTAACCAGATCTAAAACATCAAATTTAAAATGTAGTCAATTTTATTATTAATAGTGGTTGAACTATTATAACCACTATAAATTGGATTGTTATTTTTTACAATTTGACCACAAACTGACGGGGGCCGGTCGATGTCTTCGAAAATTCTTAAACAGTGTTAATATAATATTATCAACTACCTTAAAGTGTTTTTATTCCTCCGTAACAATTTCTGTGTCCATCTCGCATGAAACAACTACAAATAGTCAACTGGGTGAACTTCGAAGAGACCATAGAAAAATATATATATATCGAAGAGACGTCCGCAAATATCAGAGATAAATCATATTTTTAATGTTTTGGTGGTAAATAAAGATTTTAAGATGCAATAAACATATTATTTGTGAGGTTACGTTTTATCAATTTTAACGTAACTCCTCACCAATAGATGTCTCTCTTCATCTTATCCCCTCTTACAAAAAAAATTAACCCAAACAATTTTGACAGCAATATCCCAAACTAAACTAAGTTTTATCGCATTAATAAAATGGATTTAGAGCTAGATGACGAAACGAATATCCTAGATTTAAACGACTACGAGTTATTAGAAGTGTTAAAATACTTAAGCGCAACCGACTTGTGGCAAATAAATAAGTAAGTAGCGAAAACACCGACATAACCTCAACTCCAATTTTTATTCCTACAACAGAACTTGTCTCCGATTTAATTATTTAATCCGATCGAGGAATTTATGGAAACGCGTTGAATTGAGAGACGCCCCGCATTGCGAGGAAAAAATTAAATTCGCCTTTGATCACATCGGGGAAGCAACGAAAGATGTACGATTATGCGCCGAGGAAAGATTTATGGAAGTTCTACCCCCGCAATTCGAAACTTATTTACGTCCAACGATTTTAACCGTTTTAGCATTGGAAAATCAGAAGATTAATGGCGAAAATGTAATGAAATTTAGAATTAATGAAAAGTAAGGTTATGTGATTAATTTTTTTTTTAGGTTAAATTGAGGGATTTTCCTGATACTTTATTAGAATTAAGTTTAAAAAAAACTTTTATTATTAAAGGAAGATTATTTTTTGAACGAAGTAATGAAAGAATGGTTAATTTAAAAGTCGTTATTTTGGATCATTGTTTTTGGTTAGAATCGATAATGTTAGTTCATATGAGTAAATACGAATCTCTCGAATATTTATCATTGTATAAGTGCAAAAGAATGTGCGATACTGATATGGCTTATATAAGTTTAGCGGGGAGATTTGGTTTTAATAAGTTACGAGTTTTGGATTGTCGCTTTTCAGGGTTAGGGGACCAAGTGTTGCGAGTGCTTTACACAAAACCTCATTTGCGCGAAATTTATTTCGAAAATTACTTAACAAGCTTTTACTTAGAAAAAGCACGAAGAGAATTGGAAATAACCAACGGAGATACCCCCAAAAAATATTCGTATTTAGCCCAATATGATGATATCATGATGTTTGAACAACGAACGATTCAATATTATTTCGGGAACATCATTTACTGCAAAAAAGGAAATTTTGATGCGGTTTCCGATGATGGAACTTTAGTTTACCGATTCACTGAGCCTTTTAAAGATGAAACTTTATCATATAAAAGTGTATTATATGAACACCCCTACAAAAAATGCCAATGTGAAAATAAAAATAAAACGACGGACAATTTAATGAAAAATAAAGGTCCTACAAATAAAATGAAAAGTTTAAAAAAACGCGGGATGCTCCGAATTGAAGAAGTAATCCACCAAGAAATCGAAAAAGCCACTTCGAGCACCACGCGAATTAATCATTTATTATCGTTACCCCGCCCAACAAATACCAAAACCCCCCCACCAAACGTTGATATCAACTCCGAAGCGAACATTAATAACCACTTTTATACCTGGATTCACCACCGAGAACCGAGGAACCACTACGAAATGGCTATGTTTGAAAATTCCGATTTAAACCCTCCGCTACATAGCTGCGAAGAATTCGTATTTTTCTTAAACGATAATAATAATCCTGGAGAATCATCTAATAACAATCAAAACGATGCTAGTTCGAATTTAAAACGTAAAAGAAAAAATTCCGACTCTGATGACACCGAAAACGTAGGTAAACGAAAGGATAATCAAGACGCTAAACCGAGGGAGTTGTACGTTTTAGTCGACGCGATGGTGAATCGATTCGGCGCCCCAACCAAACGGCAAGTTGGATTAAAAATGATTTCTTTGCGCGGATTTAAACGAATTACGGATAAAACGTTGGAGAGTTTGGCCCACTTGGATTTGGAATTACTTGATGTGACGTTTACGAGAGTTACAGAGGAGGGATTGAAAGATTTCGCACTTTTAAACCCGAATTGTCGGGTTGTACATGAAAGTTCGTGTCGATGTAGACCTGAAATGCATTTTTAATTAATAAAACTATTTAAAAACTTGAAGTCGTTTATTAAAAGAAAATAGCGCCATCTATTATTGAAAAGCGAAAGCTAAAAAAAAACTAACCTCAAAGTTTTAATTTATTAACCTCACTTATCCTTTCGTTCTTTAATCGCAATTTTAACCCCCGTTTTAGAGATTAACGCAATTTCCGCCGACAATACCAATTGGTGATTGACGGAAACGAATTGGTACTTTAAAATTAATTTCGCTAACACCACTTTGATTGCGAACATTGCGTATTTTTGCCCGATGCAATTCCTTGGGCCCGCACTAAACGGGATGAAAGAGTACGGGTGTCTTTCGCGTATGTTTTCGGGCGAGAAACGTTCGGGGATGAATTCTTCCGGATTTGGGTAATTTTCTGGTTCCATGTGGATGCTGATTAAAGCCGGGACTATTACTAAACCTTTCGGGAGGGTTGTTCCGTTCCAATGGACGTCTTCGCCTAATTCTCGCCCGATTATAGGAACGTGAGTGTATCTCCGCATTGATTCTTTAATAAACATTTCTAAGTATTTCATTTTTTGCAATAAAGGTAACGTTATTTCTGTGGTGGGGTCGTTATCTAAGACTGAGCGGATTTCTTCGTAAACTTTTTGTTGGATTTTTGGGTGCTCCGCTAAGTTGTAAAGGGCGTAAGCAACGGTGGCTGCAGTTGTGTCATAACCTAATAAGTAAATTGTGAAATTGATTTGATTTTGGTGGTTAATTAATAATACCTGCAAACATTAAGGTATGTACTTGGTCTTTTAAGACGTATTCGCTCATCTCGAAGTTTTGTTTGGACGTCTCCATTAGTAGATCTAACGAAACGATTTTTTGTTTCTTCCCATCGATCGTAACCATCTCGTAACTATCCCCCATCTCATTATTTTTCTTCCGAATCGTTTCTAAGATGTAATTATCCAGCTTATTCATCGCGTTTTCCGCCCTCCAATAATTCCGCGTGAAATAATAAGTTAAATCGAAGTATTCTAAAGGATTAATTAACCTGTTTGTTACGATTAAAAGAAGCTTTTTCCCTTCTTCCAAATACATGCGATTATTCGCTTCGTTTTCTTCGGATTTTAGCCCCATTACGGTCTCTGTTAACTGATTTAGGGCCCACATTGCGGTTATCGGGGGTAAATTTGATTCTTTTTTGACCGTTTCTTTTTTTAAATCGTTTATGAAAGCCTCGGAGTGTTTGTTAAAGATTTTTAGGAACTTCTCGAGGATTTTGAAGTGAAACGTTGGGGTTAAAAGTTTCCTTTGAGACTTCCAGGTCTCCCCGTTGGCTGCGATCAAACCATTTCCACCCAATTTTTTGATTATTTTGTAAAAGGAGGGTTTGTTGATGTGCTTTGGGGATGATAAAATTATTTCTAACAAGTTTAAATCGGAGGTGAATATAACGGGGATTGGGCCGCACATGACGCCATAGGTTTTTCCGTAAATTTTCGGGTAAGTTACCAAATTTCGGTATAAATCTAAAAGGTTAAGCTTAATTTCGTTTGATTTTCTGGTTCAAACTTACCTAAAGTGTTCTTGTAAACGAGCATGCTCCCGAAAATGGGGATTTGATGCACGAAGGGTACATTTTTTAGCTTCGATTTGATCCAAAAATAATTCCAGTAATAATAAACGAGGGAAATGAAGAGAATTGAGATGAATAAAAGAAGCAAAGGAAATAAATCCATTCCGAGAGGAATTAATTAAAGTGCCACAAATTAAACGAGGAACCTATTTTATAAAGTGATTAAAAATGGAGCAATTATTATTAATTACGTTAATTGGAAAATATCCCAATTAAAATTGGCGTCAAAATAGGTGACATGGTATCGGAAACTAATTACTTATTTGTTGGCAAAAAATAAACTCAATTCCCATGTTTTCCCCAAGGTTATCAACAACCTTACTAATTCAATTCAACCTTTCTAGTTAAAACGAAAATGTGCTCTCCGATACTTTCTCAGACACTCAACGTAACCTATTTCATCTCAATTTTAATCACCCCCCTATTAATTATTATTATTTACTACTACTACATCTACTTTAAAACCAAAAATCGGTTAAAAAATGTACCCAAAATCTCTCCCAACATCGCAAGTAATCAAGAAGGCATTTACAACGATTTATTAATAAAATACCCGAAAATTTGCGGAAAATCGTTTTGGGNAAATTTTTATTAGAAAAAAAGATTTCTTTTCCTTCTTTACTGTTAGTTGAGCTACTGAATTGTAGATGTCGCTGGATAACTCGCCTAAAATTATACCTCCTAATATTTTGAGAAATACCTCCTCGGTGTTATGCGATCCTGATACAGATCGTAATTTTCACCTCTTCGAAAGCGAAAATTTGGATTTTGTATTAGAAATACATCAAAGCGAGGAGGTAAACGATCGTTTCCCGCTCAAATAATTATACCTCCTGATACTTTGAGAAATACTTCCTCGGTATTATGCGATCCTGATACAAATAGTAATTTTACCTCCTCGAAATTTTTATTAGAAAAAAAGATTTCTTTTCCTTCTTTACTGTTAGTTGAGCTACTGAATTGTAGATGTCGCTGGANCTCGATGAAGTCTCAAAAAACACCCGAGATAACCTCACTTTAATTTTATGACATAACCTCAAAATGCGAAAAATAGATGTTAAGTTTGAACTCATTTTGAAGCACTTTTTAATTTCAATAAGAATCAAATCATTATAACTTTTAATTTAAGAAAATACTTGGAGAAATCACCGAAAAGTCCTAACCCCATCGTTTCATTACAACCTATTAGAATCAAATTATTTAAAAACCTTCAACATCGAATCAAATCGATTCGTTGATGATTTAAAACAATACTTAAAAGACGATTCATGCGAATTAGTGTCAAAAGCAAAATTGTGGTCTTTCCGACAATCTTTGGAGACTTTGTTGGGGATAAAATCATCCCCGAAACACAACTTAACCTCAATTTATATGGAAGATTTAATAAAAATTATCTCAAACAGAGTTATTAATCCTTTGGAATATTTCGATTTCACTTACTATTTTACAAACAATTATCGGCGAGAAAAACAATTAATCCGTTTCATGGACAAATTCGCTTTGGAGATAATTGAGGAAAAAATCTCAACACTTCATGAAGAATCTCCAAAAACCACGTTAAACTTAATGCTTAAAGAATTAGTCAATAAAAGGTGGAGTTTAAGAGATGTTTTTGACGAAATCTACACGACTCTTTTCACAGTAAAAACATAACCTCGAAATAAACTCCATAAATTATTTTTTCTTTGTAGAGTTTTGAAACGACAGCTTTAACATTATCTTACACCATTTTTAACTTCGCTAACCATCCGGAGATGCAAGAAAAGGCCTACAACGAAATCAAAAACGTTTTAAGTCCTAACATTAATCAAGAACTAACCTCAAATTTACTCAAAAAGCTCAAATATTTAGACTCATTTCTTAAAGAATCGATGAGAATATACACCGTGGCTGGAGTATTACCCCGGAAATTAGGCGAAGAAGTTAAATGGGGCGAATTAACTCTCCCGAAAGGATTGACAGTTGTAATTCCAGTTCAAGCGCTTCACAACGACCCACAAATTTATCCGGAACCGTATAAGACAATCCCCGAACGATTCGATAAAGTAAAAAGTAACGTTTATATTCCTTTTAGTTGTGGCCCAAGAAGTTGTATTGGTGCGAAATATGCTATGTTGGCTTTAAAGACTTGTTTATGCAAGTTATTGTTGAATTATAAGCTTGTTTCCGTTGGACACCAATTGCAACGTTCCGTTCAAGTTACTATTATATCTAAAAACGGGGTTAAAATTAAATTAGAGAAACGAAATTAATTAATAAGTTTAAAATAATAGCTTAATACCCAACTCTAAATTTTATATTTATAGGTTATGTTGAAGAATTACTAAATAAAAAAAAAATAATAGGAGGTTATGTGTCAATATTTTTATACCAAAAAATTGTAATAAAATTTAAAACATTAAATAAGAAACAAATTAGAAAAACATCTATTTAACACTTTAATAAAACCTTTTTAGCACTTTCTAATTCCATAAAACTATTAAAACTAGTCCATCCCGAAACGAAGCACCAAATTTAAGTTAATTAAAACAATAACTCCCTCATCTATAAACATTATATTGATTCAATAATCTCCCAATTTCCGAATTTAAACTTAACTCTTCCATTTGAGACCCAGAAACTATATCAATAGCTTGTTGCAACCAATCGATACCTCTATGAATATCCCCTAAAGCGATATAACACTTCCCTATATACATTTTATTCTCTTTCCAATCACTCGATGTTAATCTCTCGGCCTCTAAAAAACAATTTAAGGCTTCATCGTAAGTCCCATTTGGAGGCTCTCCAAATAAAGCGGTCGCTACTTTTCTTTCAAACCACTTTAACCCGGCTATTTCGTATTTAAACCTCCCCAACATGTGATGTAACGAAGCATCCGTTGGGTTTAATTTAATCGCGATATCAACGTGTTGTTTAAATAAAAATCCATCCGCGATTCTTTGTTTGGTTGGTTCAAAATCAGATCTTAACCCCACTAAAATCGCGTACAATTTATGCACCTCTGGGTTATTCGGTTCAAAATTTAAAGCTCTATTACAAGCATTAACACCTTTTGAGATGTTTTCTCGTTTTGTTTGAGGTTGAACCGAATGAACGGCAGCTGCATGACAACATTTAGCTAGACGATACCAAAATTGGGGATCGTTAGGATATTTTCCACATAAATTATCTAAAATAGTTAGTGTTTCGAGGATTATTTCAGTATCATCTGTTCCTAATCTTTTATCAATGTCAATTAGTGTTAATTCCTTTGGTTCACGCACTAATCCATCAACTTCTTCATCAGAAATATCAAAAAATTCTTGATCAGAAGTATCTGATGGCGATTTATAATCCTCGGTGTCTGAGATTGTATAAGATTTTGCTGAAGAAATGGTTGGTTTTGTTGAAAAATGATTTCTTCTATAAAAAAATTAATTTGAGGTTATGTTTGTTTTTTGACATCTCAAAAAATATTTAATTAATAAATTCATGATTATTTTTGGTAAATTAGTTCGATTCAATTCATTTAATGCTTACTTAGCTTTTTGCGATTTCCTCATCCGTTCCAATTCTTCCCTCATATTCGTAATTTGTGCATCAATTCTATTTAAATTTTGAGCCATAGCTCTACTACGTCTTTCCTGGCGGAAATGCTCGTACAATATTATACTAACAGCCCCCATTATGCCCACTAAACCAGCTCCGATAATATAAAGTTGATTAGGCGTTGAGGACATTTTTATAAAAAATTCCTTAAAATTAATTTTTTTTGTGGTTATCTAAAACGTTCGTGGTGATCTTTTATACTTAATTTGTTCTTCTTTGAGGGTCTTTTCGCGATTTACATTAATTCAAATGGGTTAATAGAGCAAGTAGAACCAACTTTGACGTTTTTAGTTTTATAGGTTATAATCGTTAAAATTGTTGCCAACTTCATGTGGTTATTTTAATTCGAATTAAAATAAAATAAAATAATTGAAATTCGTTAAAAATATTAAAATTGAATTAGAAATAAATATAGAAATGAATTAAAAAATAATAATAAATTAATAGAGTAACGTGAACTGAAACGGTGCTACTTTGTCTTGAATACAAACTTAGTATCCTTAGTATACCATAGCAACGTAAATAAAAACAAATTATTTTGAAGATGAATTTAATCAAGCTAAGTTTTATCAAGAGTTGTTTTAAAAATGCTCTACAAAAATGATTTTAAACCGATTTAAAACTTAAAGAAATCAAGTGAATATAGAGAGCGAAAGTTTGGTAAAAAATTGTGATATTTTATAATAAGGTAAAGCCGCTTAATATTTTTTTCTATAGGTTATAGGTTATGTTTAAAATTATTTGTTTTTTATGCCAACGTATAAAAATTTTAATACAAAAGAATTATTTAAGTTGGTAGTACATAACCTCTAAAAAAAAAACCAACGATCTGGCAATGTCGTTTGCTTCGCTTCTCGAGAAACGAAACGAGCGACGTTGCCAGATCGTTGGAAAAAAAAACAACTTCTTATAACCGAAATAATAAATTCTTTTAAAATGATTAATATTTTAACTATATTTTTTTAGATACCAACTTTAAAAAGAAAAAAATTCGAATTTCCAAGCAACCCATTAAAACAAATTTGTCAATAAATCTTGTTTGATCAATAAATAAACACATAATCTGCCAATTCCATAAAGATAAAATTAAAGGAAAAGATGTCTTTGGTAGTTGAAACTCCCCAAACGGATCCAAACGCCCAAAAAGAAGAATCAGCGATATCGAAATTTTGTAAAGGACCAAGAATGACGAAAGAATTCATTAAAAAACATTGCAAAGAAAATAAACTTTACGCAACGCCCTACCTAAACGATGTCCTTTATTTACATTTTAAAGGCTTCAGTGAAATCGAAAATTTAGAGGAATACACAGGATTGAGATGTTTATGGCTAGAAAATAACGGGTTATTAAAAATATCCGGATTAGATAATCAAACGGAGTTGAGAAGTTTGTTTCTGCATTACAACTTAATACGGAAAATCGAAAACGTGGGACATCTCGTCTTTTTGGACACTCTAAATCTGTCTCATAACCAAGTTAGAAGAATTGAAAACTTGGATAGCATCAAAACGTTGCACTCTTTGAATTTGGCGAATAATTATTTGGAACATTTGGAAGATGTGGAACATTTGGAGCTTTTAGACGAGGTTTCCGTGCTGGACGTTTCCAACAATCACATTGAAGATCCTTTGATTGTGAAAGTTTTGGGGAATATGAAGAGTTTGAGAGTGTTGAATATGATGGGGAATCCCGTTGTGCGAAAAATACCTTCGTATCGGAAAACTATGATAATAACTTGTGTAAATATTAATCGTTTTGGGGATTTTATTCGATTTATTTGATCTCTTTTTAGAAAGATCTTCGTTATTTAGATGATCGCCCAGTTTTTCCACGGGATAGAGCGTGCGCAGAAGCATGGTAAGTTAAATTATAATTAGTTATACTATATTATAAAGGTATTTTATTTTAAGGGAAAGAGGTGGGATTACGGAAGAAAGCGCTGAAAGACAACGTTGGATACAAAGAGAACGCCAACGAATCATGGACAGTGTAAACGCTTTAGTTAGAATGCGAGATGAAAGGAGGCAAGAAGCTGCAGCTGCTGCTGCTCATTTAGACAGTGGGATGGGCACTTCAGTTCATGATTCAGAAAGCGAAGCTGATACATTATCAGAAATTGTTCCAAATCAAGATGAAGAAGAGAATAACGTTGCAGAAAATCACCCAGAAAAAGAAAATGAAAGTCAAGAAGAGAAAAGTGTTGATTCAGAACCTCAAGTAATCCAAAACATTGAAAATAATCCGGAAGAAATTAAAATTAATCAAGCTGCAATGATATTTAGTGAATCAGAAGATGAAGAAGAATTGTCTTTGTCTGCATCATCATCAACAACATCAGAAAGTGATGATTTTATGAGGGAACACCAACCAGATCCCGATGAATATATTGAATATCGCGAAAGAATCTTTGATTTTGAACCAAAAGGAACGAGGAGAAGTCGCAAAGAGAAAAAAAAATTAATTGTTGAAATTAATACCGAGGAAGAAAGTGTTAAGCAAGATGAAAATAATAAAGATGAGAATGATGAGAAAGGTGATGCGGAGAAGGAGATAAAATTGATAGAAAATGTCGATGATAATATTGATGATAAAATTAATTATAAAGGGATTGCGAAAATTCTTCAAGAAGAATATGATGATAATAACAAAGAAATTGATGAAAATAATGAAGGAGATGTTGAAATTGAGAAAAGTCCAGAAGAAATTGAGGAAAATCAAAAAGATAATGAGATAATTGAAGAAAAGAAAGAGGATGTTGAAAAAATTAAAGCGCTTGCGAAGATGCTTCAAGGTGAGCTTGAGTCTGAATCGTTTTTTTGGACTTTTGGAAAAGAAGAAATTGAAGAATCAAAAGAAATTCATGATTCAAAAGATTCTGATGAAGAAATTGTTGAAAATCCTGAAATTAAATCTAAAAAAGAATTAAAAAAAGAGAAAAAAATGTTTGAAGAGAAACTAAAAAAAGACGAAGAATTAAAACAAGTTGTCGAAGAGCTCAAAAAAGTGGAAGAAATCGATCAACGTTCTTTAGTAGAAATTTACGCTCCAAAAGATGAAAATTTATTCTCATCATCTTCATCATCATCATCATCAACTTCATCTTCGAGTGATTCCGAAGAGAATGAATTTTATTACGAAGATTTGGATAAAGGAATTGAGATTGAATGTAGAAACACGAAATTTAAAGAAGCCGAACAAGATATTATTGATAAAAATGTAAAAATTGAAAATATTGAAGAATCCGGACGAGAAATTTTAATGGGTATCCAAAAAGAGCAATCATTAAACGACGTAAAAGAATTATTAAAATGGAATTTGCCTATAAACACTGAAAACAGGGTAATTTTAAAACCGATTGATCGCTCAATACCGAATTCAACCCAAAGTCTCCGTTTAGATTCGATCGATACTTACGAATTAGTTCTCGATAAGATGGAGAGGAAGTTTGATGAAGAAGAAAAGGTTCGAAAATTAAAACAACCATCGAAATTAGCCGAGGCTGCTCATAAATATATTCGAATGATTGATCGTAGAGAACATATTGATCCAAACGAGGAAACAACAATTTCTAATTCGTTACAATTATCGAAAAATTTCCCCGTTTTTCAACACGTAGCCGGGGTTAACGTTGAAGTTGAAAACGTTGAGGAAGATAAGAAAGAAGAAATTTTGTCGATAAAAGCTTCAAATAACATCTCAAATTTACGGGAGGATATGAGAGCTTTTAATCGGCAAGTTGAGGAACTTACAAGCGTTTTCGATCGAAAATACGATCTATTAATACAGACTTATAACGAGTATTGGAACGAATACGTTAAGAGCCAAGAAAAAGAGGGGGAGAATGATGAGGAGAAGAAGGAACATGTTAAAAATAGTTATATTGAAAAGTTTTTAAACGATGATGAGAATGATGGTGGTGATGATGATTGTGAAAAAAATGTTAAAAAATGTATTGATAAAAAAGAAGAAAAAGTTGGCAATATAATTAATGAGATAAGAATTGGGGGAGGATATAAATATGCAAGAAATGAGGAGGTGTTTAAAGATGAGAATAATAAGGAAAATGATGATGTTGCAAATGATGGAGATGGAAATTTAGAGGAAGAATATGTTGATGATTTGGTGAAAAAGATTGAGGAGGAAATGGTTGAAGATGAAATTGATAATGAAATTAGTGGTGAGAATAAAGATATAAATGAAGATAAAAATGAAGATGAAAATACAAAATGTGGAATAGTTGTGGTTGAAAGAAATGTTTCTTGTACTTTAGAGATGCAATTAGCGACTAATAACCAAGAAAATGAAGAATGATTAGGAATTGATATAATTGATTTAAATCGGAATCCTAAATTTAAAACTTCTAATTTTTTAGAATTTGAAATTTTGGATCCCGATGGTTGGGGCTTTGACTTTTAGAACTCTTTAGTAGAAGCATTTTAGATCTTATTATTAAATAAAAATATTGAGAGAATTGGGGTCTTTTTAGTTCGATTCGACACTAAAGTTCTCTACTACGCATTAATAGTATATTGTTTTATATGGAAGAGAAGCAGTGCTTTTTACGGCGTGTTCTGTCGTTTAATGACGGATTAATAACAGATGAGCCGTTAAAATTGTGGCGTGTCAGACAGTTTGTGAGAGACCAGCCACAAACGAAACTGCTTCTCTACCGAATAAAACATAGTTATTTTTCTTCAAACGTTTCAAATAATACGGCGCTAAAGTGAAATGTTTTTCAGCGTTTCAGCGCCATAACGCTGAAGTACTTTTTTGCTATGTTGATCTTAGCAACCGTTGTTATGCAAAAATGACTAACTTCTACCGCGAGTAAACAGGTCAACAAAGTTGTCATTTAATGACGTTTGAAGAAAAAATCATTCTGAGTGCAAAGATTTTATTTTGCGTTTGGGATTGCAAAAGGAAACTGACTTATCTTAACATTCCTCAATTTTTTTTTAGAGTCGATTGATATTTGTAAACAATACTATCCTAACTTCTCCCAATTTAATTCGAGAAGATTAATTTATTAGTCAGATTGATTTCTCTTTATCTTATTATATTTATTTCTCAACTTTTTACCCTATTCCTCTTCATTCCATTTATTTTCAACAGAAACCTCAATTAATTCAAAGAAATGAAATATTTAACATAGTAACTAAAATCCCCTATAAATCTTTTTAATTCACGTTTGCACACAATTTGTTTTCTTGCAGTAAATTGAGGATAATTGGTTTAGACTTTAGATAACGCGATTACTTAAATTGTTCAAACATTAGTTGAACAGTATTTAAAATTCATCGAATGTTAATGCGATTTCGTCAATAAATGCTCAATAAAATCGAATTAGACTTTTATTCAAGTTTAGAATCGCACTTTTTACCATGTCTTCGCCTGTGAGTAAAGTAAACGAGGAAGATTTAGAAAAAATTGCGATCGCGTTTAAGGACAATCGCGAAAAATTAAATAAATACGTCGAGTTGTTTAAGGAATGGATCAAAAGCGAAAATCATTTACCGCAAGATCTTGGTAAGGATTAAATTACGAATTAAATTTTTTAACAATTTTGAATTAATTTTTAGAGGTGTGTTTTATTGAGAATTTTATAAGGCTTTGTAAGTACGATTTTGAAAAGGCTAAATCGAAATTTGAATCTTATATAATAACGAAACATTCTCTGGATCATTTAAAACCGGAGTTTAAAATCGAAAAGGAGCGTTTTGAGCGGGATGATATTTCTAGAATTTTTGTAATCTCTCCGGATTTAACTCCCGATTTAAGCAGGATTTTTTATTTGTGGGGAACTCGAGAACAAAGCAATTTCGATTACAAATCGAGACAAAAATACGTTATTGATTTGGGTAAGATTTTCTTATTCGTAAAAGAATCAAATCAATTTTTAATTTGTTTTAGTTGAATGGTTTCTTCATTTGGGATTAAACGTAGGAACTAGTTTCGTTTTTGTCCTTAATTTCGAGTGTTTTACTTTTCAATTGGCGACGAAATTAGATTTCGCAGTTGAAAGACGTTTTATGAACTTAACAGTCAATTGCCTTCCTGCTATAATTAAGCAAATTCATTGCATTAACGTCCCATCGGCTGCTAAATCATTCATCGTTCTTCTTAAATCGATTTGTTCGGAGAAAATACGAAATAGGGTAGGTTAATTAAATTTAATAATTCAAAAATTAATTAATTTTTTTAAGATTATTATTCATAATGGTATCGATGATTTAAAGAAATTTATTCCCAGTGATGATCTTCCGATTGAATTAAATGGAACTTCGGGGAAAAGCGTCGAGGATTGGGCGAAAAATTGGGAACATTTTTATACACAAAACGGGGAGGTTCAGGAGAAAATTAAAAATTTACATCTTTGCGGGGAAATTCCGAAAAATAAGGTTCATTTGGATTGTTCGGCTGGGTTCGGTGCGAATGGAAGTTTTCGCCAGTTGCAATTAGATTAAAAGTTACATAAAATGAATCTCTAATAAAGTCTCAAATGCTAATGCCTCACTAGCATATAGTTCGTTTTTTTTCTATAATACTTCATAGAAAAATTTATATATATTATGTATATAGAAGGTCATCTCCCCACTATTTTTTGGTACATTGAGCGCTCCCAAGGGGATTGTGAGGGAACTAATTAGGTTAAAGCGCAAAATTTAAATATACAGGGTGCCCATTATGTATGGAATATAGTATATATCTTTGTAGGTATCAACTTTATAGAAAAACATTTTATACAAAACTTGTTTAATATTTTATTTGCCATAATAAGACTGCAGTTAATTGTTTTTAATTCAGAAAACAAATGAGTAAAGAATAATACTTAAATTTTTTTAAAAATGGAAAAATTGTTTATTAATAAAAATTAATCAATAACATTAATCTAGATATCCGAGATCGTCAAGTACCTCGAATTATTACTGTAAATTAAATTTACATACAAAATAAAACAAATAAACGAAAAATTAGTGTACATCTCCAATAATTCGAGGTACTTGACGATAATGTTATTAGTTAAATTTTCTTAATAAACAATTATTACATTTGTTTCAAAAATTTTCTGATATAAGGGTACTAAAATTTTACGTCATCGTAAAGAGAAAAAAAATCTCTATCAAATGAGCCTAACGAAAGGGTACATTGCCATTAAAAAAACTTCAAGTGTTATTCGTTGCTCATTTGTTTTCTGAAATAAAAACAATTGAATGCTGTCTTATGGCAAATAAAATATTAAACAACTTTTGTATAAAATGTTTTTTTATAAAGTTGATACCTACCAAGATATATACTATATTCCATACATAATGGGCACCTGTAGGTATTTGTATACCGGTTTATACCAATACTTTATTTTGAAGAGGTCAAGTACATTTTACAAATAAATGCAAAAAAATATGAATTTATAGTTTTTCCAAGATAAAATTCATAATTTTAAATATAATATATGTATATTGCTCTCATTTAAGAGCGCCAATTTATCTATCGGATAAACTTATGAAGAGGTGGTAAATGTGGCCCTAACTTATTTAAACACTTAACTAAAGGATATAAAACACTAAGCCAAAGGAAAGTAAGAAAGAATATACACTGGGTTATCACCAGTTATCACACCAAACGACAAAACAAAAATGTGACGTTTGCTGTCACCTTTGAGTTTGACGGGTTTGACGTGACATATAAATTTTTCTATGGTTACAAGCGCTTTGTTTGTGTAGATAATGCAGATTGCTACTAATTCAGTCTACAACGACATCCAATGGATTGTGAGGGTACTAAAACCTGGGTCTACATTTTTATAGTAGTGAGATTGCACACCATGTAATACTTGTCAATGTAAATTATTTAGGGTTTCTGTTGGTATTATCTAGGACCCTTATAAAATTTATGTTGTTTTCATGATTTTTAGTAACATTGTCAGTAACTAATTAGTTGAGGTTAAAATACTAATAAATTTTTAGATAAATACGATTTTGACGAAGTACATATTTGTTATAAAAACTTGCTACAAAGTAATTAAATAGAATAAAATACCTTTTCTAGGTAAGTAAATGGCAAATAAACACCCCACAACACTTTTTATGCACCTTTTCTTTTTGAATAACGAAAGCTCAAACGTCAATGTGACATATTTACTTCAAAACATGATAAAACAAAACTCCCTGTTAATTTTGCCAACTTTACAAAAATTTGACAGGTATTATAGAAAAAAATGAACTATAGCTGCTTCGACAAATTAATGACATTTGTAATTGTAAAAATTGTGTTAATGTCATTATTGCGGATGCTTAGTAACACCTTGGTGATTTGGAAATACACTAATATTTAGTTTAGTAAAATCAAAGATGCACGGCTGCCTCGGCTTCTATACAACATCAATTTAGAAAGAAACCTTAATATATTGCTTTGTAATTATTTAAACCACTACCTTGGCAGCATAGCTGCTTCGGCTTATAAATGGCATATTTATTCTGTAAAAAGGAGTTTGCTTTGTTTAAATACTCAAGCTACTGCCTCGGCTTCTAATTAACATATTCATTCTATAAAGAAGACTTTGTTTTTTTAAATACTTAAGCTATTGCCTTGCCCAGTGTAGCTGTATCGGCGAACTAATGACAATTATGGGAAAAGTTTTATTAATGTCATTGTATCCATACAAACACTGCTTGACTGTCGCGGTTTGTGAATTATGGTGTCTCATTGCTCATCAAAATCTCCGGTAACTTTTCAACACCAAAGAAGGTTTCTTACATTTAACGTGAATTACATTTCTAAGATTCGGTGTTACGTAAACAAATTTTTCGATACCAATTAGCAGTAACATTTGATTTTTAAAATGGCGATTCTATTTCTAATAAAAAGCAATCTTGACAAAAGTACGAAGCGGTACATTCTCCGCGGTTTTAACCCAAATAAAAGCGTCGACGAGTCCGCTTCATATAGATACCGGCCAGAACCACACCTGTTCTCTTCACTCCGACACACCACCATACCATGGTGTGGTTCTCTCTACGGTGTTGGTAGAAAATTGTTCCAACGACTCGATCGTGCCAGAAGTGAACTGGTCGCCGTCGAGGCCGTCGTTAAATTAAAATCGCGAACCGTGTTTCTACTCTTGTGTTAACCAGTTTAAACGTTGAAAAAATCGAAATAATCAAATTTTTTTTTAAATAATCAAAATAAGAAGTTATTAAAGTATTTTTTTGATAAAGTGAAACGGTTATTTGAAATAATTAAAATAATAGTTATTAAATACGTTTTCAAGTAATTTTTGTGGGTTGTTTTCCAATTTTCCTCTCCAATTATTATTTACCGTTTCATAAAGTTGGATTTATGTGTTTTCTGTGACGTTAAAATTCTTTTTTTGTGTGTTGTGTGTATATTTTCCCTACCCAACTCTCCGCGTACCATTTGAAAGGTAAGAATCGAAGTGTCGAGGTTGCCGAGAAGTAGGCGTGTTGTTTTAATATTGTTTTTTTTTGTTATTCTTTTTCTATCTTTTTCTAATCCGATTAATTTCTCTCTTTAACACCAAACAAAAAAAAAGAACACAAAATATAGCGCAAAAATCACCGCCTTATTTACATAAATCGAATCAAAATAATTAATATAACTAGTTAACCTGAAATGTTTTTTGTTAAGAAGACGGAAACGGTCGAGAAAATCCGATTGTCGAAAGTAGTATACGACCTGGAAACGTAAAGTGTGTTATGCCAACAACCATCTTCAAAGCGGGTTGCGCAGCATCTTTCTTCTTCTTTCGTAGTCTTTTTTGGTCGTTGGTGTTTTTATTTTTTGATTTTTTTGATCGTAACCGGAAGCGCGAATCCTACCTAAATGCTCCACCTTGCCGCTTTTAGGACGAGTGACGACGGAACGCGGAGGAATGGAATTTAAGAAAGTTGAGAATTGCATTAATAAAAGATTTATAAAATGGCATTCCTCTTCATGTTAATGCGTTATAACTACCTGATTTCGCAAAATTAATAATTTCGCTCAATTTAAATTGTCAATTTGACGTTTAAAACGATAATAAAATATCGATTTAAATTTAAATTAGTAACTTATCGTTCGAAATATCATTTCTTCAAAGTTTAAATAGAAAATTTTAATTTAAAATAAAAATTATTTAAATAATTACTCACCCCATCTATTGGATTCGCCCGTATCGAGTATTTTTGACGTCTCGAATCTAAAATAATTAAATTTTATTACAAAACAGTTTAATTGAAACAATAAATACATGAAAAAATACGTTCTTGAAAGTACAATTTGTTTATAGTGATTTTTAGTTCTATAAAGAGGTTTAGTTAATTTACTTTTTATAAAATGAATAAAAAAATTGAATTATTAAAATCGCCCCATCTAGTGGTGGCGACCCATATTAAGTCAATTTTATATTTCAACCCCAACGATCTTATTTCTTCCTCAAATTATTAAATTTTATTAAAAAAATAATAATTAAATAAGAAATACGTACAAAAATCATCAAAAACGAGGATATTTTGGGTTCGATAAAAACATTTTTCACTCCAAAATGAATGAAGGAAGTTTTACATAACCCAACTTTTTAACCCCGCAATATGAAATGTTTGGGTACTTCTAAAAATTGGAAAAATCGGAGGTTTGTGTTAATTTTGTTATTTCGATACTAAATAATTAAAAGGTAGCGAAAATTTCAAATTAATTTATTTTTTCTAAAATAAATAAAAGAATTTAATTATTTAAATTCGCCCCATCTAGTGGTGGCGACCCATATTAAATCAATTTGACATTTCAACCCCAACGATCTAATTTCTTCCCTAAAATATTAATTTTTATTATAAAAAGGATAATTAAACAAGAAATACGTTATTGAGGATACGAATTATATATTTGAAGCGAATTTGGGCTGCACAAAAAGATTTTTCACCCCGAAATGAATCAAGGAAGTTTTACATAACCTAACTTTTTATCGCGTCAATTTTAAACGTTTCCTGTCAAGCTGTCAAAAAATGCTTAAGGTTATGATTAAGGTTGAAGCATAATGTATGGGATAATCTTGTTTTAAAATTATTATGAGTTACAATGAAGATCTTCGTGTTCTATTGACACATCTTCTCCATACACACCTTTTAGAATCTTTTTAAAATCAATCGAACGTTTTCACAAGCAATTTATACAATATACTAAAATACAGGTGTTTGAACCACGAGATCAATGCTATACAGGTTGTTCAAAAATGTTATTTCTTTAACACATTCGACTAAATCCGAATGTTTCTATGTCTAGTGTTAGTTCTAGTATTGCACTAGCACTATCACTAGAGCTAATACAAGACAGAACTAGAATCATTCGGATTTAGCCGTCTTGAAAGACGTGCGGCTAAACCCAAATGATTCTAGTTCTAGGTATAGTGTTAGTTTTACATAGTAAAAGTACTAGTGTAAAACTAGTCTAGTTTTAATTGTTATGAAACGCTAGATTGTTGTATATTTTTATTGAACTAAAAGTAGAAATAATACTAAACCAAGAACTAGAATCATTTGGATTTAGCGGTCTTATGAGACGCGAGGCTAAACCCGAATGTTTCTAGATCTAGGTCTAGTATTAGTTCTAGTTTTAATTGTTATTTAGCGTTAGATTGTGGTATATTTTTATTAAACGAAAAGTAGAACTAACACTATACCTAGAACCAGAAACATTCAGGTTTAGCCGTGCGTCCCTTAAGACTGAAAGTCAGAGTTATCATAAGGACGTCACTTTTTCAAGCAAAACTTTGCTTTACAAAACTACCCAATGCCTGTACTATTAAGCTATATTGCATTTCTACTTGCGAGGTAAACTTCAAAAAGCTTCCCATTTACTCTATTCATAGAGATGGAATATTGAAATGGTATTTTGATACCTCGTTTAGTTTTAATAATAAAAATGATTAAAGTTAAGTTAAACGGTAAATGGAATTTCTTGGAATGACATCATCGATTTCTTTTATAACTCTTATTTTTCTTAAGGTTATTTTTTGTTGTAACTTATTATATCTTCTGATATATTCGAAATTGTTGGGATGATTACGTAAATCTGTGTGTTGTCTCGTTTCGAGGCAAACTTTCTAATTCTTCACGTAAATGTCAAGAACTTTAACTTGTATTGGATGCTTCTTTCGATGACGCTTAAAACAATATTAACAAAATCCTGTTTTTATCATTTTTATGATTTACCTAAATGGAGGTTTAATAATCTTGTTCTTTATCTTTTAAGTTTATTTTGAAGCAATTAGGCAAACAAAGTCCTTATTCTTGGTAATTAATCGGAGGAGTTTCCCACAAAACCGCGTTGTTGGGTTTCGTTTTAACCATTTTAACATTTTTTACAATGGAGGTTAAGAACATGACGCAAATCCGAGCGGTTCAGGATCTAAATTGGACAAGGATCTTTTTTGTATGGCTTCAACAATGAGTATGGGAACTGATTTTTGCGAAATTTTGGCTCGATTTTGTTGTTAACTTTTACAAAAATTCTTTTTTAATCCTTTATAGCTATAGATTAACTTTCTAACGTTGTTCAACGTGTCATTTGTGCTAATGGGTAGTTAGGAAGCGATTTTCTCTTTCGATTTATTATAAATAAAACTCTTTTTCGATGTTGAGATGTTAAATTAAGATGTTAAGATGTTGATGGGAAATAGAGTGAGATGATGATTAGTTCCAGTAGGTCAGGAAGAGGAGTCTGCCCGAATAACTGTTTTTCTTTAGCGCGGAACGACTGCGAAATTAGCTTTAAGTTAAAACGAAAGAATTCTCTGACTCAAATAAAAACGTTAAAGTAAAAGAGGGACTTCGAAGGTCTTGACCACTCCTTTAAAGAGCCGATCACGAACTATTTCATTTCTTATTTCTGTTCTTGTTTCTGTTCGTTGAGCACCGCATTTTTGCCAACACTCCACCTGCTTTGCCTCGCTTCTCTTTCTCTCTTCTAAGCCCCACCCGATTTAATTTTAATTCCCCGGAGAAATGAGAAACAAGAACAACTCGTCTGGTGCCGGTTCGAACCTGATGGCGATCTTGCCGAGATGGGATTCTTTTTAGAAAGTTTCGGTGGAGTGAAAGCGCAGGTGCTTTTTGATCTGTTTGCTTCTGTTCTTGCTTGGTTACAGGAATTTGCGCTATGCGATTGAAATTGAGATTAAAAAAAAGAAAAACTTTGACCTTGCTCGCATAAAAACAATTTAATTAATTTCAAATTTTTATTTTAGCCCAAAAGAAAATGATTAATTAATTAATCCACCCAAAAAAATGGCACTAAAACTCCGAAAAGACATCAAAAAATCATCCTACTACGTCTGGTTTTTAGGCGCAAAAGAATCGAAAGGTCTCCGAGGCTCCGAATTTATCCTCCCCGTAATCAAGCACCTCGAAGACCGCGAAAAAGATGTCGAACCATTCAAAGTAACCCTCCAAGTTAGCTCGAAGGGGATGAAAATAATCCAAAACGTAATCTCGCAACAAAGCGGTTCCAAATCGAAACCGAAAAACGAAACGATCAAACACTTCATCCCGCACGGTACGATCACGTGTTGTTATCAAAGGGAGGATGTGATCGCGTGCATTTTGTTGCTGTTTAATCCGGTTACTAAATGTCCGTTGCACGTGCACGCGTACAGATGTGACAGTTTGGAAACGGCGGGATTATTAAAACAACACCTACAAGTCTTGATCGATCGGCCGGAAAATCAAAAGAAATTCGCCGAAATTGAGAATCGATTGTTGTCGCCGAAGGAGAAGAAAAAGTTTGATTCGAGTGTTGGGAGCGACACCGGGACTTCAACCAGGGAAAGCGAATCAAGCGAAGAAAGGTATTTCTGTCTCAAATTCAATCAAAAATGCAAATAAAACATTTTTAATTTTAGATTTAGTAACGACAACGCAAGGGTCACAACGCTTTACGACTCGGTCGCGGCCGAATTAAGGGCGAAACTATGCAAAAAAGACGTTCCCATTTTATTACCACCTCGGGATTACGACACCGTACATCGGCAAAAAGGAAATTTAACCGGAATTGAGTTACGGAGGTGTTTGAACGCCAACATCGTCGGTCAAAATGTCGTTGGAAAAAACACCAATATTACCCGAAGGATTGAAAGTAGCGGGGGAAGTAGTGGAATAGGTTCCGATCATCCTCCATCTCCCGATTCACCGGACGCTAATGATAGTCGATTTAATACTATTGATAATCACAGTACAAGTGGTAAGGCATAAAAAAATTCATTCTTTTATTCAATTTAGCGTAAAATCCGCTTTAATTTGACGTCAAATACGCCAGGTTATCAAGTTGTTCAATGAAAAAATTTAAAAATGACATTTGACATTGACACTTGTCATAAATGTCTTATTAATTTTTGTAAATTTAATTGTATTAAACTTAAAAGGTTTGAATTTGATACCAAACACGACTTGGATCAATTGTTATAGGATAAAATTAAAATTTGACGATTGACAAATGTTAACATTTTGTTTTTAACAAAAAATTTAATTATGCGTAAAAAGAAAGAAACAAGATTGGGACATTTGTAATTAGACAAAACTTTAAATTTGACGTTTAACATTGACAGATGTCAATTTTATTCGGTTAGAACTAAAAATCTTTTAATTTTGAAAGCGAATAAGTTAAAACTTGACGTTTATCAATGGTAGATGTGACATTTATCATTAATAAATAGAAGAAATTAGTTATTTAGGACATAAATCGTATTAACCAACAAAAATAGAGTGTTTCAAGGCCATTTATGGTCTGTATCAGTTACTCGGACATTTTTTTTCCTTTTTCTGCGTCTCCTCGACATTAGTTGCGTATCGCGTTGGAGATTTCGTGGTGGCCTTCTGTTACAGTGGGTCATTCCTCGCGAGGAACGCGGAAGAAGAACTAGACGAGTAGGAACGTCCTCTACAAGAAGAATCCTAAACTAAGCTCAAATAGGAAGTTACGCTTAACGAAACGCGGCGCCTTTTGCATATTAAAAATAGCTTTTTAACATTTTTAGATCCACATTCTTGTCGTTGCTCTATCTTCTCTTCCGAATATAAAAGAGAACCGTTCTTATTCGTGTTACAATAAACGTAGCGGATGCAAAACAGATGACTTGGAAAACGGCATAGATACAGTTATTTAGATACGTTATTTTGTTGGTTAAATAACAAGTTTAATTGTAACGAATTTTTTGACTAAAACGATTTCTTTTTGTTTTTTAGATGAAGAATGGAACATTGAGCAAGGAGAAGTCCCTTTATACTTGATAAATCAACCAGCATCAAACGTAACTTTACCCAGGCCGTTAAGGAACGTTGAAAACCTCGATAAATGTCCCCCGGAACTCAGCAAAACCGAGCCGTTTCGCAGATACCAAGAACAAAAGTCGCCAAATAAATCCAAATCGGCCAAAGAAGAAGAAAAAATTTTACATAGCAAATTTTTATTTACAGATAACGATCACGCGAGAAAATCAATCGAAAAATTCGATCGATTCGACTTCGAAGAGCGCCGCAAAATGATTAAGGAGGACGTTAATTTCAATAAAATTTTTAGGCAAGATCACCGGAAATTCCCTAGCAAATACCCAAACCCCGAAATCGACGATGGTTTCGATGAGATTAACAGGAAAGATTATCGCACTCAAAAGAAGGGGGAGAAAAAAATTATTAATCAAGACGAGGAGAGGTATAAATCTGGATTTTATGACGATGAAGAGTACGAAATTAAAAAGCAATATCAGCAACATCAACAACAATATCCAGTTGCTAAAACGCGCCAAAAATATCCATCCCATTTCGATGATGATTTAATAAATAGTTACGAACGAGATCATCGTTCGATTCGATCTCGATGTTCTCAAGATCAACAAAGACATCATCAAACGATTGAAAGAGATCAGCATCAAGAATCGGATAGATCGAGTTACGAGAGATATCAACGATCAAATTTGACGCCGGATAATAACGTATCCCCCCGCGATCGATTCCGCGACGCAAAAGAAAAATTTTTACTCCTTGAAAAGGATCGATTGGAACAAGAAAGGAAGTTAAGGCAAGAAAATACATCAAAAGATTTAAAATATCATTATAAACGTGAAAAATATTTTGATTATGACTTCGAATATCAATCGGATGCCTCGAATATTGTGCATCCGAAAGCGGCCCCGAGAAGGAACGATTTTGATCGGAGTGATTTTGAGCGATATAGAAATGAGAAGTTTGATCCGAAACGGCGGTCGATGTTTAATTTGTTGGAGGAGGAGCATAAAAAGAATTCGTCGGAGATTGCTAAGGAGTTAAAAAGGCGCTCGTATTTGGATGGGAATCATTCCGATTTTACCGAGATTCATAATCAGAGATTTTTGGATTTACCCGAAAGCGATCGATTTGGTTACGGAAAGTATCCGAGTAATTTGGAGGATGAAAAAAATGAATCGTTGAAGTATGACTCTAAATATGAATCTAAATATGACGCAAAATATGACCCAAAATATGATTCAAAATATGAATCAAAATATGATTCAAAATATGATCCTAAATATGAATCTAAATATGAGAATAAATATGATCCTAAATTTGAGTCAAAATTTGATTCAAAATATGACTCAAAGTTTGTGAAGAATCAAAAAGGTAAAAATTCGGCTGGATATAGACATAGTTACGCTGAGCCTAAACTTAAAGTTGAAAATAAGAAGAAACAGGGCCATTACCCGGAGATGATTAATAATAATCAATATAAAAATGGAAATAGCAGTACGGGAAGGGTTGGAATAGCGAGTGTTCATCCGTATTAATCAAGAAATTATTGTTATTGAAGAAAATAATATTTTAATTTTTATAAAGTTGCTCAATTGTGAGATTTTTTTTTAAATATAAATATTTAAGGAGAATATAACTGAAAAAAGTTATTGGAAAAGAAAATGACTCGAAATAAATTAATATATATAGTATAAATTTTTTTGTTTATGTATAAAAAGTTGAATGACGAATTTCTAAGAAAATTGAAAAATATTTCCGATTTTATCTTAAAGATTATTAAAAATCCTTTAATTTGATACCAAACACGATATATTTTGGATAAAAACTAAAAAAGTTATAAATTTAACAAAAAAAAATGGATGTTATGTCAACTGTCAAATTTTGTTTATTAACTTTTTAAATAACTTTTTTAATTTTTAACCGAATTATATCGAGTTTGGTATCATTTTAAAGGATTTTTCTCAACCTTTTAAAAAAATAATTTAATTACCGATTTTATCTTTAAGTTAAAATAAAAAATAATTTTCAAAAATAAATAATTTTACCACAAATATTATTTAAAATGCGTTAATTTGATACCAAACTTAATATAATTCCGATTAAAACTAAAATATAGGTAAAAAAAAATTATTTTGAGGTTATGTCACTTGTCAAATTAGAAATGTCATTTTTAGTAACTTTTTTATTTTTTAAACAAAATATATCGAGTTTAGTAGCATTTTAAACAATTTTTTACAACCTATTCGAAAATATAACGATAAATTAGCGATAAATTCGTCATTCAAGATACTTTTTGCCAAGCAAAAAAAAAAATTTATAATTATAGGTAACGCTGTAAATATTATTTTAAATCAAAAATAAAATTGTTAAGCGAAAAAAGGAACCTATTATCACTAAAAATATAATTATCGAAATGTTAAATAATATAAATGTGCCTTAAAAAAGTTATAAATAACAATAATTGTATATTAATTATATTTTGAACTAAATTTTGTTTTAATTATGTATTTTTTTTAATTTTTTCAAAGTGTGATGGCTCCAAGTAAAAATATAAAAATAAATATTAATAAAAATAATATTTTCTAAAAATCAAGCTGTATATGTATTATTGTTATTGCAAAAATTAATTTAAAAATAAACGACCTTTTTGATTCAATCGAATTAATTAATTTATCTTCCCGATTTCTTAAAAGCGAGAAAATAAAATTAGAAAATGTCAATTTGATTTGCTCAAGGATGTTGGTGATGGGTTTGTGTTTGGTTAAGAGAAATTTGTTTAAGAGAAATCTTCTCTCAACACTTTTACTTCTACTATTAAATCTTTAAAAATTAAAAATAATCAATTTTTGATTTTATCCTAAAAAGGACCAAAAATGCTGTAATTTGATACCAAACATCACATATTTTCGATTAAAAACAAAAAAGTTACAATAAAAAATTAATTTTTAGGTTATGTCACCTGTCAAAATGAATGTTATTCTTTTTAATAACTTTTTTAATTTTAAACATAAATAAATCGAGTTTGGAGTCGTTTTAAAGCATTTTTCGCGATCTTCATAAAAATTAATAAATAATCCGAGTTGGGTTTATGAAAGAAAAAAAAAAATTTTATTTTTTGAGTCAAGTAAGTGGCATAACACCTAAGGCGAAACTTTCTCTCGGCTCGTTTTCTGTCCCAATTTGGCGAACAACTCAAATTCGCGACTTTTCATTTTATTCTTTAAAACCCGCGCCGATTTTAACAGGATCAAGGCGAGCGTCCTAAAAGAATCATTTAATTCGTTCAATTCTAAAACGCGATTAAGAAACATTCCTCGTAAAAGAATTTCTCGGTAAGAATGAAAATGAAATAAAAAAGGGCTGAAGCCTACTTCTTCTAGCATAGTCTCTTTCTATCTAAGAAAACCAGTTTGAATTCCTTCCTTCTCCCGGTGCCGCCGTTGGAGATGGGCCTCGGGCCAGCTTTTTACACTAAAAACGTGATGGAGAAAGTGATTTCTACATCGCGGTGATTGTTTGAGGGAAATCAATAAATTTCTTTTTAGATTTTTCCATTTTAAGACGAACCGTACTGTTCAGAGGGAAATCTTTCTTTTTAATTACAAGATTTATTACCGCACAAAGTTTGCGATTACGTCGCTGACTCAATTCTCAATTGTTAAGAGATGTAACTACGAAGAGATCCTCTTCCTATACAACCAAGACACCGCGAGAGAGTTTTAACTTTTTAAAGGAAATTTCTCCATCGACACCACGGTTCAACGCACTCAATCGTGTGTGTGTGTGTGAGTGGGTCTTCTTCTCTCTTCTTGTTGAGGGGCTTTGTGTGTCATCCGGAAAAAGAGATATCAAGAAAATGATTATTTAGGAATACGCAGATGAGGCGATGCGAAACAGTTCGCGATTAAAATGACTGTGATTATTCGATGGGGGTTAGTTAAGTTGGAAAACGCAGAAAATGAATATATTTGAGGATTTCTTTTTAATCGATTGGAAAAGTAAAGATATCTCCCGGTTTTTATCATCCCATACACAGGATGTCTTGTGTATGCACAACAGTGTCGGCCATGTTAAACGTACTTTCTACGCCTTTCCAGAGAGAGCCCCATTCACCTGCCGGAATGCCTCTACCTACATCGAGCTATGGTCAGTGCGAACAGGTGCATAGAAGAGGCAACAACACTCCATCGAGAGACACCTCTCGAATACAACGAAAAACGTCACTTTTATAAACGGTTAACACACTAAATTATTAGTTCGGGGTATTAAAATAATAATAATAAATAGTGATTATTAAATAATCAAATAAAAATCAAAAAAATTAATAAAAAAGAAGAAATTATTTTGCGGTTTTTGTGGATTAAGAAATTAAATGGATTATTTACTTCAATTTTCGTTGAAAAGGTGAGTTCTTGATTTTGATTAAATTTAAATTTAAAAAATTAATTTAAAAATTAAATTAAAACAAAAAAATTAAATTGAATTGAGAAAGATTGGAAATTAAAAATAAAAATGTTTTTTATTTTTATTAATTAATTTTTGAAATAATTTTCTCGATGATTTCTAGAACCTCCTTTAATGTTACTCTGGGTAAACTTTTGACCTTTTCGATCGCAACGAGCCCGCAGCTTTGAACTCGTGATAGACTTTGAAATACCTCAAGAACAGTTCGGATTTATTTCGAATTCTTCGAAACATTTTAAACGAATTAAATTAAATCAAATTAAATTATAAAAAAAATAATAAAACTAAGAGTGCAGTTACATAAAATTATTGCGGTGTAGAATATTATTTACATAAAACAATGTATTGAGATTGTATTAACTGCGTATTATGTAAGATTTTTATTTGATTTGATGTAACAATAACCGATGATGTGTTGGGTAATAATAAATGAATGTTGTGTTGAAATCTACAACTTTTGGAACTAATTTATGCCGTACTGTTCAGAGGGAAATCAAAATTCAATCACTTCACCTGGTGAAAATGGCGAAAAATTCTATTTAAATTAACTTTGAAACAAGTTTTATAGGAAAATTTTTTCGATAATAACAAATACCTATATACAGTGTGTTAATTAATTATCGTACCCAACGTCATCATTGCAAGTATGCAACAAATATCACAATACTGGTATTGCAATACGCAAATCGAGTATTATAAAATAAATACTGTGATATTGGTTGCATAGTTGCAATGATGATGTCAGGTTCGATAATTAATTAACACACTGTAGATATTTTGCTATACTATTTAGAGGGAAATTATTATGTTTTTAGTTTAAAAAAGATTCGAATCAATATTGTTTTCTAAATCAATTTCTTTCACGATGAAAAACTTAGAAATTCTGCACGAGTAGTTCCAAGAGCATCGAATGTTAAGACCCCACATCAACTCTATGCTAAATAACGCAGATCGGGAATTTCATATAACTCACAATATATGAATGCAGTAAATAGTTATGAAATTACTGTGCACTTGCACTGTCCCACATAAAATGCAACATAGCTTAATAGTACAAGCATTGGGTAGTTTTGCAAAGGAAAAGTTTTGCTTGGAAAAAAATGACGTCCTTATGACAGTTTTCGGCCATTTTAAGAAACACATGGCTAAACCCGAATGTTTTTGGTTTTGTGTTAGTTCTAGGTCTAATGTTAGTTCTAGTTTTAATTCGAAAAAATTGGCGTAGTTGAAAGGTTAGTACTAGAATCATTTGGATTTAGCCGTCTTAAGAGAGGTACTGCTAAATCCGAATGTTTCTAGTTCTAGTGTTAGTTTTAGTTTTAATTGCTATTCAGCGTTAGATTAGACCTACCAGATACTAGACCTACAACCAGAAACGTTTGCGTCTCTTAAGACGAAAATTCAGAGTTATCACAAGGACGTCACCTTTTCGATACAAAACTTTTCCTTTGCAAAGCTACCCAATGCCTATATGTATTATTTAAGGCATCTTGCATTTTATGTGGGACAGTGCAAGTGCATAGTAATTTCGTAACATTCATATATTGCGAGTTATATGAAATTCCCGGTATGTTGATTTGTTAATGGACAAATACAGGGTGTCTCAGCGAGACCGGTCATTAGACGTTTCTGTGGTTCTGGTCAAAATAAAAAATTGAGAATTCAGACTTAAGTATTATCAATTACGTTCTCTTCGTCTAAAATATTTTCAGATTTCTAGCACTTCCGGTTATACCGGAAGTCGCCACCTACTTTATTTTTTTAAATGGAACACATTGTATATTTTTACATATTTGGATTTGTCTGTTTTGAAGGTTTATAAATAACTTAACTTTTTGCAATTTTATTCGGCCGTTCTCGAGCTATTCGATTTTTTCTAGAAAAATCTGCTCCAGCGGACATTTGTTCAAAAAATCATAGAACACTCGATTTTTGAGATATCAATTTAGGATTCAGAACATGCTTAAACAACATGATGGAGTATGTTTTGGTGCCAAGAACGGCTGTCTAGATCGTTTGGTCACTTTACTATGACACGTTAACTTTTCGAAATTTGGAACTACCATAACTTCATCTTTTTAAATGGCACCCCTCATATTTTATTACTTAGTCGTCTTCGGCGTCTCATTTTACATCTTTTATACTCTATATGTCCTATGCCTAACATTAATAGTTTGAGAAATAATTAGGGTTTTTTGAAGTACTTCCAAATTTTGAAAAGTTAACGTGCCATAGTAAAGTGACCAAACGTTCTAGACAGCCGTTCCGGTATAACCGGAAGTGCAAGAAATCTGAAAATATTTTAGTCGAAGAGATCGTAATTGATAATACTTAAGTCTGAATTCTCAAATTTTTATTTTCGCCAGAACCCCAGAAACGTCTAATGACCGGTCTCGCTGAGACACCTGTATAGTATAAAATCGCCCGAAGCGACCTCGGCTAAGTTAATAATAATGAAAAGAATTAAGCTCCAATCATATCAACAAATATTAAGCAACACATATTGCAGCAACCTCGACTTAATATGGTTTAATCATTCATGGCTAAAACATCACAGCACATCAATATAACATTAAAGAACGGCCGCAAGCGACCTCTTCTAATATTGTGATGATAATAATTTTTAAAATATTTCGTACTTTGTTCTTGAGATCCTTCAAATAGGTAATATTTTGAAAGAAAATGAATTGACTAAATTCTTATACAGGGTGATTCACATAAGAACCGACACAGAGCAGGGACATGTAGAGGACAATAAATTAAGATGATTTAACGTAACTTACCTCTATACTAAGTTGTACACCTGAGGAGTTATAGGCCTTCAAAGTTGGCTCTTAAATTTTTAAAAAGTTCAATAACTTCGTAATACATTAAGCTAGAAAAACCAAATTTGGTATACGTTATGAGTGTACCAAGGGTATTAATTGGTAGCAAATTGAACTCAATTGAAGCATTTCATTCAGTACCCTAAATTTGGACAGACTTTTTTAATCCTTTGGCCGATTTAATACATTACTACTTCATTTCATGTGGAATTTAATTCTAAAACTTTTCTTACTCATATTATTTTTTAAAAAACTTCATCGTTTTCATAGAAAACTTAAATAACTAAACCCACGTATTTCGTAATGTTGCTTAAAATAAGCGAAAATTCAGTAGCCGGCTATGAAATTGTACGTCAAACTTGACAAATAGGTTATAAAGTTATTTGACGACAAGGTTTTATAACCTATTTGTCAAGTTTGACGTACAATTTCATTAAAAAATTCGTGTCTTTAGTTATTTGAGTTTTTTATGAAAACGACAATGTTTTTTAAAAAATAATAAGAGTAAAAAAAGTTTTAGAATTAAATTCCACATGAAATCAGGTAATAATGTGTTAAATCCACCAAAAGGTTAAAAAAATCTGTCAAAATTTAGGGGACCATCACCCGTAATCAACCCTTTCAAATGCCTCAATTGGTCTCAACTTGCTACCAATTAATACCCTCGGTACACTCATAACGTATACCAAATTTGGTTTTTCTAACTTAATGTATTACGAAGATATTCAATGTTTTAAAAATTTAAGACCCAACTTTGAAGGCCTATAACTCCTCAGGAGTACAACTTAGTATAGAGATAAGTTGTGTTAAATCGTCTTAATTTATTATCCCTGTTCTATGTCGGTTCTTATGTGAATCACCCTGTATAAATCGAGTCATCCTCATTTATGATATTTAAAAAGAAAGCTTAAACAATAACATTTTGAAAAGAAAAAAAGGAACCTTATTAGATCCGTTGGGGAATCACCCCGGCGTAAAACAAAATTAAAACCCACTCTTTATCCGAAACCAAGAACCGTTCAAAACTGGGCTAACGACGGTTTCACACGCCACGCAGTGACACATAATCCCGCATCGTACCCCATCAGTAATTCGAAACCAACATGACTCATTCATTTTAAAAAACCACCACCGCAACGTGTTTTAGTTTCAAAATTAATCATTATTATTATTATTCATTTTCTATTGAAGTCCTCGTTTTGTTATATTATATACAGGTGGACTTAATGAAACAGAACGTTAAGTGGCGTTTCGATTAAGCGGATTCGCTGTACCGTACCGTGTACAGCTACGCAAGACATCTGCGGGTACCCTTTTGTTGTCACGCCTCTCCCGTTTACTCTCTTCTTCTTCAACTTCTTTTTGTTACCTTGCATTACCCGACTTCCTCGTCTCATTTCACCGCTTCGTTCGAGACTCTTCTTCTTGTATTTCATTTTAAAAGGTGCGCACAAGAGAAAGTTGATTTCATTTCCGAGTTGAAGTTATTAGAAAACTTTTCTCACCCTTTTTAATATTGTTTTATTCAAAAACGAGACAATATTGTGGTAATTAAGCATAAACGGTGTTAAAAGCTTTCTTTTTTATATTATTACAATATTGTTGTTTCGAAGACGTCCTAATTTTATTTTTATTTAGCCTTGTAACGATCTGATCTTCTTCGAAGTTGGGTTTAGATAAAAATGAAATTAAAATTGCGATGGGTTACGAAGCGTGAAAAGGAAATATAATAAATAAAGAAGGGGTGTGACATTTTTCGGTTTGAAGGCGAAGCCTGGATTAGCATAAAATATGCGAGATATTCAGAGCTCGCGTTCTGATTGCGTAATCGAAACATACTTTTATGTGTGCTGGTTTACAAGAAATACTGGAGTAGAGCAACGGAATACTTTGCTTCAAATCAATTTGTTTCGCTCAATTAATGATTTTTATTTTTTAGATAATGCCCAATCAAAATGCCAACGGCAACGCTTCTCTTAAGAGAACCGAACACCACCTCGCTATCGGCAATCGTCGAAAAGTCGCAACAAAAACCACTACATCCATCACTTGAGTACGAGTTAAAGCTGCGATCATCCCAACTCGATTTGATCCCAATCCAGAAGATTAAATCGCCATCATCGCCACACTCAGACGAAGGATTCGAATCGGACATCGATAGCTTATCGATCGTTTCAAGCGATGACAACTTCCCCACAAGAAACGTTGCTCAAAAAAATATTTCCGCCGAAACTGACAGCGCAAACGGAAGTGCATGTAGTGATACAGACGAGGAGTTAAAAGAAAATCAAATCGAAACCGAATCGTACGAACTAGTCAATTGCTTGTGTTACTCCGACGTGAAATTCCCCGACGTTTTAGTTTTTGTGCTCAAAATTGACGCGTTGGTATTCAAATTCGGTAATCTGGAAGACTTAGAATCGTTTTACACCAATTTTAACACGTTAAAAGCGGTTTCGAACCAAAAAACCTACGGAAAAAAGGTCGGCAAGTTCAATTTGTTGCAAAGAATCGACGACGATGGGGTAACCCACATTGAAATCAAAAAGGAACCAAAAATCGATTTTGACTTAATCGATTTCTCCGAAGAAAAAGTACCCAAAAAACCGGAGAGGAGGAAAAAAATTAAAGGGAAAGCCCCACCACCACCCCCAACAACAACTTTAAATCAGATTAAAATCAATAATTTAAATGGAATAGAAGATAAAGAACAAAATGTGTTAAAAGGCGAATACATCCGGGTTAATGTCCCCAAAATCGATGTTATAACCGAGAAATTAACTCAAACTACGATAAATAATAATCATTTTAATATATATCAACGCCCCAAATTAACGAGTTATCAACAATTCAAATTTATAGCGGAAGAAAAAAAGATTTTAACCCCACAAAAAAGATTCCCGGAAAATTGGACTTGCTCAATGCCCCGAAATTGCTCGAAATATCGCAGTAAAAGCGAAACGAGATTATTTCAACCTCAACAACCCATTAATTATAATTATCGCTACATAGACGCGAAAAATTATTGCAACTCCCCGATTTATTTAAGAAAATCCAATCAACAATTTCAATCAGGTTCAATTTCGAATCGATTTTTTGGAATGACTGGGAAATTAAAGGATTTTAGTAACGATTTTATCGGGATTAACGACGGGAATCGTTGGAATAGTTTGGGGGAGTTAACGGTGAGGAATCGGAACCAAATCGATTCGAATTTGAAAAGTGTTATAAAGAAGGAAGACGCGAAAAAGAAGGAGAAAAAGGTTACTTTTAGTGCTTACGCGACCGTTCAAGTTGTGTAATAAGTTTTTTTTAAGGAAATATTTTAATTAACCGGAACCTGATCAAATACGTAATTAAAAAATAAACTTTACTAGTCATAAATTTGGTGAAATCAAAAAAAAAATTGAGCAAAAATTGAAAAAATAAAAATTAATTGTTTGTTTATATCAAATTGTATATAATTTTTTTTAATAAACGATAAGATTATGTAATATATGAAGTGTATATTCGAATATAATGTATTATAGAGTCAAAAAAATTAATCAATGTATAAATTGTATAAAAAAAATATAAATAAATTCGTTTTTAAATTAAAAAAATCTTTAATTTGACACCAAACACCCCATATTTATCTTAAAAAACAACGGAGATACACAACTTTTTATTTATCGACCGCCATCTTTTTTTTTAATTTATAATAATGGCCGCCGATTTTTTGACAGTTCCATTTCCGCCGTTTTTTAAAATAAACACACCGAGTTTGGGCTCATTTTAAAGCATTTTCAATTTCCAACATGAACATAATCATTAAAATCACCAACTTCAACATTAAAAAAAAACTTGGTACACGAAAATAACGACTGCTTGCAGGTAAGTAGATAGTAAGTTATAATGGCAGAATAGATACTGCTTATAGAATAGTACTATACCTATATACTACTAGAAAAGATTGTGTAAGACCAGATAGTGTTTGCAAAATTTTGTTGATACTAATAGATGATTAAATTAAAGATTATCTATTTTTCCATTAGCAGTATACATATAGGATAATAGAAAAGTAGGTAGTACATAAATGGATTTTAATACTGCTGGTAATGTCGCAGAAGACTAAATACTACTTGCAAAAAACTAGCTTAATATGACAACTAACTTCAGGTTTAAAATGTCAACCTCAATTTTGACATATTTGTAATCTTCATTAAAAATCCTTTAAAATAAGTACAAACATGACATATTTATCTTCAATATTAATGAAGTTATGGTCAACTTCCGGTTAGAAATGTCAATGTAAAATTTGACATATTTGTGATGTTCGTTAAAAATCCTTTGTAATGATTAAATTAAACATGATACGTTTAATTTTTTATTTTATCTTTGTTGTTTTTTGAGATAAGGTTTTTTAATGAAGATGACAAATATGTCAAAATCGACGTTGACGTTTCAAACCGGAAGTTGATCATATCTTCATTAATATTAAAGTTAAATATGTCGAGTTTGGACTCATTTTAAAGGATTTTTTATTAAGATGATAAATATGTCAAAATTAATGTTGAAAGTTTAAACTTTTTTGTTTTTTGAGATAATTGCGTAATGTTTGGGTTCATTTTAAAGATTATTTTATGAAAATTACGAATATAACAATTAAATTAAATAAGAACTAACAATAGACCTACATAGTATTGGGTTTAGCCATGTGTCTTCAGACATGTATTGACATGGATTTTATGTGGGAAAAAGCCCAAATTTTATGATTACATCGCATTCAAATTAACAAAGAGTTTTGCTTTACCCTTTAAATTAAATAAATACTCAACAATTAGTTTTAAAAAGAAACTAACTTTTACTTTATTATTAATACTATAACAATTATTCCTTTAAAAAACTTCTTTTCTTCATTGCTTTTTCCCTTGTTTAGCAACCGCCTCCATGGCTTTCCTAACAGTTTCCGGGTCCCCTAAAAATTGCATCGTCGTTCCAGGCAGCGCTTTCATATCCTCCCCCAGCAGATAATAAAACGGAATTCCCGTCGGCAAATTCACCTTCAAAATCTGATCGTCAGTCAGCCTTTCAATGATTTTAACCAACCCTCTCAAACTGTTTCCGTGAGCCGCGATAATCACGCGATATCCAGTTTGAATTTCCGGAACGATGTGTTCCTCCCAAAACGGCAAAGTTCTCTCCAACGTCATTTTTAATGATTCAAACATCGGGAATTGATCTCGCGGGGGATCATTGGCGTACCTAACCATTTTAATTTATTAATTTCATTACTTTAATTAATTAATATTGAAATTACCTTGAATCAAAAACGATGTCTTTGTAATGTTGGTGACTTTTTTCCATTGGAGGTGGAGGAATATCGTAACTTCTCCTCCAAATCGTAACTTTATCTTCGCCGTATTTCGCGGCTGTTTCAGCTTTATTCAAGCCTGTTAACGCGCCGTAATGGCGCTCGTTAAGCCGCCACGTTTTAATAATGGGCATATCGGTTTGATTTACGGCTTTCAAAACATAATTTAAGGTCATATTGGCTCGAGTCAAAACCGACGTAAACGCCACGTCAAAACAATAACCCGCCTTTTTTAGCGCCTCACCGCCCCTTTGCGCTTCCTTATGCCCTTTCTCAGATAAATGGGTATCGTACCAACCTGTAAATAGGTTCTTTTTGTTCCATTCTGATTCCCCGTGGCGAATCATAACGATTTTGTAAGTTTTTTGGGGTGGTAACGTGGGTTTTTCGCATGGGTTTTCTTTTTTGCACGAACACATACAACATGGTTTTGGGGTTGTTGGGGTTAATGCGGGTTTTGTGAGCGGGGGGTGATTTTTCTTGTGGGGGCACGTCGATAGAGAGCACGATTTTGGTTTGGTTGGGCCATTTTGTTGCGATATCGAAGCGATTATTTTAAAAGGAATTTTGTGAACACGGAGGATTTTGAGGGACGACATTATGACATGAATTCAAAAATAATAACAATAACAAGTGAATATTATTTTGACTTACAAGTCAATTTTGATATTTCAACCTTACACAAAGAAAAAATCCGAGACAATCTCGAGCTCATTACCTTCAATGGCATTTCAATGGTAAACTGCACTCGCCGTGTACAGTTATCGCATATTGCGTAACAAATAACACAACTCTAACGTGATATGCAAGCCTTTATAAAAGCCTCGTTTTTTCTAAAACCGCGTTTTACCGCAAATCGAATACAAAACGGCCTCCTCAATAAACTTCAAGGTTCATTAGAAAACAAAACGGGTTCAAATCGAACTCGCAACGAATTTATTATCACGCATTTTGTTTTTTTGAATGTTAAGGATGAGACTAGTTCACCTTCGAATTGTTTTAGAGACGAAAAACATATTAAATTAAAAAAAAAAAATAATAGAGTGGAAAAAATTAGACCCATTTGTTAAATCGACCAAAAAATAGAGAAAGTGCTAATAATCCCAACTTCATTCCTCATTATTGACCCACATCTCGAATCGGAAAATTCATTACTCAAAAAAAAGAAAGAATTTATTTCATTTTTGAGACGATAATTTTAGATTAAACACGAAATATTAACACGTTGAGGCCCAATTCGGGTTAAGAAATCTTTTTTATTAATAAACCGAAACGAAAAGAAAATCTTTAACCTTTACTTCGCCATTATTATTATTGTTATTATTGCGAAACGGTTTTTATTGCAATTAAAACATTTATTCACCGTGACATAAACAGTTATCTTATTATCGGTAATAATTTCAAACTAATTTTCCTTTAAAAAAAAATCTACGTAAAAAAGCGCCATCTATCGATGAGGGTACAAAGTTTTCTGTTAAACTAAAATTGACACTTAAAAAGAACGCTTAACTTAACCTCAACATTATTTAATTTAATTTTTTAAATTAATTATTTTATGCTTTGAATAACTTTGTTACAAATAATTCGTCTAAATTGAAAAAAATAACACAAAAAAGAAACACTTACTTGATTTTTGAAAATTTCACAAAAATAAAGTCGCATTTTAAAAATGTTAATCGTTGAAGCAACACAAACACTGCTAAATCACTTTTAAACAAGAAAAATCTAATTTTTCCTCGATTTTAAACGAAATAACGAGGATTTTTAACCGGATTTTTGTTTCACCACTTTTTCTTAGCGTCACCAGCATCGTTCTTCATTTTTTTTAAATAAGTTTAAGCTGTCATATACCTGGTCATATAGTGGTGTGATGTTAGCAACATATTTTAAATAACTTTCAACGAAATTTAATTAAGTTTAAAAAATAATTAGTATTTTCTTTTAAACTTTATCGAATCATCATAAATACATTAAAAATATATAAAAATAATAATAAAATCATCAATTAATTTTTGCAGATTCGTTAAAATAATTTGACGGGTTATAAAGGCGCTTAAAAAATTATAGCACAAACTTGCAAGAATCGAGAGGTCGCAATAAATGAATATAAATAAATAATAAAAGAAAATATTAATCTAAAATTAATGTTAAATAACCGCGCCATCCATCAATGAGAATATAAAGTTATTGTAGATTTCGCTAATTTTTGAATTGTAGGTTATTGACATATATTAAATTTTAAATAATCTTCAAAAACTTACCAATTAATCGTTCTTTTCACCATATAATCACAAATATTTAACATCATATTTGCAACTGTTATTTATTTCTTTGTTAATAAAAAACATAATCACTAGCTTTTGGAGTTGTTCAAATCCAAATTTTCATGCAATTTTGCCTCGGAAATTCTCCCTGCATAAAAAAAAATTAATTTTAAAGATTGTAATTAAGTTGTAAATGAATTTAAAGAGAAAAAAAGTAATAAATTTCATTTTGTTTATTTATTTTTTAAATTTTCTTTCTCAATTCAACTCCGTTCTTAATGTTTAATCTTTATACAACCTCTATCTACAGCCTGTATATTATTATATAATACTTTTTTAATAATAATTACATATTCCTTTTAGTCGTCATCTTATGTTTCTACTCGATTTCATTTTATTTTATAATAAAGTACCGGTGTGGTCAAAAGTTAATATCTACAAATGTCTTTTTAATATTTTTTTGAACCCTTTTTGTGAACTTGTTTTAAGTTAGTTGAGGAACAATATCTGTTTTATAATTTAAATTCTTTTTCTACATCTTACTTCTTAATCTAATAAAAAATTTTAAACAATAATTTCACACCTAAAGATTTTTTTTTTAAAGAAATCTTTTTCGTTTCCTTTTTTTTTTGGCATCTTAAATACTTTTAATTTAATTAATGAGCAATCAAAGTACCAATTTATAGTTATTAATTTTTTTATCGCCATTTTTGTTACATTTTATATATTTTTTTTGGCACTTTAATGAATATCTTTCTATGAATATACTTTTATTTCATCTCCTAAAACTATATAGTACCCTAAATTGTCTTTTTAAAAAAGTAATTACTTAAATCTTCATTTTTCGTTATATTTAAAAACGAAAACTTACCTTTTCTATCGATATTTACATTTTTAATTCATTTTTTTTCTTAATTCTGGTGTTATCAAGATTTATAAACAAATTATTTTTTTGTTTTAATCGATTAATCTAAAAAAAAAATATTTAAATTAAAAGAAAAATAAATAATTTTCTTCACTCGATATCAGTCCTTTTTATGTTCAGCACTATTCCCCCTCCCAAATCGTTTCCGAATCGGTCTACTCGAGTTCGGATCTAAACTAGCCGATCGTCTCTCTCTCCCTTCGCGAATTTGCGCGGCCAAAAGTTCAATTTCCCAATTTGAACTTGAATTTTGATAGTATTCAGGTTCTGAAGACGAATTTTTCCCATCCGTATCATCTTCAGTATCCGTGTTTGAGTCAATTTCAATTTCAACTTCACCACCACCTCTATTGTTATTATTGTTGTTATGGTGATGAAGAACTTTTCTTCTTGATGACCAAACCGGATGGGGTTTTAAAGTTTCTGCGGGTAATTCCCGAAGCTCCTCTGATTCGCGTTTATTACGATCATCCCAAGAATGCGATCGTTCTCGAGATGTTGAGATCACCGTTTCTATTGAATCCTAAAAAATATCATTTTTAAAAACAATTAAAGTATTAATTAAGCTTAATTAACCGTTAAAGACTCCTCCGTCGTCCGTTCCAACTCCACAATATGACTCCTTAATTGATTGATAATCTCATCTCTCCTCCGAATCTCATCTTCTAGCCTCTCAAAACGGTTGTGGAATTTCTCTTGAAGTTCTTGCAAATGATTCGTCATCACTTGTTTAATTGCTAAAACGATGTCCCCGAAATATTGGTGTTGCTCATCTTCTAGGGAAGCTTAAAAATTAAAATTAAATTAATTTATGAAAATAATAACCTTAAAATCAAAACATTCCAACTTGTCAAAGGAAAAGCAAATCAAAAAATTAAGTTGGTATTAGTTAACATCAAATCAATAAAAATTAACCTAAATAAATGTTTTAATTAATTTAAAAAAGAAAATTGTGTTAATTGTGTACTTACCATGATAATTAAGCATCATTTGAGAGTTTATTTATTTTATTTTTTGAGTGTTATGTTTGAATAAAAATTCTAACCTAAAAAAACTTACTTTTAATCAATTTCATTTGATGATTCGTTTTCGACGTTGTAATCAATTGAATCCCGCATTTTTCCAATTTATTTTTATTATCATCTTCGATATCTTCTTTAACAACATCTTTATTAAAACTTTTTTCCATACCTTCTTTCTCAATTGGCTCCCTTTCCGATTGAAACGAAAACAAGCTTCCTACACCGCTACCATTAGTTCCGACAATTGTGGCACTGTTCGGAGGACTCTGTAAAGTGTCCCTATTAAAAGTGACACTCTTTGAGAGCTTACTATGCCTTGCCATGTATCCCTCGATCGTTGGGGCCCGCATCAATTTCTTCAATTCAACCGAATCCGAGGTTATGTCTTGTTTGGGTGGCGTTTTTGGTTGATCCGTGTGCGTCGTCGAGGTCGATTTGGCATCTTGGGGGCGGCGAAAAAAATTTTTTTCGTTTTTCCCGTTTGACGTTTCGGTTAATTTTTTTAAAATCGATTTTAAATTTCTTCTTTCGGGCGTTTCGTTCGATTCGGAACTGGAATTTAACGAGCTTGGCACTAACAATAAATTGGCACTTAATTGATTTTTATTCCCCGTTTGATGGTGCATTGTTGACCCTTCGGATTGTGATCGTGTCAAACTCTCATTCGTTTCTTGATTACTATCGGGTATATCCAAACTAAAGCTTCTCGTTTTCATCACGGTCTCTAATTCTTCTAATTTTTGACGTTCGTTTAATATTTTCAGTTTTTTTACGAAAGGAAGTCCGCCGTATTCCGGGGATAAATCATCGATTGATCGGTATTGTTTCGTTTTCCTCGATAAAGTTAAAACTTTCTCGTTAAGTTTTAAAGTTGGTTTTTCGGTACTCGCTTGAAAATCGACGTTTTCTTTTACGATTGCAGCTCGTTTTAATTTACTCCACGGGGGATCATTCTTTTCTCGTTCGTTATCTTTATTCATGATTTTTAAACGATCTTTAAAGCTAATTTTAGGTTTTTGACTAGATTTTCCTTGCGTTGGCACTAATTTCCCTACATCCGGAGTTACATTTTCGCTTTCACCCAAATTCTTTTCATCTTTAGCTTTTAATAATAAAAGTCGTTGAAGAAGCGGAAGTCCAGCTCCTATCACTTCCTGTTGAACTCCACCTTGATTCACTTCTTCCGGAATTGGAGGAGGGCTTTTAACACTGGATGGAGACGGCGATAAAATGGACGGTGATGCAACTGGAAGTTGAGATGATAAATGTTTTTCTTCATGCTCTTGCTTCTCTTTTAAGAGCCTTAATCGGGCTAACAGCGGCAATCCCGCCCCTAACGGAGAGCTAACTTGGTCGTTATTACTTCGTTCTTCACACGAATTATTCGTTTGATTATCCTCTTGGCTTAAATCGTGCGATTTCACCCGCGACATTCGCTTTAAGACTCCTTTTCCACCTCCGTTATTCGATGAATGAAGGGGTTCTAATTCGAGAGATTCTTGGGATCTCCGATGAGTTCGCGTTTTTCTTAACGCATTTCGAAGACCCTAAAAAATTTTTAAAATTTAAAATTTATAAATTATTGAGTTAACCTCAAACTCCATGACATTAACATAGTTCAGCTATTACCTCTTAGATGGCAGCGCAAAAATTTAATTTAATAATAAATAATAATAATTACTTTCGCTTCATTTTTAATTTTTCCAACAATACTCCTCGGATCTGGGGCGTGACCGCCATGATGATGATCTCCTTTGGTATCTTTGGGTGGATGTCGAGCGGAAGCTTTAACTTCCATCAGTCTCTTCCGCCCCAAAGCTTGTAAAATCTCTTGTGCTTCCGGATAATCTTTCATTGCGGCCAAAACGTCCTCCCGCGACAAAGAGAATAACTCCGAGTAGCCAACGGATCGAACATCCGCCGTTCTCCTAAAAATTACAAATTAATTCAAAATTTGTTAGAAAAAAGGCGCCGTTTTTAACTTATTGAGCCCGTCTAAATTTAAAATTCCAATTTCGCCGAAAAAATCGCCCGCTTTCATGGTGGTTAGGACCTTCCCCGTTTCGCTGAGCACCTCGAGAATACCATCGGCGATTATGAACATTTCCCGAGCGACTTCGCCTTTGCGACAGATCGAATCGCCCGGGGTGAAGATGTAGGCTTTCATTTTTAAGACGAGATCCCGCAAAAATTCCGGTTGGCATTCTTGAAAAATTGTTACCTAAAAATAAATTTAATTAAGCCATAATAAGATTAATAATAGCAATAATAACCTTTTTTAATACGCTTAGATTGACGTGAAGTGCTAATTCGGTTTTTAACTTATCCGGAAGTAGCCCTAAAGCCGTGTTGATATCACCACCTCCTTGAATACGACCCCGCGACCATGAGTAATCGTACCATCGTAGTACTCGACGTTTCATCCCACCAGGTACCTTTAAAAAAATAAAATTAATAAATTTCTTTTTAAAATCATAATCTACACTAAAAATCTTTTAATTTGACCCCAAACACCATGCGATTATCTTTAGAAACGCCGAAGTTATGGTTAATTTAAAAACTAATTCGTCAATTGTTTTTAGTTACATTTCCGGTTATATCTCGGTTGTTTTTAAAGATAACCCGATCGAGTTTGGGTTCAACTGAAAGAATTTTTCGTTCACTACGCGAAAAAAATCACCTTGTGATGCCTCATGTAGGTCTTGGCGCCATCTAGGAGTCTTTCGAATTCTAAGCGATTCGCGTTTCGATTTGTTATCACATTTCCGACTTGACCTAAACGTTTTCCATTAATAATTGATTAATTAAAAAGGCGAATTAAATTTTTTTCTTACCCACGATCGTCGCGAATATAAATACCCCGATTAAATAGGAAACAATTGTAAAAATGTACCTAAAAAGGAATTGATTAATATTTGGATTTGAATAAGACTCAAAGTTTCGAAGACGATTGTTGAATTGATTGAAAAAAGGGAATAGAAAAATGTTAAAGAATAAAAAAATGTTTAACCGCCGGAACAGGACTGAGAATAGGCTGTGCTGTCGAAACTTTGAGCCTGCTACGTTTTCTTCGTAACCGGAAATACCCTTAGGATCTCCGTTGCTACATTTTTTAAGCGAAAATTCCCCCAAAAAAAAACGCTAAATGCAGACGTCTCGTGAACAGCCCATCAATCCTGCCGCGGCTTTTCTTTAACATTTTAAATTTCCCGCAACTTATAAATTATTTTTTTGATTTTTGACGTACCCTCCATTGTTGTTGAACTGCAAAAGGCGTGATTTGACGCCTCTACGCGGCAGTGACCTTGGACCGTCCACAGAATTCGTCTGTCTAATCCAAGAAAAAATCCAAGATATTTTTTGTATCAAAAAAATTAATCGCAATTGAAATTATTCCCCAAATCTAAATTATCGCCTCTAAAAACTCGATTTTCTTAAAATCATACTCACTCCGCGTTCGTTTCCGGAGTTGGCAAATCACCTATTGTTGTTAAAGTCAACGTTGACCAATATAGAGAACCCAAATACTTCCTTGTTAACGTCGCGTAATCTCCTGGACGATACGGATAAACCCAATCACCCTAAAAAAAATTTTTTTTGAAAAAACTCGTTTTGCGTAAGAGTGTAGAGCGTCACCTAGCGGAGATATCAAATTTTTTTTAATAATAAGTTGTAGGTGATCTAATTTTAAGCAAAAATCGTTAAAAAACTTTTAGGTACAACCAATAATTACTAAAATATCGATCAAAATTAATAATAGTGTACAGCGTTAAAATTTTTATAAACATTATTAAGATAAACCATTCATAACTTAATTCTAAACAAAAATTGTTCGAAACTTTTCTCGATTAATCCACTTTTTTGATTACCTGAAATCCCTCAGCTTGCGATAAAAGGAAATAAAAACACCCAAACCAATGCGCCAAAATGAGCAGGATGTGAATCAAATTGATTACTCTCCATAAATTTGGATAAACCGTCCTCGACTCGACCATATAATAATAATTCACAGCTCTATAAACCTAAAAAAAAAGAAATGTTAAAATAATGAAAAAAGAAATTGAAATAGTAACCTTGAAAAATCTGGGACATCTTAGTAAAGGCTGTGACCCTAATCTCAATTGAATCAAATCCAACGGGCATAGGGCCGCAAGATCCAACAGGAAGGCACGTGAAGTTAGGTAGTGTTTCGCCAGCTTCCTAGAGTCGTAGACCATCAGTCCTTGTTCCAGGTAACCAGTGCGAAGTTGAACGCAAACGTCCAAAACGAAAAAGACGTCGCTCAACGAATCGCAAGCGATCCAAAAATTACCAATCAATTGCTTCGAATTAAAATCGTTTAGTTTTAATTAATTCATTCATTCATTATCATTGATACCTGAAGTTCTGGAAAACTTTGACGCACAATCAACGTCCATAAATTGTACAAAATGCACACGGTGAGTATGAGCAACCAGTAAAAATAGAAATTTTCGTCCGGATTGACGACGGTGCGCGGCTGTTTCCGCGGCCTTCGTCTCCTACGAGCACCGCTAGAGGGTGCGTCACCCGCGTTACCTTCGCTTCCGGTATCTTCGACGGTTTCTTGAGCTTCCGGAATTTGTCTCGTTGAAAATCGCTGAAGAAACGAGTCTTCTCGTTTTAAGGGAGGTTTCTAAAACAAAATTAATTTCAATATAAAGCATAGGGCGACATCTAACGGGCTCCTTTATTGATTCTAATCAATTATTATTTATGCGCGGGTAATTATTTACAAAAAACTTGTTTTCTGTACATATACACAGCCTCATCTAGCGGAGTTATAAAATTTTTTTATTTAAATAATTTTATTCATTTCTAATCAAATTTGGAACAACTATTACTAGAAAAATGTTTTGATTCAACAATTTTGTTTTGTAAAGCAAAATTTTTTTGCTCACCTTTTGCATAGCAGAAGAAATCTGTACGGTCGTCCTGAGTTTCATCCATCTTTGATTCGATTTCGTTCTGAAAAAGAAATCGAAATCATCAAAATTGACGAATTGAAAATCGTTCGTTTGAAGAAGAAGTAACACGATCTAAAGTCCACACAAAAACTAACAGATCCAGGTAGAACGTTAGCTAAAAAAGTAACAACGATGGAGAGGCGTCGCACAACGAAAGTACAGTTATTGTTTTATTGAAAAGGAAATTAAAAAAGTTTTTTCGACGATTCAATTTTTTTTTGATAAAATTAATATGGTTTTAAAAGAAAACCGTGGCGATAAACCAAGTCAACGCTTTATCTATACAATTATTTTAAATTTTCTGTACTTTACTTGTGGACCATTTCAAAAATAAGATGATTTACAAAACAAAATTAATAAAAAACTGCTTTTAATTCGTCATCACCCACCCACAACGATTTTCTTCTAATTTTTCAAGAATTTTTTTCGTTAAGAAAAAATGCTAAATAATCTAATCTATCATCTAAAATTACATCATTTCATGCAATCAAATTATTTTAACCCTTTAACGAATTTATTAATTTTTAAGTTAATAATTTTCGTTGTAATTACGTTAAAAGGTTAAAAAAGAAGAAGAAATCTATACAAAAATGTCACAGAACAAAAAACGTCGTGGGTTTAACAAAAAAATTTTTTTTGAGTTGGCAAGCGTTGACCAAAAGCTTTATCGCCTACGATTTTGCAAAAGAAAATTTGCAATAAAAATGAAGAAGAAGTCTGCGCGAATCACCAAATACACATCGATTAATAATAATAATAAGAAAGATGCACCACAAGAACTTTTTTTTAGATTTTTTTTGATAAATTTTTGATTTAATTGAACCTCTTAATCTTGCGCAGCGAATTATAATACGCCATCACAGCCCGAAGATTTTTCCAGCTCTGCGTGGCCACTTTGGCCGACTCGCTCGACTTCCGGTTGTACTCCCTTTCCACCGAGGACGTTTCCTCCTCGTCGAATCTGAAATGCATTTTATATTTTTTCGTTTTTTTAAAAATTATATTGACATGGTACATCAGTACACAGCGCCACCTGCCGGGAATTTTAAAATATTTTATTAACAAAAATCGTTTGAAATTTAATTCTGAACAAGTATTATTCAAAACACTTTTTGATTAATATCAATCATTCATTTTTAATCGTTTACCTTTGACTGGGACTTTTCGTATCCGATTCGTTAGCATTCGAAGATTCATCCTCTTCCTCCCTACTCGTATTTTGCGATCTCGGCGATTGTAACGGTGTCCTAGCGTCGTCCGAACTCGCCCCACCATCATCCGCGAGATTTTTTCCTAACAAGCCCTCTCTATTAGTATTTGGAGCTCCAAAGTTTGAAGGAGGATCAATCTGCAATTAAACAAATTTATTTACAACCTTTATAAACCCACAACTATCGATTTACCGACACGATTGCACTTTGATTTATGTTCGAGTCTGTTTCATGAAATACCCTTCGATTCATCAACATCCACCGGAAGCAGTTTGAAGCAAACCGGGACGTTGACGAATTGCTTGTAATTTAAACGGAAAATGAAACAATTCAAGAATAAGAAATCTTTTTAACTTAGATTTTTTTAGTATTGTGATGTTTTACTTGTGTGTTTTTACACAAGTTATTAAACTATAAATTTGGGTTTCTTTAATTTTAAGAGACTCTTATTAAAAATTCAGGGCAAATTCAGGTTCAAAAAGAAAATTAATCAGATTCGACAAAAATTCATTTAATTAAACACAAAATCAAATTAACTAGTAAGTATTGATCAAAATTATAGGAAACTCTTGTGAGTTGTTCTTTGAGTTTGATTCTTTGATTTTTCTTTTTGTAGGTTATGTTAAATAATAAAATAAAATTATCATCCGACTCACTGCGAAAAAGAAAGGATTGGAGTTCAATGTGGTATCTGGATTATGGATTGTCTCTTGTGTTCGGGGCACTAACTAATTTTCTGGATTGTCTACAGGATTCTTCTTACGGGAAATTGAACTGCTTGTTCTTCGGAAATAGGGTCTTGGATGACCTCGAAGAAGTATCAGTAGTTCTCGGAATAGGTTGTAGGATGATTCTCTTTTTATTTTAATATCGTAAGTTGATTTGACTTTAAAAAATTATCTTAAATTTTTGAGGTTATCTCTTGAGATTCAAAATTTCTTCTATCTGACGACGTGGATTCGACGCTGGTCAGACGACGATTCTTTTACTCCCTGTTCGCGATCTCCTTATATACCCCGGCACTCCAACTGTTTTTTCCTCGTTTCTGATTGGCTCTTAGCTTCGCGCCATTTTCAAAATTCAAAATTCTTGCTTTGAAACTAGCGTCATCTATTGATTTCTCTCGGAATTAACCTTCAAAATTAAATTCTTTTTTCGTTGATTTCTCCCTTATTCCTTTATGAAACGTAATAAAACTTCGTATTCAACGTTGTCTTTTCTTGTTTTCAGACATACATTGGAGTACACGCCAAATTTCAACAATGAGTAAAGTTAGAAAAATTCAAATTTAAATCAAGGATTTCTTCCTCAAAATAACGTTAAAACCTCAAAAGATGGATGAAAAATGTGCTTTACTATAATAATTGATACTTTTGGAAGCAAACAAAACGGTTTAAGATAAGATTTTCACCAACAAAAAATCTCTCTGTCACAATTTCTAGGTTATGTTCTCTCGGTGAACTAAGAGAATGTTAAAATTATCACAGTATTATTAAGAAAATTTATTTTAAAAAAATGTTCCTTATTTAATCCTAAATAAATATTGTTTAAAATATTTTTTCGTATCAACAATAATTATTGAGATATCGCTTAATATCTAGCAAAACTGTTTTTTATGAGTGCACAGCGCCACCTAGAGGAGATATACAAAAATTTTACTAAATAAGATGTTCGTCTTTTAATTATAAACAAATGTTATTTGAAACATTTTTACTTATCAACAATAATTTTTGAGTTGTCGCTTAATACATAGCAAAAACTGGTTTTCTATAAAATAACCCACAACGACATCTAGCGGAGATATCAAATTTTTTTATTAAAATAAAACGTCTCAAACTCAATTTAGAGTAGATATTACTCGAAAAATTTTCTGATACAAACTTTTTGTTCAAAATTTGTTTAAAACATTTTTGTTTTGGTTAATTATCATCAACAAACACAGTTAATTTGCGGGTAAATTCCCCGCTTAATTGATCCAACAAACCATAAATTTAACGGATCGATAACCGGAACGGAAAGCGGTGATAACGCGGAGTCATTGAAATTATCAAATGATTTAATCTCATCAATCAAAACATGAATGAATGATTTTGATAGTGCTACTTTCAAAGATGACCCAATCTAAATTAGTAAATAAAGAGGGGCGATTTCGCCGGGAAAATTGGGGGAACGTATTCCTGACCCCATCACCAATCAACCCCGTTGATTAGAACCGAATGCTAACCCTGAATCAATCTCCATGCAAATTAAGTAAGTAGAAACAATTTTTTAATTAAAAAAAAAAGCGCTACCTAGAAATAGTCGATATTTCTCGGAATAATAGAAAAGGTCGAATCGATATTTCTTACCTTTAAACGAAACCCAAACATATTTGTAACCATAATTTCAAATTTTATTCGTTTCAACAAAAAAATCACCTTTTCCCTATCATTCTCTACTTTGCGATGGTTTGAAAACCATTTACCATCCCTATTTATATCGTGGTTTCGTGTCAGGCGCATATTGTCCGGTGTTTAGTGGAGGGAGAAATACGAAATCCGTCAATCAAACTGACCCCTCAAATGTGGGGCGAGAAATTTGAAATATTCGCTCTTGGTGTAACGCCAACACCCGCTAAACTAACTACACACCCCCTAACTACTCCCCGAAGGCGAGACCGAGAAAATTAAGCGATATAAAGCGGAAGAGAGACGGAGAGTTTCGATATTTCCGAGTAAAACGCAATCCTACGAGGATGCATCTCATTTCTAACCGGTGCATTCACCAAATCGAGTTTCCCAGCCGAAATTTTAACCGACGTGATAAGATTGAATCAAATCGGGGACGTTGATAACTTTATAATGGGGAAAAAATTAATTTAAATCGATTATAAAACGAATACTAAATAACTTTACTAAAAAAAACTAATTTTTTATAGTAATACACAACAGCACCTAGCGGAGATATCAAAAATTACTATTCAGAAAAAATGTTCCTAATTAATTAAAATTTTTGACATTTCTTTTTTAGGTTATGTTTTCAATTTTGTAATTTCAAACCGATTTCTTTAATAAATTTTAAATCGAAATTTGTTAAAACACGTTGTAAAAATGAGACTGTCCATTTTCATTACGAAAGTAAAAACAAATTTCCCCAAAAAAAATTTTTTTTAATCTATCAATAATTGATGTCGGCCACATTTCGGAATGGTTCATAAAAAAGAACTATTTTAATCAACAAAAACTGATTATAAATAAATTTTAACTCAATTATTCAAAAACTTTCATTCACACTATCATCGATTTTTCGTTTTCCGCTTCGATGACTCTCATTTTACACTTTAAAAACTCGGCGTAAACTGTATATAAACTGAGTGTGTAAACTGTAAAGTTTAAAGCGTCGAGATTGTTCGTCGACGGTGCCAGAGTACAGGACGTGACAATTCCAACAAAATCGTCGTGTTAAACCGGCATTTTACATTCCAACTCGCATTTTCTCGCATATTTCCCCATCCCATCCTCACTTTACGAAAGAGGTTCAATAGAGATGTCAACGGACTGAGATTAGAATGTAAACAGGTTATTTGCTAAAAGTTTCCAGACTTGAAAAATATTTTAAAACTTCAAATAACGTCTCTTTTAAATTATAAAAGTTTAATTAAACAAATTTAAAAGTTTAAAAAGGTTCAACGTTTTATCAAAACCCTCTTTTAAAGCTACTTTTAATGTTAACTAAGCACTTCTCGTAACGGTTTACATCCATTATTCGAATTAGCGCTGGGGGCGAGGTGAAGAGAAGGAGAAGGGCGCGCGCAAATTGAATTGCGACCGGAAATTATAATCATCTCCGTCATATTGTCATCAGGAATACCCCTTTCTCACTTCGTTATTAACCTCTAAAGAGGATAAAGTGGTATTCGGCATTATTCTTGATTATGGAATTATTAGTATTTTAATCAGCCTTAAACAAGATGTACTCTAATGTGATTATGATTTCACTTTGAACATTTTTATAATAGTGCAGAGCGACACCTAGCGGAGATATTAAAAAAATATCAAGCAAAGTTGTTCCTCTTTCAATTATAAACAAATATTATTTGAAACATTTCTCGCTAAAGTGTAAAAGAAATTTTTTATAATAGTACAGAGCGACACCTATCGGAAGTATCAAAAAAATTTATTAACAAAAATTGTTTCTTTTTCGATTCTAATCAACTATTATTTGAAACATTTTTCGCTAAAATTAATGATTAATTATGCGCGGTTTAATTATAAACGAAAAACTGGTTTTTTATAAGAGTACACAGCAACACCTAGCGGAGATATAGAGAAATGTTATTAAGAGAAATTGTTCCTTTTTTGATTCTAATCAACTATTATTTGAAGCATTTTTAGATAAAATTAATTATGCACGGATTATTACCGAAAAACTGGTTTTTTATAAGAGTACACAGCACCACCTAGCGGAGATATAGAGAAATATTATTAAGAAAAATTGTTCCTTTTTTGATTCTAATCAACTATTATTTGAAGCATTTTTAGATAAAATTAATCATGCACGGATTATTACCGAAAAACTG